ATCATCGTGGGACGTCCGGAATGGAGGGCGGTAATTTTGGATAGCTATTTGGAAAAAAGGGAAAGCAAGATAGGTGCAGAATTTGGTCTTGGAAGACTCCACCTAAGGACTCCTAAAAGTATCTCTCTCTCTGGGTTTGTTGACTAGTGTTAACTTTCCGTTTATAGATGCGTAGGTACATCCGTTAATGTAGAAAAGACCAGTCAATCGCAGCACTAAATGTATACTATAAAAAATTATACATGCATGCCAATCGTTTCATCTTTTAAAGGTTTAAACGTTCCCTTTCCCCCATTTAATCGCTTGCCATTTGTTTCACAACTACTCCGACACTGACATTGAATTTTATTTAAGAATCGGATTTGTTTTTTAAGTATGTTCATCACTTACCGAAGAACCTAAATTCAGTAATAAATCGTATCAAATAATGAATTTACCAAGAATAAAGCAAGAAAGAGAAAATATATGTATGTGGTATATAAAAGTTGAAAAAGCTAAATTGCAATACTTTAAATTGACATTTTAAAAAGAATTAGTACCATTGGTTTATGATTTTTTTTATTCGGGATGTTAATCGAAGGTCTTCAAAAATGAGGAAAAGTGTTTACAATTAAAAGAACAAGACCATTTATATAAGCTTTGACATAACAGGAGTTGTTATTGTTCAGACACTGTATCCAGGGTTTTTTTTCCTTCTACTTGCAGTGTATTCTTGCGACAACTGGTTTCCATTTACAAAGTGATCCAAGTATAGTAAATAGTATCTGTACGGTAAGTAGAACAAAATGCACAAACTTCATTTTACACAAACAAATATTTATATATTTTTTTTAACTTTAATAAGCATTAAAAAAATAAACGAAAAATACCAAGGGGACATTCAAAATTCTTCGATGAGAAACTGACAACGCCATGACAAAACAAAACAACAAAAACAGGAAAATAAAAAATATCAAAACAGTTGACAACATGCAATAATCTGAATTACTTAACATATATTTTAAGGGACATAAATCACTGAAATGTACAATGAACTATAATTAAACCCCAAATAATGAGATAAGTCATATTTTTGTATATACGCCGTTTGACATCGGACTGAAATGGCGGTAAACATCGAGTTTGGTATATAGGTCATATATTAAAGACGCAAGACACTCGCGTTGATGCTGATAATAATATTTTAATATTGAAGTAATAATAACAAAATTTGAACATTTATTTTTAGCAACAAATTAGACAGATTTGCAGCTACGTAGGTTTGGAATGTCGGGGTAACCAGCGATTTGATGCTGACCAACCACATGCAGTTTGTGACCACGTTGGTAGAAGAACACAGGGCTATTCCCGTAAGTAAAAAAAATCGTTACGGAGGGTTGGGAATAACCAAAACGTTTTAGGAGGGTCTGGAATTAACACTACACTTCTAAGGAATGGAGAGGATAGAAGACAGTCTAAATAATGCCCTGTCTATCTCAATTAAATGATAACTCTAAGCGAATTAACAATCATTTTATTTCTGTTGTACATTTAAACTTCATAAACCCCACAATATTATTCTGGAATCAAATAATCTCAAAATCGAATTAAATTATTACATTTTATGCAGGGTGCTGTATGATTCAGAACATGAATATATCTGGTTAAAACGCTATTTTTATGATTTTATTTTTATTTTCAGCACAAGCTGTTTATCGGTACATAATGCAACAGAGAAATACTGGACGATGATAATTTACCCGGAGTAAAAGGCTAACGACAGTCGTTGGCAAACATGGCAGTGGACTTTTTTAAAGATTTAAAAATTGATAAAAAAAAACCAAAGATTTTAATCCAAATAAAACTGTTAAAATATATACATTTCTTTTTCTATATAAACTTACGTAGTCAAATGGAGAGAATATACCAGGGGGAATACATAAACCATAAGTTCACCTAAAACAGACAACACCATGGCCAAACATTGCTCCGGAAGGAATAGCAGCTCCTGCTTCACACGTGGCACCCGTCGTGTTTGTTAAAGCAAGTAAAAATCCGGTAGTAAATCGATTTCGGTAATGTCACAATCGATACGGGATTATGGTTACGACAAGTGAATATATACCATCAAGCAATCCATGAAGGAGAACTTAAAACTTTCGAAGTGATATTTGATATGCAACAAAATTTGAAAAAAAAGACCAAAATATTTATATTAGGTGTTCGTTTCTTATTTGTTTCATTTTGAAATCTTAATCATTTATTCAACTTGCTTATTGTTTTTACATAAATAGCACTACTTTGTATTATTTGCCTAGTTTTAGGTAACTGTGATAATCTTTACTTATCACTGACCATCTGGAGATTTAAATGGTTGATTGATGGACTGTTAATTTCTTGTGACAATATTTCACTCAACAAGTCAATAAAAAAAATTAGGAAATGTGGTATGACTGTCAATGAGACAACGATCAACCAAATTCCAAATCCCGTTTATGTAAGCAACTATGGATCATCGTACGGCCTTCAAAACACTGTAATCGTCTGAAATGTATTTTGACAAGAAAAGGGGTGGACAACTATGACTATTAAAAAAGAAAAGGTGTATTTGGAAGACTTTTGATCTATTCAAAGGTCAACATAGCACTTACATGTACTCTATGTCTTACAAAATGGACAGATAGTGTGCAGCATATACGGGGTACTAACCTCTCATCAAAGCGACTATATAAATCCCACCCTACCAAAACTGATGTTGATAGTCGAAGTCGGCTATTAATATTGTTTTGTTTTGTTTCTGTTTTCGGGTGGGCTTTTTTTTTAAAGGCTGTCATTTTCTTTTATCTGTTGGACTTATTCATGACTGTCTACTTTTCTTCTTATTACAAAACTAGTTTGTATATGTTTTGCGCTCTTAATACATGAGATTTGCATATATAAAAGGACTTCTATTGCTTGATTTATTGCAATAACATGTCATTGAATTAACCAAAAGATTAACGATTAAAAGATCGAACATATATTAACCACTGTTTCAGTTTTTTGTTATCATGGCCAAACGCTTTTATAGCTTACTACACATTATAGTTGCTAATTGTTGCTCATTTTTGAAGGCCTATGGTGACCTGTAGTTGTTAAAACTTTTGTCCTTTGAGCTTTGGTAGATAGATATCTCCTTGGCCATCATACCAATATTTTTTCAGTGAAATCAATCTATGTTATAGAAAATATATATGTCCAGCTATTACAAACAATTGGTATATATAATCGTTATATGTTTCAACAAACAAGTTTAACACTCAGGCGTATATTGTAGTTTTAAATTTGTTAAGCAAGCCCCGTTTTCGTCCTGTTTGGTATGAATAAATGTAATATAAAACCAATGTTGCTGGTCTGAGTGTTCGACAGCCACATAACAAACAATCAGAAACGGAATTTCCGTCCTAAAAATAAATATGAATACCTTTGCACAGTCTGAACGTCATTGGAAATATCGATTCTTCTAATCAAAATCGTTTAAAACACTTGTCTACGGATTCTTTCTGTGGTTTTGTTACTTTGTACATTGTATACCTACATGTACTGTATTTCTTAAAAGCGATGTTTTGTAACTTACTACTTACAAAATGTCTCGACTACAAAGTGGCTTATTTAGGTCACCTTATCCTTTTTCTGCTGGAAGAACAAACAAAACTTATTCAAGACATCTCCGCTCCTTCCCCTTTCCAGGATAATGATAACATAATGTTATATCAATTCAGTCAAAATGCATAGGGTGAACACACCACATTTGTCAAGTATGTACAAGTTTCTCATTTGTATTCATGATTTTATTACTTATTTAATGTATTTTTATTTCTTATTCCACTTTTATCTTTTTTAGATGTTTTATTTATTGTTATTAATTTGTTCTGTATTATTTTTGGTTATTTTCATCCCAGATATAGATTATATAAAAAAAAAATATCAAAACAATGTTACATGAAAACGTTTGACTTTTCTACACTTTACACAAGTATTCCCCATTCCAAACTAAACGACAAATTAAAAGAGTTGATCCTGCTTTATTTCATCAAAAAGAATGGCCAACGAAGATACAAGTATTTTGTCTGCGGGAGGGATACATCGTCCTTTGTAAAAATCACTCTGATTCAAACAAAAATTTCTCTGAAACTGACATCATCAAGATTGATAACAAATTTGTTACGTTTGGCGGGTGTGTTTGCAGTTGTAAACTTTCCATTTCTATGTAGCAACATTCCAGCAGCGCCTGTATGCAGAGTATATTTCTCCCAGTTGATACGATTTTCTTGAGCTTGTATTTCCTATCATAATTTCATTGATAGAGGGTTGCTGCTCACAAAGAAGCTATTAAACCAAGAGTTCCTAGTGTTGAAGTTGAAATCCTCCATTCGTAAATTTTACGGACGCCATCACGAGTTGGTTGACCGTCGTGGAATATCTGTTTCACAGAAACCAAAACGGATATGTTCCAATTGTCGTTACTACAATCCCGTCTTCTATTCTCCCGAATGTGACCTACCGATTTAAACTTATCACCGGGTCTGAACTAACATGAGCAACACGACGGGTGCCACATGTGTAGCAGGATCTGCTTACCTTTTCGAAGTACCTGAGATTACCCCCAGTTTTTGGTGGGGTTCGTGTTGCTAAGTCTTTAGTTTTCTATGTTGTGTATTGTGTACTGTTGTTTGTCTGTTGGTCTTTTTTCTTTTTAGCCATGGCGTTGTCAGTTTATTTTCGACTTGTGAGTTTGAATGTCCCTTAGGTATCTTTTGCCTCTTTTTTACATGTACCGAAGCAGTGTTGGAAGAAAATTTAAGTTTAATTTTGACACTAAAAAGAGCAATTTTCTTTTCAATATATAACTTTTGCTAATCTTTTCTCGTTTAATTGATCAAATACAAAGAATTAAATATGTTTGATCAAATATAAAAAATATATAGTTTAGTGTTTGATGGTCATATGGCATATGTCTATTTGAAATCTGTAGAAATAGAATGCAAACGCTAGTAAGTGTATACAGAAACATTATAAGTTGACAAACAACACAGAAAAGGCATAAGATAATATACTCAAAATTACAAGGAGCAATCTTACAGTCTACCATATGTTGTACATAGTTAGCGGCAATAATATAAATGCAAAATATTAAAGAAACCAAAATGACGCAAGACCAATAAGATATCTTGATGTCAATATAAGGTCGAGTTCACGTTTTTGTTTGAAAAAGAGCGGAAAGACACCAAGGCGGCAATTCAAAACCATATAAAAACAGACAACACCATGGCCTAAAAGAAAATAAAGAAAGACAACATTCCATAAAACAATATATAGAAAACTAAAGATTGAACAACGCATAACAGTACAAACTTTAATGTTCATGGATGGACTACAAAATATTTTTGTATTATTCTTCCTAGATATTTACATTAACAGGCCCAATACGATACAACCATTAGGGGACGACCATTTGATATTATGGAGGAGGGTTTCGGATTGACTATTCATTTTCATCTCTTGCTACGCAAGCTTAATGTTTTTCGCGGTCGTCCCCTTCCAACAATCTACCCTATTTATTCTATATAACGTTGTGTGGCACAATAAAAAGCTTGCACCAGCATTTTCAGCAGAATCTCGTATGTAATTGTAGATTACAACTACAAAATAAATTCACTCGACATATTTCACAAATTAAGTCAATCCACATCCGAGACTGGAGCTAATATCATGAAAACCTAGCTTGAATTTTATTTTGTTCTTTTAAAGAAGACATCAAGTAGCAATTCTTAAACTAAGAGGACGATGGAGATGCCTATGACTACTGTTAAAAAGGTATCGTCGTAAATATAAAGTCAGAAAAGATTGTTAATATAATTGAAATTTAATAAGATAGAATAGAGACTGGAAACGAGGAATATGTAAAAAAAAAGCCAAAAACCCGACCAAAGAGCAGAAAACAGTCCAAAGTCACGAATGTGTCTTCAACTCATCAAATTAACGCACTCGGAGGCAGACTTCAGCTGGTCCCTAAACAATAATGTATACTAGTTCAGTGAAATGACACGACACTAAACTCCGAAACATACAAATGAACTAAATTTAAAAAACACACAACACGCAAGACTAACAAAGGCTAGAGGTTCCTGACTTGGGACAGGCGCAAAAAAGGGGCGGAGTTAAACATGTTTCGTGAGGTCTCAACCCTCCCCTATACCTCTAGCCAATGTGGCATAAACAAGCAAACAGCAAAGCGTACAGTAAAACTCGGTTCAAAAGAATTTAAAGTCCGATGTTTAAATAGGTTACAGAAGAAACCTAGCAAAATGACAATGATAAACAAAATTTAACTAGCTCGAGACTTCAGTTAAACTGATTGAAAGATAATGCCATCATCATAAAAAAAAAATCAACCACAATCCCTCCCGTTAGGGTTTAGTATCATTTTATCATAAATTCAACGAGAAAGAACATAACCCGTATCATGTCAAAACAACTGGTTTTAGAATAAATGTGTTCATTTCCGATGCAAAGACCCCGAGTGAATCAATATCAATTCCAAAAATGCCATTTGTAATGACTTCACAACATTATCGTAACTATATCCCTTGTCTGTTTAAAGGTTTAATTTGGTTAGCTGCTGAGGTGAATGACGACATTTTTGTGCTTTGTATAGAATATAACCATTAAAGATGGGATGTGAAATAGCTGAACGTATAAGATGTCTGCATGTTAATTCATATTTACGAATGATGTCCTTATAGCGATGATAAAATTTAGTAAAAGTTTTAACAAGTTTGTGATATCGAAAACCCTGGTGTAATAATGTTTCAGTAATACAGAGATTTCTTTCGTTAAAATCAAATGCGTTGTTACATACACGATCGAATCGAACAAGTTAAGATATATAAACACCATATATACGATAGTGCTAAGGGAACGTCATCATCTAAAAACGGATATTTAACAATAGGAAATGAAACAGCATCTCTTTTATCGTATATTTCAATATTAAGCTTCCCGTTAGAGATATAGATATTTAGATCCAGGAAAGGACAGTGTTCATTATTAGCACTAACTATTTTAAAAGTAAGTTCAACAGTATAAATCTCTTTAATGTGCATACTGAAGTCGTCATTATTGAGAGCCAAAATACCATCCAAATATCTAAAAGTTTTATTAAATTATATCAGATGCTGTTTAGATGGGTCTTTGCTGATTTTCGACATAAATTTTGATTCGCCACAATACAGAAACCAGCCGCAATAAGTGTAGCACAGTTAGTCCCCATTGGAATGCTGATAACTGTCCGATATTCGAAATCTGACACATTGGTGGCCTTCGGCTGTTTTCTGCTCTTTGGTCGGGTTGTTGTCTCTTTGACACATTCCCCGTTTCCATTCTCAATTTTACTGTGGAATGTTATAGCTAAACAATTTAACGATTTCTTTCAGTTTTTCAAATGTAATCGTACTGGAACAGCCAATAAAACATTAAACATTTGAATCAATAGGTTATATAGACGGATTGAATATAAATTTCAATGGACGTCTGTTCATGGTGAAATAAGAATCTTCTAAAACCGTGAAATTTCATATTATTATCAAGTTTTCACTACTCTTAAATTGATATTAAGCTTTCACTACTCATGAAATAATATTGAAGTTTCTTTACGCTGACTCCAAATTTCTTAAACCAATTAATTGTTTGAACAGTTGATGCAAATTAGGGTTGCTATATCGATCACCAAGGTGCGTGAGTGTGTTTGCGTAAAACGTTCACCAACATGTCACGAAAATAAAAATAAAAATCTCTTTTATCCTCCAAAATAGAACTAAGTAACTTGTAAATAACAAACGTTTAAGAATTAAATTTTCCATCGAAACATATATATTCTACACAATCCTAAATCGTAAGAAAGGTATGACGGACAGGAACATTGCCAAAATAACAAATGTGAGATGACAAAAAGAGTCTACGAAACACTACACTCTACGTACCATAACCGGGAGTGAACTAAGTTTTCATATCCTGGTTAAAAGGTCCACCCTTAAAGCTGTAAATCGGTCAGACAAGGGTTGAGGGATTCGAAGACATATGTCTTATTTGGTTGCTTACCCAATGTGGTCAATATAACGGAACTACAAACAACTGTCACGCAAGTGGGAGGTTAAACTAGCTATAAAACCCACCATTATCTTCGGGAAATGCCTGTACCAAGTCAGGAATATGGCAGTTGTTTATAGTTGATTGATAGCGCTTGATTTTGTCAGTTTTTATGAACTTCCCCTTTTTAGGTCTGCCTTGGAATTTGGTATTTTTGTTATACTTTTTTACATGCCTATTTCCTTGTTACAGGCTTGGTCTAGGATTACGTCAATTTAATCTGTTTACAATGTAAACAAATGACAGAAATTATATACATTGATATTTGCAATAATTAATAAGATATGTAATTCTAATTAATTCATTAAACTTAACTTCTCATGATTTGTTTATATTTGTATTACTTTAATTCACAAATCTTGTTGTAAAGTATAGAAATGCAAAGCGAAGTTAAATGCACGTATTATCATTCTACCGTTTTGGTTAAATGTGTTTATGCAAAACAAATTTATAATTACTTTTAAAAACAATCAATGCTCCCCGTAAGAGCCTATTTTTTTCAGTTTCTTACGTCAATCATAAAAGATCATTTGTCATGTCAACCCCAATCAACAAATGATTTACTTCTAACTTAATAACCTTTACAATCCCATCACAGTCTAACTATATATAAATGCATGAAAAAAAAACACATCAGAGATAAGATTGACCTTCATTAAATAAAGACTTTATTCTCTTCCCTGTCGAAAATATGGTAAGATATATATATATTTTTTTAAATCATTAGTTGCTTATTGATAACATATATAGGCAAATGCTATGATATTGACATCTAAAAACACGGAAATTAATACAAAATTAAAAATAAGTTTACTTCAACTTTCAGACATACCAAAACAATAATTTCTTATTTTTATTCACATAACGAATGAATTTTTCACTAAAATAAAGTAAAAACGCATAACGTTGAAATACATATTGCTTAGTAAAATAAGGAAAGTAATCCTCAATATTGTTAAAATTGGTTCAGACCTAAATAGTCGTTTCAGTTCCAAACAATTTACTATATCGCTCTGAATGCTTTCTTTCAGAAAATACAATTTTTGGGGTGTTTCATCGCTCTGAATGCTTTCTTTCAGAAAATACAATTTTTGGGGTGTTTCCTGTTTTGTCTAATTGCTTCGTGTACATCACAATGGTCCGGATCAGGTGGAATATCACATGGTTCCAGTGGACCAAAGATAAACCTTGGTCTCCATCATACCAGAGGAAACTGGAAATTCAGTGGATCAGGATCGACTAATTTTAGGGGTAAATGGAACGTGGGTCTTAAAGCTACTTTCAAGTTCAGACGATCAGCACCATTGGTAAGTATTAAATTAAAACATTTTTTTTTATTATTACCATTAGTGTCTTCTCTCGATTGGTATTTTTCGCAAATACTTCTCCTCCATAGGATATATCTGTTTATTATACAACCCCAACCCTGTTAACACGGACATACATGTTCATACACCGTATAGACCGGGTTATTTTGGAATCGGCTTTTAGTTGCGAATACAGGGTGAAATGGTCACGGAAATGTTAACTTAGTTTATAATTCACGTAGTATGGTCCTGTTCTATTATGCATTTAAAATATACGTTGAAATCAAGCACCGGGTGTGTGGATAAAAAACAACAAAAACGTTATCTTCTATCCATGGAAAGCAAACTCAACACGTTTTTGCCATGTCATCGTCAGTTCGTTTTCGACTAATGAGTTTTTTTATCCACTTCATTTCGTTAAACACCACTTTCATTGAAAATTCACACACCTGTAACAACAATTACAATTCAGAAAACTTCGAAGACTCGCAGTTCACATATTAAGAATGATAACATATGTTGGTAACTTTCCTAACAGACACAAGTTGTTTCCTTTTTCCTTTTTCGATATTCAAATTTTGAAAAAAATATTCGAAGTCCAAACTGAATTTTTTTTTTCACAAATTTTTTTTTTCCTCAAAATTTTTTTCAGAATATTTTTCAAAATTTGAATATCGAAAAAGGAAAAGGAAAAGGAAATAACTTGTGTCTGGTAACTTTCCTGGAAAAGTGAAAATAATTAAGCGATCCATTTTCCAGAAAGTTAGAATAACCTACCCAAAAATTATAGTAAATATTTATACATGTATCTAATGTTCTGTTTTTTTTTCAGCCAATGCTTAATCTATCGATTAGAGCCAATCCATGTAGATTTGACCTTTACGACCAAAATAATGATGGTTATATTACTGAAGAGGAAATCCATGCAATATTTGAGAACGAAACACTAACACGAACATTATTCCATGCTTTGAGTGGAGGAAAAGGTAAATGATAAAAGCCAGATACATGCAGCTAAATATATAACGGATTTGAAAAAAAAATTATCTTATCCATAATTGTTATAAAATAAAAGTATGCAAACTAAACTGCAAACGACATGTATTTCTGAAATGATCTCGAGGCCAAAAGTTTTGGAGTCTAATTTATAAAACTTTTGTGAATAACTTAATAACAAGACAAAACTAACTTTACCAGTACATCTAAAACCGCATTATGTCAACTTTGTCAAATCTTAGTTTTAGGACAATACACCAGTTTCACAAAAGCGACTTATCAACCCTGATCTCAAAATCATAAGCACGTTTAAGTCTAAATCCAGCGATAATTAACGATATTATACGTGACAGGGGGCTAACCATATTCAATAGTTATCAATTTATTAACTGAAAATTGATGTTGAAAATCAAAATGGTATCGTCGAAATTATTTCAATACCGCAACATTGACTATACTCCGTGGATGGTACATCAAAGTGTACATGTCACATAGTGTTATATTTTTTATATTTATTCTTTTAAAGGCCTTTTTATTAGCTCAGTACATACCTTTGTTAAAATATTCTCTTTTCTATCCAAGTTTCAAACATTTGTAGGATTGAAATTCGGCTTATATACGAAAACAATTGAAAAATAATTCATGTTGTTTTATATTTGCAGTTAATGGAGGGATAACTAAAGACGTCTTCGACATCATGTCGCCTGCTGTTATTACAGGATGTTAGTAGTCCTCAATGGTTACTATTTCATATGCCTCGATTTGTAAAACCAGTATGGAAATCCTACCAAAGAGCATTTTACCTCAATATTTAACTTGCAATATTTACAAACGAATGTCTTATTCTTTATTTATACTTTATTTTTTCAATAAAAGTCGTATCATTTTATTATACAACTTATTACTATTTTACGAGCTTCTATTATAATGGTATTTTGGAGTAAGAACAAAGACTGGGTCTGAATAATGTGCCCGGTTAGGGTAACACGTCTTCCTGCGAATTGTAACTTTGTGAACTAGCTCGTAAAAACCCTACTCAGAATGTCATCTAGATCAAAGCAGGTTGCTTGTTCCTTTTTGTTGTATGACCCTTGACGTGGCTCGGTATTTGTGCATTCAGTTTTCGGGTTTTTAGCTTGGGCGTTCCTGATTCGGGTTGACCAAGAGGTGTGATTCGGACGCATGAGGTTTTTATAGTGTTGTTTTAATTTTGTATACCCCTTGTATTAATATTTTACTAAATTTGTACTTTATCTATTGTTGCTGATAGACTTGGGTTCAATCCGTGACCTGCTTTCCAACTGGTATACGAATAAAACCTATATTTTTATAACGTATGTCGTCTGAAAATTGATCTTGATTAAAACCTGTACAAATTAATATCTTCCGTTGGAAGGTTAAAATATTTTCTTTGGATTTGTTGTTGCGTGTTTGCCTCGTTGGTATTACGCTTTGGGTGTGGTACAAGGGGGTGTAAATCTATCCAGTATTCAAATTGTTACAGATTGGAAACGCTTTCAGAGAACACAGCAAACTAATACAAGATGGAATAGTTAACCGTCTATTCTCTAAACCTCTAATTATTGCATACAAAATCACATGAACCTTAAAGAATATCTTACATCCGTTATCTTGATTAACGTCCAGCGGCATTATTTAATGCACATTCAGGTTGAGAAAAAAATTACAAATTTGTCAATTACAGCAAAAAGGGAGACCGGAATGAAGGGCGAGACATTTTGACTTCCTCTGGAAATGAGGGTATGTTAGATAAACAGAAATTTTGCATTGCAACATATCACCTACGGATCCCTGTTGCACACGATCAAACAAAGTCTGGACATGATATATAATTAAAAAAAAATAACACTATATAAATTAAATGCATCCTATGGCTTTTCTTGGTTTACATTTCTCATGTACTCTCAACGCTGAATATTTGAAAGCCAAGGATATATAAGTACCGCAACACGTGAAGAGCTAAATGACCAAAAGGGGCCTAAACATAGTAGCCAAATATATCTATGGTCAACTTTGCCTGAAAATATTGAAGATAACATGTTACTTTTATTATTCTTCCCTTAGTTTATTTATTTTGTATTTGCATTGTATCATAGGTCAAATTTATTTGTTCAGTGTATGTTCACTGGTGTTAATATGTCCTTTGATTGAGTTAAGCTATTTCGGTTGATATTTTATAGTGTGTCTTTCTATGTTTTGATGTTACACTATTGTTTCGGAAAAAGGGTGTAGGTTTGGTACCATTAAACCCACTGCATTTGTTTGCACCTGTCCCAAGTCAGGATTCTGATGTTCGGTAGTTGTCGTTTGTTGATGTGGTTCATAAGTGTTCCTCGTTTCTCGTTTTTTATATAGATTAGACCGTTGGTTTTCCCGTTTGAATGGTTTTACACTAGTAATTTTTGGGCCCTTTATAGCTTACTGTTCGGTGTGAGCCAAGGCTCCTTGTTGAAGACCGTACTTTGACCTATAATGGTTTACTTTTATAAATTGTGATTTGGATGGAGAGTTGTCTCATTGGCACTCATACCACATCTTCTTATATCTATTAAAGAAAGAATAAAGTAAATAGTACATAACTATAGGCATTCGAATAGAAAATATTATCACACTTGTTTTACCGAAGCATGTGCGTGCGTGTGTTTGGTGTAGATCTATGAGAGTTTTCCCTTGTTACTCGAAAAGAAGCATTCTTCATGTCAACTGGTGTAGCTTGTACCGTGTTTTATGTTTTTCAATATATTTTGAGGCGGGTTGAGGTGACGAACATGATAAAACTGTGTGGTTTTCCATTTCTATTAAGTTTCAGTTGTTTACAGTGATGTTTGTCGGACAAATCGGCGAAACTCAGACCAAAATATGTAACAACTATAATTATGTTGTTTACTGTTATGTCTGTTTTACACTTCATTACAGTAAATTAATAGAAAGAATATTCCTTTTTATAATATTAAAAATCTCCCTAAAGGTGGAGAATCAGGAAGTTTGAGTACTAGTATATTTCAGATGCAGATGCATTTGGAGCTATTTATTAACACTATTTTGAATTCATTTTTTAAACATTTGAAAATTTAGTTCAGGAATAACTAACATACGTGACAAAATACAATATATATATATATATATATATATATCTTTTTTTAAGGCTTTCCCTATTGTAATGCCTCAAAATTTTTATTCTAAAAAAAATATTAGCTTCTTTGAAGTTTTGGGACACAATTGTATTACAAAAGTCTTACAGGCCATATACTTCAGAATTCCTATCTACATGTATCTACTACTGAACCATATTTTCTCTCAAGGACGAAACCTAAATACGCATATACCTTTTCTTTACTGTCACTATCTGAAAAAATAACACCGTATATCGTGACCCATAAGTATTGAACAGAAAAAAATACATATTTTCATCATTTCCATCCTGTCAGTCAGGAGGTATTTTGATATATTTGTGAAGGAGGTCCATTTTTTTTTCACCAAAATAATCAGAGATGGGAACCCCCGCTGCGATTAATAAAATAACTAATTCCTTATTTATATATTTGTTTTCTTCTTTATCTTGATTCATTGTGTCGGAAAAGATTTTTGATGAGTTTATTTATAGATATATCCATTCATTCCGGAAATTAGAAATATTATTAAACAAACAATTAATATAACCAAATCAATTTATCGTATTAAACTGGAGGGGGTATAACTGCACAAATGAAATTCTGTTTAATGATTACTTAAACAGAATAACACAGTTAACAGTTCACTGCTACTAATACGGAGATGTTTAAAAACCTTGTACACTGTAAACTCTTATGATTACCGGATAATAATACGTGTATGACATAATTTTTCTAAAGACACCGGTACAAAGTGTAACTATGAATACGGGTTTGATCTACTGTGTACTTTGTATACTCTGTTTCGTACAATTGGTGGCGATAATAAATGGAACAAGTTGTCCATGCAATGATCCAGATCTTTGTAAGCCGATACAGAATACATCACGTAAAGAGGTTTGTCAGTTTTACTTTCGTTTTTATGAGCAGGGCGGTGATGGCCTATTTTTTGCCAGTTTAAATGGAAACTTAACTTTATCTTTACAATTTTTACATAAATGCTCATGAGCTTTTTATAATTTCTTCATAAATAAGTACACATTCTGATAATTAGAACAAAATATTTGACTTTTAAAACGGCAAAGATACAATACGTTTGTCCCTTTTTTTCCAAACTTTCCTGCATAAAATATAGTCGAGTTGTTTCCCTTTGTCTGTATTGCTATTTTTTTTTAAACTATTTTAACGTTCTGGTTTATTTTAGTACTTAGTCTTAGATTAGTGATAATTATTTCCTTTTGTAGTGTGAGTCTGCCAAGTGTCACTGTCACAAATGTTAAAATGTACTTTTCAACAGACATTTCGCATTCCTATTGGAACTAACTGTCTTCGTTTTCTCGCAGACTTATTCCCTGATTCGTGTGAAACAAATCTTATATGAAGAAGCTTTTCTTGAAAAAAGAAAGTAAGCTAGCATTAGCCTATAACTTCACGTTCTGCTGGTAAAAGATGACTTCTTTCACTTAATAATTCTAATTTTGGTAACTATGTTGATCTGCAGTTACTAAGCCCACACTTGGACTATTATATGATGATATCATATATTATGTCCCAGGCCCTCACGATAGGCATCTGTATAACAAAATGCGAAATAATTCAAAAGTGAAAATAAAGAGCCTAATTTATATAATACCTTTAAATGAAAATTAATTATGACATACGGGAACTAACTATACTGAACTAAAGGACCTGGCTTTAAAGAGGGTGGTAAAGGGTTATTTTCGTGTTTTGCCATTTTTATTTCACGTGCAGCCGTGAAAAAGGTTCGTTATTCACCGTGTTTCGTGAAATCGGTAAAAAGATCAACGTGCAAGAAATTTTGAATTGTTCGTTCATCGTGAAATGGCAATTTTATTTCGCGTTCTTCCGTGCAGATACCCCCCCCCCCCCCCTTTTTTTTACGCCCCTCTTTAAACATGTACACGAAAAATGTGACAGTGTTTAGATGTATCACTTTTCATTCATTCTCTACATTTGTAAACATTCAGTCTTATTTTCTTTGGGAAATAGCTGTTATTTTTTTATATGTACTTCAAATGCTTTGGTTTTGTCGATTATTATACTTGAAAGGTGACATGAGTCGTATTTTTTTAAAATATTTGATCATGTTGATTAAATAAAATTGACCCTTTTAAGTCCCCATTATTACAATTTTACTCTAGTGTCAAACCAAAAAAATGACATTGTTTCTGTGCTGCTTCGTTGCTACGTAGACGGAACTTAAAAGTAAGAGCAAAGACTGGTCGGCTGGTAGTCATACTATTCATTTATCCAGATAGGGTGACAGGTCTTCCTGTGAACTACCTTGTGCACTAGCACGATTAAAAATAAATATTTTTCAGCTTGTCGATTGAATACCAAGAAGAATTCATATTCATATTTACATAAACATGTTCTCGTCCTGTTATTCATGTAATATTTGTCACGACTCACGTGACATTAAACACCATTCCCTCATCATTATTATTATCTTCTCATATCACGTCAAATACTTGCAACTTGATTGGGTCGGACATTCGAAAATAGAATGAAAAAAAAATACATTATTGAATGTTTTCAGATCTTCGTATTTTCACTGAGAAATCACAGCCAGATATGGTCAAAATATGATTGGTCAAAGATAACCACCGTAGTAATGACCGGATACATCAATCTTGATTTAATGTGCCTCGCTCATAAAAATGGAGCCAGAGCTGTGATTATAGGTATGATTTATCAATTCATCTTTAATATGAGTGAATTGCTCTTCATTAAAATCTATCAATGAAAATAGAAATAATGTGTATGGGCCATAGGTAGGCCAGACAGCACTCAAACAACACAATACAACAAAAAGATCATCTAGAGGTCAGGAGCGGATTCAGGCGGGGGCGTGGCGGGCGTGCACCCCTCCTAAATTTTGCAAAGCATGGGTTGTCCTCAGCTTAATGAAGAATATTTCGATAATTTTACCTCAAAACATTTTCGCATCGCTCTGCTCGGCGAAAATTTCAGTTTGCAACCCCCCCCCCCCCCCCCCCCCCCCCCCTTCCCTCCCCTAACCTAAATTTCTGGATCCGCCCCTGGAGGTCAACAAAGGGTCTTCAACAAAGTGAAAGTGTCCATAGTATGTCATACTCTTAATCGCCTCGATTTTTAAAAGCTTTTGATTTTAATTGATATATAATACAAAACATTTCATGTTACCACTTGATTCGGTTAGAGTAAGTATAGATGTAAAAATGTCATTTGCATATTCAGGTAAATATGGGTTATTTAAAGAGACTATGTTGTCGAAGTTAATTCTGATATTGTTAAAAATGTCTGTTAAATTGTCTTACTTTAGATCTTCTTGAAGTATGAACTGAACCTCCAATTCAAAACACTAAATGAACAAATCTGCGATACATGTAATTTGATCTGGTTGCTATACGTGATTATGTCATTGAATATGTGTAAATAATGATTATTCTGTTTTGCATGAAATGTGAAGGGCATCAGAGTTTTCTGTTTAAAAAATCATTGAGCAAGGTCAAACTGGTCTAGGACGTTTTTAATCTAAAGTCATTTGCTGTGAACTGATTGACATTTTTTTTAAGTCTTGGAAAAACACGGTTTCTTTATTTGTTGAATTTGGCTTTAAACTGGCTTTCAGTAACTGAAAGTACTCTGTGTGTGTTTTTTCTATCTAATGAGTCAAACCTTCAGGGGATGGTTGGGCGCTCACAAACAGATTACAGGGGCGGATCCAGCCATTTTTAAAAGGGGGGTTCCCAACCCAGGATAAAGGGGGGGGGGGGGGGTCCAACTATATGTCCCCATTCAAATGCATTGATCGTCAAAACAAAGGGGGGTTCCAATTCTACTTTGAATTATTTGACATTTTGTCATGACAGGGTCTTTTGTAGCTGTCTATACGGTATTGTCTTTGCTAATTGAGGAAGTTACATTCTCGTCCTTATGTATCTGGTGGATAGTTGTCCCATTGGCAATCATACCACATCTTACTGTCATCTTGTAACACAAATAGTATAGAATAGATTTTATTGTAGTTTGATTTTAATGGAAACGAACCGTTTAAAATAAGTCTATGTGTTGAGAATCTGTAGTTATTTTGGTAATATTTGTAATTGGAGGGGATTGTTGTCTAATTTACAATCATATACCTATTTTTATAATTTTATAAGCCCTCTATGTTAGTTGTCACTTAATTGACACCAATTGTTCTTACTTACAGCTAACTACCCAAAGGCGAATCTTACAAATTCTACAGCTCGGTCAATATGGGTAGGAAAACAGTTACAATTGGTCCAGAACAATCATTTAGATGGTATCAACATTGACTTCGAGGATGCCATATTAAAAAATGAAACAGATATTCGAGATGCTTACGTCATGTTGATTTTGGAAGTATACTCAGCGTTCAAAAAACTTAGTCCAGTTTATCAGGTAAAACTCTTCCTTAAAGTTGTTGAATATGAACGATTAAGACGTGGAATAAATGTAAATGAGACAGTAACCTCAGGATGTTCGCTGCTCTGTTTCAAAATAACAAGCTTTTGAAAAGACTGTTATAGATTGGTAGTAAAAAAAGCATATAAGTCATTGAAAATTTGGCGGGAAATGATAAATATAAATTAAATTGCATAGTGTTGATTTGAACGGAAGTTTCACGACGGTAGCCACACGTAGAGCAGTATCTGCTTACCCTTCCGGAGTACCTGAGATCACACCAGGCTTTTGGTGAAGTTCGTCTTGTTCAGTCTTTAGTTTTCAGTGTTGTGCTTTGTGTGCTGTTGTTTGTCTTTTCGCCGTTTTTTTCATTTTATGCCATAGCGTTGTCAGTTTGTTTTCGACTTATGAGTTTGAATGTCACTTTGGTATCTTTCGCCTCTCTTCCTCAGTATAAATAATTCCATTTTCAGGTAACAGTTGATGTCGCCTGGTCACCAGATGGTATAGATGATCGTTACTATGACTATGGGAATATTAGTTTATTTGTTGATTTCTTGTTTGTAATGGCATATGATGAACAGAGTCAGATACGTGGTCCTTGTGTTGCTGGGGCTAATTCACCTTTATACAATGCAGTGAAAGGTAAGCCCATCAAATTGTTATCTTGTGAATAATTAAATGGGAATAAGCCTAACAAACCTTTATCTTGTGAATAACTAACTTGGAATAAGCACGGCAAATCGTTATCTTGTGAATAACTAAATGGGAATAAGCCCGGCAAATCGTTATCTTGTGATTAACTAAATGGGAATAAGCTCGACAAATCGTTATCTTGTGAATAACTAAATGGGAATTAGCCTAACAAACCGTTATCTTGTGAATAATTAAATGGGAATAAGCGCGGCAAATCGTTACCTTGTGATAACTAAATGTGAATAAGCGCGACAAATCGTTACCTTGTGAATAACTAAATGGGAATAAGCCTAACAAACCTTTATCTTGTGAATAACTAACTTGGAATAAGCACGGCAAATCGTTATCTTGTGAATAACTAAATGGGAATAAGACCTGGCAATTCGTTATCTTGTGATTAACTAAATGGGAATAAGCTCGACAAATCGTTATCTTGTGAATAACTAAATGGGAATTAGCCTAACAAACCGTTATCTTGTGAATAATTAAATGTGAATAAGCGCGGCAAATCGTAACCTTGTGAATAACTAAATGGGAATAAGCATGGCAAATCGTTATCTTGTGAATAACTAAATGGGAATAAGCTCGACAAATCGTTATCTTGTCACTGTGAATAACTACATGGGAATAAGCCTAACAACCCCTTATCTTGTGAATAACTAAATGGGAATAAGCCCGACAAATCGTTATCTTGCGAATAACTAAATGGGAATAAGCCCGGTAAATCGTTATCTTGTGAATAACTAAATGGAAATAAGCCCGACAAATCGTTATCTTGTAAAAAGCTAAATGGGAATAAGCCAGGCAAATCGTTATCTTGTAAATAACTAAATGTATTGCGTTAAGAAAGGAGATTTTAGACGAAAAAAACTAGGATAAAGACAAAAAAATTTTTTAGTTTTTGATGTTTGTGTTGGGTTTGGGTTTTTGTCGAGCCTTCGACTTTAGTCGAAAAAGCGAGACATAGCGATCCTACATTCCGTCGGCGTCGTCGTCGTCGTTGTCGTCGGCGGCGTCCACAAATATTCACTCTGTGGTTAAAGTTTTTGAAATTTTAATAACTTTCTTAAACTATCCTGGATTTCTACCAAACTTGGACAGAAGCTTGTTTATGATCATAAGATAGTATCCAGAAGTAAATTTTGTAAAAATAAAATTCCTGTTTTTCCATATTTTACTTGTAAATGGACTTAGTTTTTTCTGCGGGGAAACATTACATTCACTCTGTGGTTAAAGTTTTTTAAATTTTAAAAACTTTCTTAAACTATCCTGGATTTCTACCAAACTTGGACAGAAGCTTGTTTATGATCATAAGATAGTATCCAGAAGTAAATTTTGTAAAAATAAAATTCCTGTTTTCCGTATTTTACTTGTAAATGGACTTAGTTTTTTTCTGCTGGGAAACATTACATTCACTCTGTGGTTAAGTTTTTGAAATTTTAATAACTTTCTTAAACTATCCTGGATTTGTACCAAACTTGGACAGAAGCTTGTTTATGATCATAAGATAGTATCCAGAAGTAAATTTGTTAAAAAAAAATTTCATTTTTTCCGTATTTTACTTATAAATGGACTTAGTTTTTATGCCAGGAAACAATACATTCACTCTGTGGTTAAAGTTTTTTAAATTTTAATAACTTTCTTAAACTATGCTGGATTTGTACCAAACTTAGACAGAAGCTTGTTTATGATCAAAAGCTAGTATCTAGTAGGAAATTTTGTTAAAATTTTTTACCTGTTTATCCATATTTTACTTATAAATGGACTTAGTTTTTCTTCCAGTTAACATTAAATACAGTCTGCAGTTAAAGTTTTTAAAACATTTATTAGATTCATAAACTATCCTGGATTTATACCAAACTTTGACAGAAGCTTCTTACAATCAAAAGATAGTATAGAGAGGAATATTTTTATTGATTTTTTTCCTCATTTTTGTTGAGCCTGCGATTTACAGCAAAAGTAGGCGAGACACTGGGTTCCGCGGAACCCTTACGAATTTTTTTGTTCGTAAAATGACGATAGGCAATATTTTTAAAATTCGACCCAGGAAAGGCCGAAGACTCGTCGGTGAGCAAGGTTTAATTAGAATATGTTGTGTCATGGTGAGCAAAAGTAAGCATTTGAGTTGAGCTTGTTAACATCACCAGGTATGCAGCTTGTCAGAGCGACTGTTCAGTATAATATCTATCTAGTTTTGTAAATAACACTTCGTAAAAAAAATAACATATAAGGTAAGAAATTTCTGACTTGTTATAATTCTATGCTTTTTTATAATATTTTGAAATCTGTACATGTATTGGTATACTATTTATAGGTATAAAAGCTTACCATCAGCTAGGAGTATCACCTGACAAACTAGTATTAGGTGTACCGTGGTACGGATATATGTATACGTGTCTCAATCTAACCAGCGTGAGTACTTTCGCATTTGATTTGGTTAGCGGTCTACTTAAAAAAAAGACGCACATCTGCGTCACGACCACTCTTATTTTTATCATTTAAAGCAAAAAATAAAAACAACATGTACACTGCTCTCATATTGAAAATACGTTTGTGGACTCCATTATTGATTTTTATCCAGCCTGATAGCTTATAAAACAACATTGCAATATGCTGAAGGCATAAACTTTTATCATTTACAATGTATAAAATAGGTTAAAGATAAATTATTTTATTTCCAATAGAGGACTCATTATGGGCTTAATCAGTAAGTTTTTCCATATTAAACAATTACAATTTAGATAAAACAAAAGAAAAACAGCTCAAACATGAAATGTAATATGAGTTATTATTAACCAGTTTGTGCATTATGTATGAAAATGTCCCTTTATTAATAAAAGCAAAACTGGTCCATTACAGACCAACAGGGCATTAATACAGGGCCATTATGAAAAAAAGGGCCATTATGAAAAAAACAGGGCCATTATGAATAATCATGGCTATTACACAGATTTTCAGTTGCTATCAATTCAAATAAATTTCTGGGGAAAAGAAACATCAAGAAATTGAAAGTTCCCAAGAATCATGACTCATCTTATTTGACCCAGTTGTCAAGTTGATAATTACATAATACATTCCATGATGTGTTTCAATTTATTTAATTTTGAGTTTTAAAGCCCAGAACGAAATCTTGTATTTTGTATACAATAAATTGCTTTGAATAAGACAACAATGAAACTATATTTACATTTACTCTAAATTACATGTTATTCCATCGTATCGCTGCAAAAGTTTCTTTTTAATATTGTATCAGTTTGATATAATTATATATACAATTTCTCCACAACAAATACTGATTTGGCTTGGTTAAATATAATTTACACTTGATGGTTTGGTTAATAAAAGTGTTAAAAAATTGATGTTTTTAAATTGACCGTGTTAATGGCCGCGAAGGCTGTAATGTCCCTGGCAGTCGGCGTTGCCTCGTGCCATTACAGGCATCCTCGACCATTATAACAGACCTTGGACATATAACAGGGCCAATTTGAAAACACCCATTACATGTAACTAATACTATAATAATATATCCATATAGACAATAATGTTTAGTGTTTGTTGACCATGCACCAGAAGCAGCAGCACATCCAATTTGAAATAAGCTTTTATGAGATAAGTCCTCCTCGTGGCTGATGCATATGAAAAATATTTTAGTTGTCCAATGCAGGAGTCCCTAAGGGCAGGTGTTTAAAGGACACTCAAGCAAATAAACATAGATCATGATTCATGAATATAAAGGGTTCGTTTAAATAACAAAATATCAACCAAAGAGTGTTGTATTTCCATAGCAGAATGTTACTTTTAAAAATTTAAGTAAAATATCGTGATCCCGATGGAAAAGTTTGGGCTAAATGTTGAATTGTATGACATTGATTTTTACTAAATTAAGTGAACAATATACAATTATGGCACGTAGAGAAGGTGAATATCAAAAATTGTCATTACGAAAAGGTTATTTCACTGAGGGCGCAGCCCGAAGTGAAATAATATTTTAGGGTTGACAATTTTGGATATTCATCGCTTCTAAGGGGCCACAATTGTTTTATTATACCGAACTAACAGTGGAAGGGCCTTTTGAAACACTGAAAAAGCACTTAACCTACTGTATCGTAACAAACACAAGTAAACGTTCGATAATAAATTAGTGTTTTAGATGATTTATCGTATTTACAACAAAGGTAGAATATTTTTGCAAAATATTGATGGTCCTGAAAAGGACCGCCGGTTTATAAGAGATATCCTCGGTCCTAGATGCATTTTCAAAGCCTTGTTTCCTCGTCACTTGATGGGCTTCCTGTAACTTGAACGTTGTCATTTTGTTTACTTACGTCTGTGACGTCATTCTCGTGGGAGATAACTCGTGTACAAATCAAGAAACTCAAAAGGTTATCCATCGGTGAATAATAGGGTTATTCACCGCTGGTGTAAATAAATAAAAATTACCCGATTTATTCCATCTCACGTGATAACGTGTTACCCAATAGAATTGATTATAATATATGTAAGGTATAATAATATTTGTTATTTACACTTAGGACGATTTCTGCTTCATAAAACATGTGCCATTCAGGGGAGTTAACTGTAGTGATGCTGCAGGATCACAAATAAATTACTCCAGTATGAAGATTTATCTCCCTCATTCACCTGACGGAATAAAATGGAATAATGTTACAGAAACGCCTTATTTCAACTTTAAAGTATATGTAAGATAATTTAAACCTTTAGAAAAGTTTAAAGTCTGTTATTGTTATTTTCGTTTTGTATGCTGAGGTGAACATGATTATTACAATGTGTAGTAAATTTAATAATTTATGTCAGAAGACCGGAGACATAACTTCAAAATTTTATTGTCAGGAAATCAGGGGAATAATGGTATATTATTCTTTATGCATTTATTTTATCTGTGAAATTCAAAGTTATGACACTATTTTTATTCACAATATAATGTATATTTACTTCATTTGTTTTATATAAACATTGCAAAGGCTTTATTGATTTATTGCCATTTAAATTTCATCGAAGATCTTGTGAAAAAAAAAATACTTGTTGTTGATAAGTGAACAGTACACAAACTGACCAAATATGTCATACTATTTCCATTTGAAATGTCTTCTGATATTGCATCTCATAGCCCTGTTGCATTTTAAATTTAATGCATAAAAACATTATTTCTGCGGTAAAAAAAATATGAATGACCATAAGACCTAAGGAACAAAACCGAACAAATGTTAAGAAAATCACAGGGGTATGCAAAATCTCTAAACTGCTTTGTGCATGGTGTTCTTCTTATTTAGTATGCATATTAACCACAGTTATATAACATAAATACTTTATAACTTTTAATGCAATAGTTTTTAAATATAAATCTGTTAACCAAAAGCAAACAAAAATATCCTGTCCTTTTATTACAGAATTTAACATACCAAGTCCAGTTTGATAATCCTGCCAGTCTCAGATAAAATTTCAAACCATACAAAATTTAGGAGTACGAGGATTCGGTATGTGGAATGCTGATGCAGTAAATTATATTGACAACTCTACAGTGGCAATAAAAGAACGGACAGAAATGTGGGGAGCCTTTCCTACATTTTGATATTTGAGATGTTTCTTTAATGCATATAAATTGTTCATTTATTAAATTTTTCATATTGTTTATTTTTTTAAATAAAAATTAAATATTTTTGTTATTAATGTTACCATTATTATTTACTGTCAATTCAGAAATTATTGTGTGCATTTATTATTGCGATTTTTCAAGAATGGACAAAAATGTGAGAATAATTATTGCAATATCATGAAAATCTGCATACAGATATATGTAACAGACATCAGAATGCAAGTTATTATTGCAATAGTCACCCAGTCGCATTATTCGCATCAATAAAAAAAAACTTGCAATAATTTCTGAATTTACAGTATGTTGAAGTTTTAAACGGCAATATAAATAATTTCTAAATAATATTTTTGTCAGAGATTTCAACCCAGGAACAAGTATATTAATTAAGCGGTTGTTAATATGAAAATAAGGAGATGAAGTATGGTTAATAATGAATCAACTATCCACCAGTCACCAAAGTACGATGTTGTCAACAACTATATAGGTCACCATACGACCTTTAACAATGAACAAAACACATACCGTACATTGTAAAGTATGCCTGATTTATGCTAATGACAATAAAAGAAAAACAAGTATGACAAACATCAACCAACGACAACCACTGAATTACATGATCCTTACTAGGGACAGGCACGTGTTTGTGAGCGATCAGTTATGGCATTTATTCAATTTAGGCATATTTTCAAATAGATACAAATCCATAGTTTTTATAATTATATGTTTTCCGAGCCAAAACACATCCGTTTTTGTATTTGTATTTGTGTGGTTTTTTTTAGTAGATATTCTTTAACATTTTAACATATTTTCACTCGTTTAATGTGCTTTTGTTCTTTTCAAAGACGATTTTACAATAACTATAGGTTATGTATGATGTCCTGCTATTCTTACTTTCCACGTATTCGTAACAATTTACATGGCGTTATTTTTCCCCTCGTGAAAGTTGCAAATAATTCACTCATAAAAATTAATTGGTTTACCGTATTTATAACTAAAACCAGTTCTTCAAACGAACATATATACATATTAATCAACTGCTGTCTCACTGTTAAATTTCGCCCTGGATATAATATTTTATAAAATATGAAGAAATATACCTTGCACTATTTTCCAATAATGACTACTTTAGATTATCTGAAGCAGAGATATATAAATTTATTATTATATGTCTCTGTCTGAAGGAATCGTTAATTATAAAGTGCATATAAACATCAGGATTATCAATATGGAAAACGCACCAGTATTTTGTATTCACCATAAATAATGACATTTGTAAACTCTATGTATAATACAAAATTAGTACATACATTCCGGCATTGAAATATATGTCTTTAATTTCATTGGCCAGAACAGTGTTATCCTTATTCATTCTTTAAAATAAATGTATTTGCAGAAATATTCAACTCTTATATAAAATTGTTAAAATTTTATTTTCAATTTCTGCACACATCAATACGTTATTTGATCATTACATCTGTTAAAACATCCCTTGTAACCAATATAAAACAAAAAAGTTGTATTAATTGTGAATTAATTTAATATAATTAAACCAAATGCCTTCTGTTTTTCTTTTGTTATTTGCAGAATGAATATTAATTTAAATAAGAAAAAACAAAGTTATAATCCTTGGAGACATATAGTATCGGATACAAATGCGGGCCGCTTTTTCCGGCTAAGAACGATGCGGGTACTTATCACAGTTCGATCAATGGTTCTTTATAATCATAATAGTTATTGAGACAGTCATCACCAATTATTTGTTATTTGTAATAATTTTAACCAGATTTTCCTCGCCTTTGAATTATGTTTTCTTTTTATATAAGGATGTTTAAATTGTATTGGCTGGCCTTAGGCTGCAACGGAGATGACACAATATCAGAATGCGGGCGTCACACTCGGCCATATGTCTCCACTATTGTTAAAACCCAATGAATAAAAAATAACAGTGTTCTGTTTTGAACCATGTTAAAGTGTTAAATTGGGAGAAAGAGATGAGACTTTGATTGAAAGGGTTGTCACGTGCCGCGATCATTGATCTATAACGACTGGTCACATTACCTTTAATCTTATTTTTACATGAATTTGAATTTTTACAATGAATATAAAATTCACCTTGTCGGTTCATGTTGACAAAACTTTATAAAAAGTTAATGGGATGCAATTACACTAGTCAAGATAGCGATTTTTATCAAAAAACAGTTAATTGAATTTTAAAACTGGTCTTTTGATCATTAAATCTGTTTAGGTTTTCTCTGTGCATAATATTCTTAACTGTGGTAAAAATCTATTTTGATAACCTTAGATAAAGATGAAAGTATAAAGAGATTGGTTTTACTTTTTTTGAAATTTTGGCCTGGAATAATTTAGACAAATATGAAAAAGAAATAACATGGAAACTCTGTTTGAAGCTTAAACCGTAATATAAAACTGACCAATATATAAAAATCATAATCATTTAATATTTCATTCTCCAATCTATCTATTTTATTTATATTTTATTACTTACATAAAGAAACATAAAATATAAGTCTACCAAGTTCCCTTTGCATTTACCGATCAAGAGTTATCGTCCTTAATTATCATTAAAAAGTTTAATGGTCAATAAATCTTTATTTCGGAACATTGGTGTTGATTGCAGATCATAACATTTTTGTATTCTTCAAAAAATTTAACCTACTAGTATTTTTCTCTAATCTTTATTTGTTTGCCCATTTTCTCTATTCTTTATATTTAAACACCCATCATTCTCTATCTAATTTTTATGTGTGCACATTTTTAGCTCACCTGGCCCAAAGGACCAAGTGAGCTTTTCTCATCACTTGGCGTCCGTCGTCCGTCGTCGTTGTCTGTAATATTTTACAAAAATTTCTCCTCTGAAACTACTGGGCCAAAGTAGAACTTGTCTTGCTGATCATTTTTTGCAATTTAAAGTTTCTCTTTATCTATTATAGTTTTCAAGATAATAGGCAAAAAGTTAAAAAAAAAATGGTAAAATTTGACATTAAAGGGCAATAACTCCTATAAGAAGTCATCTGACAGTTTTGACGTATATATACATTTGGTAGAGCTCAACATTCTGAACATTTCAGATTTTCTCTATTTATAACGGTTTTCAAAATAATAGACAAAACTTGCATTTTACCCCAGCCATGTCGGCCATCTTGGTTGGCAGGCGTGGACATTGGACACATTTTTAAAACTAAATACCCCAATGATGATTGTGGCCAAGTTTGGTTAAATTTGGCCCAGAAGTTTCAGAGAAGAATATTTTTGTAAAAGTTAACAGACGACGGACAACGATAGACGCCAAGTGATGAGAAAAGCTCATTTGGCTCTTTGGGTCAGGTGAGCTAAAAAGGATGATGGAAGGAAAAGATAACGTTGTTTGGATTTATTTTGAAAATTTCAACTCGTCCTAATGAGTTTTTTTCATTGGAAAATGAATACTGAAGTTAGTCGTATTAATTATTCAACTGTACTTGCAACTTTTTTCCGTACTTGCTTCATGTTATGAACCACTTATTTTGAATAAATAAATAAATAAATAAATAAATAAATAAATAAATAAATAAATAAATAAATAAATAAATAAATAAATAAATAAAATAAAAATAGTTAACAAGGATTTTTTAATCTATATACAGTATTCTTCTATCGATTTCAATAATTGTTTTGAACATGTTTGCATTATTTCAAAAAACTGAACAAATAGAATGAACGGTAGATAGTTTTAAATAGTGTTTTTGACAGTTCTCCATAAGAAAAGTTCTCAAGTGAAACATGAATATTCAAAAACAGGAAAAAGCGTCATATACTTTATACTTATTTTATTCATACAACGTTTAATATTTTACAGCTGAGTTTTGATATTATTTTCCTTCTAAATACAATTGAATTTAATTTCAAAACATGATTGTATATTAATCTTTTAAAATCACGAGTACTTCATATAGGTTTTGAATTACTTGGTTTCTTCAGTCTTTGAAGATTCCATCGCTCAAAACTCTGACTTTCTGTTATGTTCTTTCTGCTTCTTTGACCATGCTGCAGGTGTCGAATTCAAGAGCATATTTTTTTGCTAAATAAGAAAAAAAAAAAACTGTGTAAGGGTACATGTTTTTTTTCTGCAGGTGCTATTAATAAAACATTAAAAGACTGATAAAGCATAAAAACAACTCGCTGAAATCAGTTTTTTTTTAAATCAAAATAAATGACTTTAATTAAAATGTTCGGAAGAAAATACATTTTTCAAAAAATAATAATACCTGTAAAAATCGGGTACCCGCATTTTGCATCGAATATCCCTTAAAACAAAGCACCGCCCACAAATAGTCACGTGCCCATAATATCGTCCTACCACAGTGACACGTGCATAATGTGTTCAATAAATTGTTTATTTCTTCTAAAGAAAACGAAGCACGTGTTTTACAAGATTTACAGCTAGATGACAAGATATGAACGAAATTAACATAAATTATGCTTTTCAATAAATGGAAAAACAACTTCAAATAAATAAATCTGGATCGAGAAAAGTTTCACGCAGACAGGCAATCACGAAAGCCGAGATGGACAAATTTGAAATAACTGACGAAATTCTAAAACTATGTTTATATGGAAATTTAATTAAGGATAAAGTGTCTATTGATGGTAAGAATATTGGACTTTATTTGGATAGCTTAAAATGTGAAATGTTTCAGAAATATTTTTTTATTAATAAAAAATCCAAAAGAAACCAGAGACGTGATCATGAGTATGCGTCATATTTATTTGATATCTTCATTTTATCAATTTTAATAATTTATATGTTACTTCATATTTGTTTCATGCTTTAGAATTTTTTTGTTTCTATGGAAGTATGGTTTTCTTTTATATGTTCGCTGTTGTCGTTCCACATTTTATCCCATATCTTTTCTCACAGGAATAATGAACATGCAATGTAACTATAAATATTTCAATTTGACACTTATGTGCAGAAATGTGTTTTTGTAAACCTATATTCAAGTTGATAAAATATTAGATGAAATTTATTCCACTTTTAGATATTTATCTATAAAAAAAGGAGATGTGATATGACTGCTAATGAGACAACTATCCACCAGAGTCCAAATGAGGTAGATGTAAGCAATTATAGGTTACCGTACGACCTTCAACAATGAGCCAAACCCCTATCGTATAGTCAGCTATAAATGACTAACGCATCGATATAAAAGTTCTCGAAGTTACTAGTTCAACAACAATCATAACTAATAAATAAATCATGTTCTCCCAGACTTAAGTATCAATCAGTACACATCCGACAGATTAAGTGTAAAGACGTCATAAATACTCTGAAAAAAGCGTGACCTGTGTAATGGCAAAATATAATTAAGCATTATCGAATGGATGTAGGATCATAAGTAGTTTATTCGTTTAGCTTTTATATTGTTGAATTATTTGCTTGAGAGAAGCAACGCAATGTACTGCTCGTTCTCTTGATATATATACATCTACTTAAAAGGACTAAATCAACATATTTTTGAAAGGATTTGACTGTAATTCTAATAGAACGCACAGTATATTAGTACTGAGTTCAAATGAAGTGGATATAAGTAATTATAGGCCACTGTAAGACTTTCAACAGATGAGAAAAAAACCATACCGTATAGTATGCTATAAAAGGCCCCGACATGAAAAACAATTCAAACAAGAGAACTAAGGCTTACTTTATAGCAAAACAATTATACTCAGTCAGGATTCTACTTCGTCGAAATTATCTCCCAATTACGCCACCTAATTACTATAATCGTAAAAATGGAAGCCATTCTGTAAATTTTACTCTTGATAACCGACCAATTTATCCACATAGCATCATTACGATCCTTATATGCCAGTTGTACTTTAAAAGACAAATGTATCTACTAGCTATTGAGAATCATTTAATGTACTTCTATGCATTTGATCAACTTAAAACTATTGTTTGATCGGTTGTCAAGTGGAATTTTTGAAAGTTCAAAAATATTTTAAAACATTCTAATTAAATATTTCGAGAAAGGACAGACTAAAAATTTTCAGAGGTTGAAGACTAATTACCCTAGATAACACACACACACAATTAAGTTTGTTCGAAGTTATGCATTTTTAAGATCCACTTATAAAGTCTGTCGTCAAGTACTTTTAGTAAAGATTTGTTATCCGAACACACCTACTCTCTTGTTATGACTCATCAGAAAGGTATTTCACTTGACCCATATATTTCATTATTTAGAACTGTAATTTTTTCATGTAAACTTATTAAATCAACCTATAGCCTAAATATACAAAAATAATAGAATCTGAAGCGAGATTATGTATCAAATATTTTTCTTTTATACGTTTTCAAGACAGAATAGTCAACTCAAACACGCCTGAACATAAAGAGGTGTACTCGACTTTCTCTTTGCGATGAAATTATTGCCCATTTTTGGGATTGGGATTTTCAAAATGTCGCAGAGATGCAAATTAATGCTTTAAAAGGATCAATCTATTATCTTTCTTTTGATTTTTTTTTCGGCGGAATTTATGCTTATGCACACAAAAGATCATGTATTTGCACCTACCATGCACAATCTACTGCTTTGTGAAAATGTGTCTATAATTTAAAAGTTTACAAACATCTCGAAGCTCCGTACCATAATTTAAGTAAAAACACATATATAAGATGCATAAAATCTTAAATTATTCACTTCCATTAAGCTTTTAAAGCCCATAGAAACAGATGGAAACAATACAAATTTACCAACTTGGCCTTTTATACCTTCTCTAATAAAGAGTTTCGTTTCTTTTGTTTAATTTCAACTGGGTTTCCGCCTGTACTGCATATAATAATGCATGTATATAGAAATAAGAAGACGTTGTATGATTTCCATTCCCAATGAAACAACAATCCACCAGAGACTAACTGGTACCAAAAGCTACCGAAGCGGAGACGTTAGCCACCTTCTTCTATTATATATGGATTGTAAATGACGTAGATGTAAGCAACTATTTATCACAGTACGGCCTTTAACCATGAGCAGAATCCATACCGTATTGTAAGCTAAAAGGGATCCGATATAACATTTGTAAAACATGCAATTTAAACAAGAAAACCAACGACCGAATTTATGTAAAAAATAATAAATAAAAAACAAATGTAATATATAGCGACCAACGGCAACCACGAAATTATTGGCTTCTGTCTTTAGATAATTAATCTGCGACTTCATTTTATGTCAATTACTTTCATTCTTATGTTGTTTTAGACTTTCCCTCCTTGCCTCTTCCTCATCAAGTTAAAATTGGATTATCGGCACTTCCCGGATGTAAATACGGTGTCTTTGCAAGGACTGTCATACGAACTGGAACAGAAATGGGACCATTTGTTGGACACGTGAAGAGACCATGTGATATACAGAATGTTAGTCATAATCCTAGTTTATGGGAGGTAAAATAACTTTTATATAAGATTTGAGATACATTGATTGTTGCTGGCTTAAACAGTTCACGCATATTCAAGACAGAACAAATTAAATGATATTATAGGTAGGGTCTAAAAGGTATGAACGGTGAAAATTTTGAAATGTTACTGGAAATGTGGGTATGTTGGATCGGGGCATAAAGTTTAACTTGCAACTGGTCATATACCTAAACGACCTGAAGTGGCTGCATATTTCTACATGCAGCACAGACTAACGGACGAACCACTTCAGCAAGTGCTTTACTACCAGGTGGAAGAAGTCAAGACATGACCATGTTTCTATACCTAAAATCAACCCTTGGGGTCAAATTTAAAATAAAAAGTAAAAAAACTGAGAGAAAAAAAAGATGAAAAGAAACATTTACATCGAAAGTTCAGAAGTACTTTTTCATATAAAAACAAGAAGATGTGGTAAAATTGCCAATGAGACAACTCTCCACCAGAAACAAAATGTCATAGTACAAACAATGAATATTTGTTTATTATTTCTTTTATTTATAACTTTTTAATAAATACATTCAATAATAAAATAATTGATATATAAACATTACTACCGCGTTTCAAAATTTCAGGCCAAAAATTAAGGCAACAGCAGTTAACCATGTTAAAAACCACAAAATTAAATCAAGGAAACAAACAAAAACTGAGGGAATTATTATAAACACAAGAAAGAGCGAGACTGGGTGCGTCGACAGATTACATGTAAGGGTATCTAAAAATCTAAGACCGCGAAAACATGTCGTTAGTAATTAAGTTGAGACATAGACATGAAGTATATTTTATAGACTACGGCACCTTACCAATTCTCAATCAAGTGAATGCCTTATTCATTACTAGAAGATTTTTTTTAAGGGAACAGCATGGCTTGTTGTAATAATTTGGTGTGTTGTTAAGCATGTCTAAAAACATTCGCAAGGTTTATGATAAAAACATTATAGCGACGTCTTTCAGGTATTTGATACAACGGGCCATTTACTACACTTTATTGATGGTGGACATTATAATCCCGCTAGCTGGCTCTCACTGATACAATGTGCGAGATCTGAACGAGAACAGAACTTAGAAGTGACACAAATCGGAGCCAATTTGTTTTTTAAAGCATCAAAGGTGATTATATCAACATGGTTTAATCTAGTTAATACAATGAAAACAACAAAAGATGAATATAACTTTATATACATTACGATAACCCGAATAATGCAGTCCCTCTCCATGATCAGTCTTTCCTTCTTGTAGCCATCGTAGAGCAGCGGAATATAAAGACTGAGTTATTCGGGTTAACATTACGACTGCTATACCGACAAAAATACGTTAAATAGTCAAGCGTAAATGTCGTTAACCATGCAGACGGCATCATTCCTACAGGAGATGGACATTGTGGTTTATCGCAGTGTAACAACCAGAAGTTGTTTTAAACGAGACTGGATTAAGCATGTACAAAACAAAATATAATAAAACCATTGCAAATGCATTGTTAAAAAGGGTGGAGGCCAACATACCAAATACTTTATTTCAGTGAAAACGTCAACATTATTCTGTAGAATTATTTCTTAATACTATATTTTTGTTAGTTTCACAATATATAGATATTTTACTACAATATATTTTGTTTTTAGGATATTTTATGTGGTCAAGAATTATTGGTTTGGTATGGAATGTCACATTGTTTGTTCATGGGTTTACCACTTCAAAACAAGACTGAACGTAAAGTCATACCAGGTATTATCTTAAAATTTAGCTTAGCGAAAAAGCGGGATTTGAAGTATTGTGATTGTTGTGTAAAATATTCCGTTCATTCGTTGGTTTTTCTGGTCACTTTTTTTTAATCCGAAACTCTTTTTTAAGTTGTATAATAGGATATGTTGGGGGTATCAATGATGCAACACAAATGACACAAATAACGAAAAGATATTTATTATAAAAGTCAACATGCCGAGTTCAACAAGCAACGTGTCTGTACAGTATGCCAAACTCTAAATCTTCCCGAGTCTAAATAAGTTGTGAAACAGAGACTATCAAAGGTCTGCCATCAACACAAAATTTTCAAAATAATATTTAATAAAAACCCACTAAGAACAAAAGTCAATAGCTGGCAAAGTCCCTGGCGTTGAATTCAGAGAGGCACATGATCAAGTGGCAGAACTAAACTAGACAAGTTTTTGTTTCACATGCAACGAAAGTCGAATTCGACGTGGTGTTTTAAGATTCGACGTCGTCGGTGGCGACATGTGTTAAAGTTTTTGATTAGGTCACACATGCGAGATAAATATCTGCTATTAACTTAACAGTTTCTTCGGAAAACGTCTTGCCTTACAGCAGCCTATCAATGGACCCCTTAAAGGCATTTGCACGAGGATCCATATCATTCTATAGTTTCTGCTAACTGGACGTGACTGCGTATTAATATATCCCACATCCAAAGGGACACTTCTTTTTAGTGTAGATTTTACTTCCGAATGGGATACATTTTTAAGTGTAAGTACTTATGTAACCCAGCGATGTCCTTGTGTCTTATTCATCTTAAGTTTCTGCATCAGAATAGATATAAAGTAGGATACGGTTAATCTAATAATATAATTTTTATTGTCATATAAACAAATTAAACATGTTTGTGACCAAAAAAAATCACACACACTCATATCACTCATATATATATATATCAATTATCGTAAAGCCTATAAGAAAGTGACAAAACAAAATACAAATTACAACAAATCTTGTAACCATCAATTAATCAAGAGTCCCTTGTCATCAGTTCCATTGACTGTTTTAAAAAGGAACCTAGACTTTGTACGTTGAAAATGTGTTGGATTGAGTAAATATTGTGGGTTTTTTTTTAGTGCATCTCATAAAGTCAATATTTTGAGAACAATTTCAGAGAAGTAATTGTTTCTTAAATTTTTATTTATTTCGCAATAAAAGAAGAAATGAAATTCATCATCTATATCTTTAATAGAGCAAAAATTACAATGATAATCTAAGATTTCGTGGTACTTTTTTATATCTTCCCAATTCAAGCTCCAGATTATGATCACGTATTCTAAATTTAGTAATAAGTTGACGAATTTCAAAGTTTGAATGTGACAAGTAAAATTCTGTCTCAGTATCTATTTTTAGATCTTTGTAGGTAAAAAGTTTATTTTGTTCACATAGGTTTTCAATATTAGTTTTATAGAGGTTTTTATATTGATTAGAAATTCCTACTTTGATAACATATTTTAGAGATTGTACTTCCTTTATAGTTTTGCATGAAGCCAACTTTTTGGGATCATCTGTCTCTTTAGGGATAATATCTTTGACATATGTATACCAGGAATATACATTTTGTGCATCTAAAATCTTACAGATTTCAAATGATTCCTTTAATAGGGGATTAATCTCTTTAGTATGTAGCCTAGCCAAATATAATAAAGACTGGACTCTAATATAGTTTTCTATTGGTAATTCCTTCAAACTTCAAGACGAGTTGCCAAATTTGTTGAGCATTTTCTAACACCCAATATGTATTTACAAAACAGAATGATAAATGAACCTTTTCAAAAGGTGATCGATCTATAAAACAAAATGGATCAACAATTTTGTTACTATAGTTTGCACGAGCTTTTGCTCTTATGAATGGTAGGTATGAGTCCATCGTGCATATTTCAACGTTATAAGTTAATATAGGTCTGACCAATGAATCAAATAAACTAAATGCCACTTTGATTGGCACAATGATTACCAATAGCTGAAAATCGGCGGAATATAAAGCAAATATAATCTTCCTAGCTTTCTTTGCTAGATCATTAATGCTAGAATTAAGATTACCATTTCTACTAAGAACAGACCCAAGAAATGTATATTCTTTAACATTGTCAATGATTTGAGTTTTATACTTATTGTACAAACCATGTAAACCGAATATGAATCAGACCTAAAACTGCAAACTTTTATACTTTCAGAAAACAGTCAGATACCTATAATGACAAATAGTAAAGAAGTTATTAGTAAACTTAAATGTGTACTATGTCGGCGGGGCTTCAACTCAAGGAGTAATTTAAGATCACACATGCGCATTCACACCTTAGAAAAACCATTTGCCTGTAAATATTGTAGTAGAAAGTTCAGCCAATCATCAACACTAAGAAATCACGTGAGATTACACACGGGTAAGTATTCCGACAATATGTTAATGTAGCATTTGCATTATACTTAACAGCAAACAAAACGCACCACCTCCATTAATTTCGATTGCATGCAACTTGTAAAAATATAATTGAAGTGCGTAAAAATTTTTGATACGAAGTTTCTGAAGTCATAAACTCCAAATTCTGTGACATCTCAGAAAAACAAATCTTTAACACACAAAAAAATGTTGCAAACTTTGTGAAAACTAAAGTCGTGTGTATCTTTTCACCTGCAAACAACGAAAATTACTTTGATTAACAGTTTCTTAATCGAATTCTTATCTAATGACCAATTTGAAATTGACTTATCACAGACTTGCGAATTTTAACTTTGATTTTAAAAATTTCAATTGTCGCCACTAAATAAAATTGAGAATGGAAATGGGGAATATGTCAAAGAGACAACAACCCGACCAAAGAGCAGACAACAGCCGAAGGCCACCAATGGGTCTTCAACGCAGCGAGAAAATCCCGCACCCGGAGGATGTCCTCAGCTGGCCCCTAAATAAAATTGCGTACTAGTTCAGTGAAAATGGACGTCACACTAAACTCCAAAACATATAAATGAACTAAAATTAAAAAAACATACAAGACTAACAAAGGCAAGAGGCTCCTGACTTGGGACAGGCGCAAAAATGCGGCGGGGTTAAACATGTTTTTGAGATCTTAACCCTCCCCCTATACCTCTAGCTAATGTAGATGTATAAATGTATAAAGAAACACATAGCAATACGCAAATTTCTCTGTAAACTCTGCATTAATTTCAAGGTTATGCTTCAAATATAGTAGATTTCTTCAAATTTGTAGCAAAAACAAGAAATTGTGAAACTACTATATATGGTAATATGTGGTGCGTTATTTCTGTTGTTAAGTATATTAAAGAAGCAAGAGTTAATGGGAAATTTGTAAAATGCACCCGCTGCCATGTGTCATTCAAGAGGATTTTGAATGACACATTTTATTAATGTCCCGGAAAGAAGATGTGTAATATTTGTTCATGCAAAACTGAAATTATAGTATATCCTTGCAGTATATTTTCATCTTTCACTCTTTAAAAGAAAGAAAAATCGCGAGGGATAGTAAATATGGAAATTGATAATTTTACATTAATATTCCAGTTTCGTTGCTTTTGTACGGAAGCCAGTTAGGGTCACATGAAACAAAACATATGTCGTAATAACGACACACCTATCTCGTTATAACGACATCCTATTTACAATATATATTTGTTTTATATTCTTTTACATCACAATAGCTATGAATAATTATCTCCCTTTTAGTTTTTACTATGAAGTTTTGTTTTTTTTCCTGATTTAGGAGAGAAACCATATAGATGTTCATGCTGTAATAGTTCCTACTCACAACTAGCTGGACTCCGTGCTCATCAAAGAAGTGCTCGACATCGACCGACTGTAGGAGAAGCAAATTAAATAAGAAAGAAGTACCAGCGGACATCAACTAGATTAGTTTGTGAATGAAGAAGAGTGGTGGAGAGTTGTCTCATTGGCATTAATACCATAAGACAAAACACATGAATGATCGGTATCAAATATGAACCATACATATGCCGAAGTTTTAGGTATCAGCATACTATCAGAAAACCTGAATATATTCTGGCAATATACTGCAATCAAAATACCGGAGTTTACAGTCATGCATTCCGAAATTTACCGTAACGAGTCTAAGCTTACCGTGAAGAGTCGAAGTGTACTTAATTCATAACGAAACATTGCATTATGGTCTTGTAAGCGACCATGAGGTAACGTTAAACGGATTTCTTCAGTTTCATCCAATTTATTATAAACATGTCTAATTTTATTTAGATTGTTCATGATTTTCTTTTTATTATGAATTATCAATAACTACATGGAATGCCATCAGAATATAGTGTTCATCGATTCAGAATGATTTTGTTTTAATGTGAAGGTTCACTCAATCTGAAATATGCATGTTTAGCTTTTTTTTTTTATAAAATCAACTATTTGTACAACTTGGCAGATTGAAACCGTCTGATTAGATAGTTTAACAAAGCAAACATATTCCTTGTAAAAAATTAATATACATATCTGCTTTCAACTTATTTCCGATGTACGTTTGTGTGATGTTATTTTTTTTAATTTATGTAGAATGTTATGGCATGCAGTATAAAAATGCGTGCCAAGTTTTTCCAAGAGGCAGCTATTCAAATGAAGCAGATTTAATCAATTATAAGTCACCATACGGACTTAATCAATGAGTAAAATACATACCGTAAAGTCGGCTATAAAAGGGCCCTGACTTAACCAAATGTGTAACAATTCAAACGAAAAAATCAATATTAAAACCAACCAGGATTTATAACTTAGCAATGAACGTATAACAAATACAACAGACAACACCCAACGACAAACACTGAATTACTGGCTCCTGACTTGTGACATGCAAATATAAAATGTGGCAGGGTTGAATTTGTTTGTGAAAGTTCAAACCTACCCCTAACCTTGGAAACTGGTGTAACAGCACAACATTAGGACAAACTATAAAAATCAATTGTATGAAATGGCTTGACCCATCAGATTGGCTCGAATCACAAAAAAAAAAAACCAAGCAAACATAAAGACAATAGACCCAAATACCGATGAGTAGGTGGTAAGAGTACTCGCAGTGACTGAAAGCAAGTTCAAAGTCCAATTGAATAACAACTAATAAATAAATCATGTTCTCCAAGACTAAAGTATCAATCAGTACACATCGAACGGATTAAGTGTTAGCACGCATTTGAGTTGCATGTTCAGTTTAAGATCTACCAGTTTAAGATGAACTGTTGACGTTTTTCCATCCCTGTGTCTTTCCATTCTTCCAAGATGTGAAAAAAATATCATTTTCCAAAGGCAGACAAATTTACATAATGACTGGTTTTTAGAGTCCGCCAATCTAATTAAGTATAGAACTCTGATTTTCAGAGTTCTATATTTTAATTAGATTGTAGAGTCCGCATAAACTTTTGTGTTACATCTATTTAGTCTTTTCATCATTTCGGTGTTTGGGAAAAGCGGTCAATTCGATCTATTTGAACTTTTCATCATTTTGGTGTTTGGGGAAAGAGGTCAATTCTTTAATTAACGTGAATCGCTTTGTTTTAAAATGATACGCCTTTTTCACTAAATCGGGTGATAAATGTAATACTTGTAATTTGGTTTCATTGACAAATTTTATTGGTGTAGTTTAGACGAGGAGGTGATAATCGGTTGCAGTTTTGGTCTGTGCGAGTTTTTCTATTGCAATAATATCATTATTTTCTATTACAATGTCGAGCAAAATGTGTAATTGTTATTATTTCATTTTCCATGTTAAAATCCTCATGATAGAAAACGTGCAAACAAATATCGTTATTACTTTGGTATAAACGTCATATCTATGATGAGACAGAGTTTATTTATAAAACAATCAGCTAGCTTTATATATATAGTCCAAATTATGAATATACATCAAACGTTTACGAGTTTTTTTTTCGTTTCAAAAAGTATTCTGATTTCGCTTTTTTTAAATTTATTATTAATGTATCTATTTTGGGAGGAAACAAATAAACCCTGCATCTTCTTCATAATGAGACACAACACATACTTATTTGTCATTGGACGTTCGCGGCAATCAATCAATTAAACAATCGTCGTGGTGCAGCGTATAATTGCTAATATTAAAAATCAATTGTTTAATACAATTACTTGAACCGTAAAATATTGTTATAAAAGAGGGCGAAAGATACCGACGGGACATTCAGACTCATAAGTCGAAAATAAACTGACAACGCCATGACTAAAAAAGAAAAAGACAAACAGACACACAATAGTACGCAAAACACAACATAGAAAACTAAAGACTGGGCAACACGAACCCCACCAAAAAATGGGAGTGATCGTATAACTAATCTACACGATATTTCCAAGTATCTGGGGGTGGGGGGTAATTAAGAAAATAGCGAAATGGACATTCAAAACTTTATATCTCCCTATTTTGATAACATAGAACCACCTATTATTTCGTATACATACAAAAAACTCAGTACAAGTTTAATTTTTAATTATACGTCAGTTACATCAGACGTCAGTATAGGAAATAATTATATAATGCTCCTTCAACATAGAACTTTTGATATGATCCATACGGCCATGTTATTACGGGAGATCTCAACATTGTTCAAGACCGAGCAGTTAAAAACTTGACCAACATATCGTCTACCATCTGAAATACATTGGAAACAGTGTCGCCAATTAATTAAAGACGCTCTTCCATCATGTCGTAAAAGTTGGTGTAATCGGGGAAAATCTGATAAAAAATCTCTTCGATCCTTTTTTTAAATAAATGTATGAATATTGTGGATATTCGAATTTTACAATTTGAAAATAATTTACAAATGAATAAAGGGAACACAATAACAGTGTGTGAACGGAACTCTACGGTTTTTCATTTTTTTGATCGTTCGGGAGACTGTCAAGCGGGGCTCAGACATTCGAAAAAATAGCAGGTTGCTAGATGAAAAGTTTGATGAACTCAAATGTTACTATGTAACGTTTCTGCTTCAAAAATTGGTAACGAAAACATTCCATATGTTAATATGAAACAATCAAATAATAAAGACGATATATGCATCCAAACGTTTTCCTTTGAATGGTGGAGCTTCGAATTAATCGATCAAAACTGTCACACAACAGCGATAAGAATGTCAAAAAAACATAGAAAAATAAATCGTTACTAACTGAATTTTCACTTGTACCTTTTCTGATATAGAGTTTTACCTGTCAGAAAGTTTAAAAGCCATTGTCCCAGTAGAAATCCAAATACATCCATTATCTCAATGTCGGATATCGTAGTTTTATTGACTGTACAATCGCTTGCGAGTTTACTGTAAAATCACTTGGGCCTTTCCTGTACAATCGTTTGGTCAACTTCATAAAATACATTGCATATGTATTTCATTGTCTGTTCCTTGTCTGTCCTATTATATTCATTTTTGGTACACAAATAACTTAACATAATATAGGGTGTGGATGGGGTTTACTGAATAGAGAATAATGGGCAAAAAATATAAAGAAAAGAAAAAAATGGACCAAAAAAATAAAGAATAGAGAATAACGAGGTGCTAAAATATAAAGAATAGAGAATAATGGTCAAAAAGTATAAAGAATAGGGAAAAATGGCCTAAAAAATTATGCATGTTCAGGACGAACGCTTAATTTTAAAAAGCTCTAACGAAACATACGAAGAGAGAGAGAAATGTATAGTTGATTAGTTTGTAACGATAAAAATTCATTGTTCATATGTCAAAGCAATTTATTTTGATGAATACATTCACAAAGAATAACAATACTAAAAAAAATACCACAAATATTTAAGATTTCCAATAATTGTCGTTGATTATAATATTCATATATTTTAATTCACAAGAGCTTATGTTTTTTGGATAATTTGTCAACGCTATAGGTCGCTACATAATTTAACAATGATAAAATATGGTATTTGGTGTAGGCATAGATCATCATAAATCTCCTCCAACCGGTTCTAATTCGGACGGCTGCACATTGTTTGACTTTTTACACAACAACGCTTTCAGTCGTTGTCTAAAATCTTTGATGCAAAACACATAAATGAATGGATCGAGTAGAAAATTCAACAGAATCATTGAATTACATCGTGTCATCCATGATACATCAGATTCCGAAGGAACGAATATAAGTGAATAAAACGCAACCACAGAACGCGGTATGTTCGCCAACAGAGAAAGAGCTATGGTAATTGTAAGCGTGACAATCGGCTGCAGTTTTCCAGACGAGTTTGTTGATTGGACGGGGTTTTGTGACTGGATCGCTGTTCGTCTAATGACACGTACCATGATAACAGCATAAACAACAACAATTAAGAGATAAATACAAACTATCGGTAAATCAACTAAAAACAACATTGAAGTGTCTGTGAATGTTATAGCTGTACATCCGTTTGTGTTTTCTTGTGTTGTTAAATCGATAATCACGTGGAGTATTGCTACGCAATGAAAAATCCAAAACGCTACAACTACGCCTTTGTTCGAGGTCAGGTTTTGCAAAAACACATTTTCTGTTGCAAACGTTGCATGTAGTCGCTCCATGCAAATCAATGCGCATTGATATAATGAGAAGACGAAAGTTCCCAAGGTGAATCTTGTTAATGATTTGCACGGAGGGATAAAACTGGTGTTCTCCGAACTTAATTCTTGTAGCATAATAACGAGGAGCAATTCTACCAAAGAAAGAATATCACTTATGCTCAAAGACAAAACTAGTTTCTGAAATCTCACTTGCTTCAAATTTGTCGAAGTAACCAACAGTGAAATTGACAGGACATGAGGTAGTAATGACGATGAGAGCACTACCACACGCACAATCTGAAGTCCATTCATTGTACTATTACTAACTTCGATAGTCTGAAGTTGTCTTGCATATGTTTATGAGATCCTCATCTGAATGCTGAAATGGCAAACTACTTCTGTTAAAACGTTTCATTCTTTCTTAAATAGGTTCATTAATCCAAATTAACAATTGTTGCTAACTACATGTATGTGTTGAAGCAAATTAACCAATAATGATATTTATTTGAGAACGTTCAAATAACACATTTTCTTTTCGAACAAAATATATTAACTATTATAGGTAATTTAACAAATTACTATGTTATTGATCCTCACTTATATCAAATTTCTCATTATCTATCATTTGTAATGGCAGTGGTTCGAAATGAAATCCGATAAGTATATGTGTTTTAACCGAAATAGGGCAATAATAAAAACATGTTGGTCATATTTCACTTAAACCGCGGCCGTTTCTTATATATATATCAAATTCTTATATTACTATGTATTACATTTCATGTTTTCATAAGAATCCGTACTTTTGATTGGCCGATACAATTGAGGGACTTCCAAAATTAGATTTTATTTCCCAATAAACTGCAACATTTATGACGGCACGTGCTTTCCGTGACAACAATGCAAAGAAAAACAAACAACAATTTTATACAACTCGTTATCTCAGGGTTGTAGTATAAAAATGTGATTATAAGAATTAAATTGAATGCTTCTTTTTTAAATCTTATAAGGTTGTAAAAGCGTTGAGCGTGCGCACATTTTACCACAAAACATATGACGTCGCCCTATCAAAATCGCCTTTATAAACGAATAGCATTAGGATTTTTCTATTGTAAAAAAAGTATGCTTAGATTCTTGACATGTTTTTTATATATGTGAACATCCGATAATATTATGTTTTTCGGGGCTATATGATTATAAACCTATTTACTAAGAATTGCTGTGTGGATATAAACAGAAATAATGAATTTCCTTAAGTTAATGAATATAATATAATGCAAAGTTTCATCTTTAAAAAAAAACCAATTCAATACCATGAAGATATCGTCATGTTCGTCATTTTAAACTGCAATCAAAAATATAAAAAAGGTACTAACATATAGACGCAATACACTAAGTTAATATTCAAATGTCACCTTCCTAATAGAAAAACAAAGGATATGGGGTATCCATCCATGATACAAAATCAGTCCATGCACAGCTAAAAAACACAAAAAGCAAAGGAACAGTGCTTTTATTGCTGTTCTTAATCTCAAAGTCACAGTGAAGCCTTCAACAAGGAGCAAAAAAACTCTCACCTCACTGCAAGTTTAAGACGGCCCCTAGCACATACTTGAGCGGAATTCTTTACAAAAATAATTTGAATAGACTTTGGATAGATTTGTTTAACATTAAAATTTTGAAGTAAAATGAATTTGCACATTGATCTGACAAGTAAGTAAAATCATCATTTTTAAATTATTTCATTAAGGACAGGAGACTTTCGCTAATTACTGCATATTATCGCTATTTTACGAAAATTTCCTTTGATCTTACTGACTGATAATTCAGCGGAGTCGAGTGATATGAAAATTATCGCGAGAAACTAAGGGGGCACGTGCCGTTGCTAATGAAATTGACATGAAATTGAATTGACAACGTCGTCATAGGTAAAATAGCGATAAACAGGGTTGCGTTCAATATCGTAGCAGCTACATAGTGCTATACGTAGATTTTTGCCTACTGAACGAGTAGCTAGCCTAGCTGCTATCAATATCTATGTAGCAGCTAGGCTAGCTACACGTTCAATAGTCATAAATCTACGTAGCCCTATGAGGCCGCTACGATATTGAACGCAACCCAGATTATCATTGGTCATCTCAACTCGATTGCTTTTCTCGCTTTCGCCGTCCCGGCTCAAGCGAGAAAATCAATCTCGTTGAGATGATCAACGATAATCTATAAATCCACAGAACTGTAACCATTTATTGACAAATAGTAACCAAGACTGTCTCTATTTATCTGTCATTTAATATACGTAGACTAGAGGCAATACACAATTCTAATAAAGATTTACCTTGTACATTTACAACAAAACCTAATAATTTCAGTGTCCACTTCATAATAATCTGGTATTAGATTTTCACCGTCAAAATCATTAATTTGGGAGGAATCACCTTTGATAAAGTCAGGACATTGACCAGTTCCCCATTAGAGATTTGCGGAAAGTCTCGGTTCCGACTGTTGACTCCGACTCTGACAGCAAAAATAACAGGGGTCGTCTCAAAAGTTAATTTAGCGGCGCACTTGATTCATAAGGAGTCCATAAACGGAGCATACTATCGCTCCACCGACAATAAGAATCAAAATTTGAATTCAGAGTTTTAGTAACAGCACATTTCAATCGGATATGTCGTCAAGCTAATACACGTGTATATGAAGCCAGATACGTTATTTTGAATGATTCTTATCCTTCATCTATAATGCCATAGTTATATATAAATGTATGTAAACTTATCTTTGATATAAAATGCATTCTGTCATCTCAATCTTTCCATTAAAAAGCTTTACACATTGTGGCAAAGATATTTGATATGTTTCCTTTATCTAAATTACAAAAAAATGACTTTTTACCAGAAACACAATCTTCCATGTTGCCGTTTTATGCTGATAACACGTGGAACTAAAGTTAATTTTATAGGTAGACATTTTTTGTAAATCATAACTCCAAAAGTACAAAGCAAAATGGCAATTCAATATTTCAGTATAGTTTTCCAGAATTTCGATTCAAACGGCATGTACATGTATGCTTACCTATTCTAAAGTTAATTTCTATTATTATGTTGTAGATAACAATTGATCCTGTTAGAAAACAAATGTTTCTTGAGATTTTTCCAGTTTTAATTCTCCACCCTACTGATTCAACGGAGTTTCTACAACAATTAATTCAGATCATTCTTTCAATTATTCGACCTCCCCCGGACCCTTTACTGGATAAAACTCATCCAAATCGGCATCCCGTAACTACGTCATTTACGCGACAGCAAATCGACAGAAAACCTGATCCAGAAACGCAAGATTCGAAAATGTAATAGAATTAGTGCAGAATATAGAATTCTTGTCGAACATGCCATGGGTGACCTAAAACATTATAAAGTGATGGGTACTTTGTGGAGGCACCCAAGACAAAAACTCAGACAAATTGTGGAGAATTGTGCAGGATTTGTAAACAGAAGACAAACCTTATTTGGATAAATAAATCGTTGTGTAAAATCTTGTTTAACTTTTATTTGCAAATTTTACCTTGAAAAACTAATTGTTTAGTACCTTTTTTTATTTTTGAGACAACTCTTTTCATTTTACCTGTCAGTGTAGGTGTCAACAGTTGGTACCGAGACTTTCCGTAAATGTCTATTAGGAGTATACCACAATTTCATTGAGAAAATTTATTTAAAACATTAGACCTCTCGTCAGTTTGTCTCTGAAAATGACAAATTCAATAACGAACAGTTTTTTTTCTACATTAATATGAAGAATGATTTATATTTTATTTACAATTTCATACAAAAAACAGCAGCTTGTTACGCTACCGAATAATTTCTGATAATCCTCTAATCAATAAAACCGTGGTCCACAAAAGAATAGAGGAAATGTTAATCAATAATTCTATACGTAAATTTAAGTATTGCATTGCCTTAGAATTCCAAATGTTGGAACAAGAAACCAAATAACGGTCTTACAAATGATAGAGATTAATGTAACTAAATAATACTGAATCGAGTATACCTATCCGTTCAATCACGTGATTGCACAGAAAGGTGAAGGCTACAAATGATCCGTCGATTTGCAGGTAATGTACGTTCAGTAAACATATAAAATTGAATACTATTGGTCAGTGATGGAATTTAGAAGTTAGCAATGTATTATTGCTTAAATAGTGTGCAGAATGCTCAAATCCTAGCATTAATAAATTTGGTTGATTGGCGTCATTTTGTAACGTACAAGTACACAAAAAACTGTTTGAAAGCCAATCACTAAATATTTGTACGAAGTTTATACTGAATTGTATCTTATTTTTTGTTTTGTTTTGCAATGTTTATTTTGCTTTGTACACATAAATTGTCCTCTTGCATACTTGTATGTGTAACCGCCTCGGGTGTCTCGTTGTAGTGAGCTCGCCCCGAGTGCGGCAGGTCTCGGGTTCGATCCCCGGCCGAGTAAAAAACAAAGACTGTAAAATTGGTATTTGTTGCTTCTCAACTAAGCACAATGACGCGTCAGACAGAAGTAAGAGCAAATACTGGTCGACCCGGGTCAGAATTATAATGTGTCCGAAAGAAATTTATTCCAGAAAACACTGAGTCAGGTTTACAAAAACAATGACGGATTTAGGGGTTGTATGGAGTATACACCACCTGAAGTTTGCCTTAGAAGGATAGTCATCATTTTCCATTATAGACTCAAAATCCCTCCTTACCAAATTATTGGTTCTCCGTCTGCAATATCACTTTTAAACGCTGTTAGGGAACGATCATTTAACTTCAAAGGGAAAAGGGGGGGGGGGGGGGGGGGGGGGGGGTTATGTTTTTTTTTCCTAAAAAAATATTCTGATCCCAAATTTGATGAAAAAAATATTGTGGTCAAGCGGATGACAAAAAAAAAATTCTGAATCCAGTTTTTCCCCATAGCTTATAGTGTTAAATTTTGAAAAAAAAATAATTTGATTGATAGCGTCGAAAAACTAAAAAAATAATCTGACTCCGACAAAAAAAACATAACCCCCCCCAACCCCCCCCTTTTTGAAGTTAAATGGTTGCTCCCTTATTGGAAAGATCATAATATATTAATCATTGGCAAACTAGTAATCACTGATTAACATTTTAAGTAACAGATACTATCTGTATGTAATTAAACGATATATTTGGATATGTTATTGATAATTTTTACTCATTAAATGTGTTTGTGATAATGTAAAATTTCCATATGAGTATTTTTTTTCTTATAGATATGCAAGCGATTTGCACATGTTTCTTCGTGGTTGTGTCAGTTGCATCGGTGAGATAATGTGTTATGTATATTTAAGTTTTTTTTTCTCGACCGGACGTGGCTGCGTATTTAGATGCTCCCCGCACAGTAAAAACAGAGACCCTCCTTCAACACGGGTTATCCTTTCAGACGAAAATAGTCCAGGCACCGATATCTCTTTACGGTGGTTCGGATCCTCAAATAATTTTCAGAAATTTACGATATTGATTTACCTCTCTGATTGTGTGTTTGTTAAGTGTGATTAGTAACTGTATTTGTCTCGCTTCAACGAAGTCGATAAAGCGAGACGTTGGCGGCGGCGTCAACAATGTATTAGTTTGTGTTTATGTCAGTTTATAGGGATCCACTGGTGGTAGGTCAGTGAGATTTGGTATACAGTGCATTAGCATTATCACATCTCATTTCGATTGAGATAATTTGCAAATCTCTAATCAGTCATGGTCGATTGATTTTGAAACTTTTCATTAATTTACATGTTAAAGGTCGGGATTAGGCCAGTTTAAGGAGAACCACTAGTGTTAGGTCAGTGATAATATTTGATATGCAGTTGTATAAGCATTGACACATTTCAAATCCACCGCTCCCTCAGTCATGTTCTATTGACTGAAACTTTTGCAAGTTTGTAATTTAGTCAGTTTAAGATGAACCACTACTAGTAAATCAATGGTATTTGGTATGCAATTGTATGAGCATTTATACGTCTAATTTCTATTGATATAAAGTGGCTACGCCTTCTCCTCATGAGTCATTGACTTTAAAACTTTTGCGTAGTTTACATGTTAAAATTTGTGTATGGAACTAATTTGTTAAGGCAAATGAATTAACGGGAAAATGCACGAATGTAAAAGCTGTCTCAATAAACTATGACCGTCCGACCTTATCAAGGTCACATGTTAAGGAGTACAAAGGTGAAGAGGACCTACGACTAATAGATTCCTGGAACCTTTCCCATATATGGAGGCCAAATAGCTTTGTGGGAAAAAATGAATTTGCAGCAAGCTGAAAAGCTTATTAATAGTAATTATCAATTCATAGTATGTTTTTATTTGTTACGATTTTTCAGATATTACCCAAAAACCGTTATGAAATTTGATTCAAGTTTAATAAGTTAAACTCCTATATGAATCATGCACCTGAGAATGTTAGACCGATTATTGAAATATAGATCATGATATGTTGAATTTTTTTTTCAATTTATAGCATGAATAAACAGTAGCAATAATCAGTGATGAAGTTCCTAACGAGGGACAGACACACACAAATTTGGTAGGGTTAACCTTGTTCAATGGGTTTTGAACTGACCCTTTTAATATTGATCAGTGGAAGAAAAAAAGATCGTTAAGAATTCCGCGGCAACCTGTGTCTCGTCTGAAATTGCGGCTGTCAGTGTAAACGTGTAATGTTGACTTCTAAAAACTCAATCCATCTATTAGTAAAGTGTGGTAATATAATCATGAAATTTTATGTCTTTCTTCAGATGCTATATCTTGATATTGAACAAGCTTCTGTCCAAGTTTCATGACATTCAATAAATGTTTGACTTTATTGATATCTACAAATTAATGTGTCCTATTGTTCACTGCTAAAAGAGTTTATCTGTAAAATACGGAAAACGAAAAAAATTTGTTTGCTTCAGACGTCATCTCTTAATCATAACAGAGCTTCTGTCAAAGTTTCATAAACTTCTATGAAGGTTTGATAAAGTTATTGATGTATAAAAAAACTTTTATCCCGGACTGTATTTTAATATCAGCTGCAAAAAAATCTAATTCCTCATCAATACGGAAAAGATATAAAAAAAGAATGTTCCAAATTTTGCTCTGGATACTGTCTTTTGACCATAGAAAAGATTCTGTCCAAGTTTCGTAAAATTCGTGAGCTTTGACAAAGTTTGACGAAACTTTAACCACAGACTACACCTAAAAGTTGACGCCGCTGAGTCACCAGAGTTTACGTTCGTTATGTCTCGCTTTCGAGACATAATGTCGCAGGCTCGACACAAAATATATTCAATCAAACAAAAGAATAAAAGTACAATCATTGATATCGGTAAACCTTGTATAGTTATATGTGATAATGTATCAGACAACTCTCATTCTGTGTTTCCGCTAAAATCATTCTAATATAGAGTTTGTTGAAATGTACCAGTATGAAACATTACCATGCATTGGAAATGTACCCGTATGAAAAATTACCATACATTGGAAATGTACCCGTATTAAAAAATACCATGCATTGGAAATGCAGTGCACCAGTATGAAAAATTACTATGCATTGGAAATGTACCAGTATAAAAAATTACCATGCATTGGAAATGTACCCGTGTGAAATATCTACTTTTTGTTTTTGCATTTACAGGCCGACTACACTAAAACTATAAATGGCAACTTCCCTTCAGCCAATGATAATATAGTTGCAGGTAAGTAATCATATATAATGTAAAAAGTTACTCATACAAATGGAGTATAACAAAATATCTAAAGCAATTTAGAAACGATTTCGTTTATTTTTTAAGGTTTACAGTTTCAGAACAACCGTTTTGATTAGTTTTGGGAAAGTTTGGTGACTGACTGCTTAAATTTGATTGGCTAACAACGTCGCTAAAATATGCTATTGTTCGCCTGCTTGTATTTGACTGGAGATTTAAACCAGGAAAGCATGGGATGAAATTTGAAAAAAATAGGCAGGACAGGAGTTTTGAATAAAAAAAAAAAGGGCAGGACGAGACATTTTGCAAAAAAAAAGGCAGGATGACAATTTATGTAAAAAAAAGTAAGGTTAAACTAAAAAAAAAAAAGGCAGGACCGAATAGAGTGAAAAATAAAAAGGCAGGACAGAGATTACAACTAAAATAATGCAGGACTAAGTTTTCATCCTAGCCCCCCCCCCCCCCCATAAAAATCAAATGGCAGCTCCCTAACGTTGGTACACCTTGATACAATTTGCACTGGTTAGCTTAATTTAGAAATTCTCATTTTTATTCCCAACAACATGCGTTGTAGAATACATATGTAAACTATTGGTTTCATACGGATATATATGGGTTTCTACCTGAAACAATGTAATTTATAAAAGAGTTTTTGAATAAATGGTATCCCGTATCAGTCTAACCGAGCAGATCCGAATAGATCTAACTATGTTTTAGTTTAGTCTCTTAACTAAGTTTTTGGTTATGACAGTTATATGCTATATTTCCTTTCACAGTTCCTATAGTTCGTGACCCATCAGTGACGCTCGAATCAAAAAAGTTAAAAGGCCAATTCAAGTAGGAAGTTTAAGGGCATTGTATAGATCAACCCAAAAAGACCATGTGATTATGTCATGTGTGCATCTTCCAAATATCTACCAACTAAATATTGATATATTATTAAGATATGAGTATTGTTTTAATTATTGTATTCTAGTCGACCCACATTGTTCTCATGACGCCCTGCATCCGGCTAATGTCACTGTAACAGCCGATATGGACGTTACTGTGTTAATACACTGCGAAAGTGGACGTACGTTTGAAGTGGAACAGGATGAAGATCAAGTTAATTACGTAGCTCATGTTTACTACTCCGGGAACACATCTGCTGACAACTGTGTATTTCATGTATGTATATTGGAACGTCAATCCTTCACTTGTTCAATACTCCTATCCAGTTTATTCTTGTTCATACGTCAAACATTCACTTGTTCAATACCATCCAGTTTATTCTTGTTCATACGTCAAACCTTCACTTGTTCAATACTATCCAGTCCATTCTTGTTTATACGTCAAACCTTCACTTGTTCAATACTCCTATCCAGTTTATTCTTGTTTATACGTCAAACATTCACTTGCTCAATACTATCCAGTTCATTTTTGTTCATACGTCAAACCTTCACGTGTTCAATACTATCCAGTCCATTCTAGTTCATACGTCAAACCTTCACTTGTTCAATAATCCTATCCAGGAACAAGGAACATTATCGGCTGATTACCTCGCACTTGTTTATAAATCATTTAATAGAAAAACAAAGGATATGTGGTATCCATCCATGACACAAAATCGGTACATGCACACAAAAAAAAACACATACAAAAAAAGCAAAGTCACACCGCATTTATTGCTGTTCTTCATCTCAAAGTCATAGTGAGGCTTTCAACATCGAGCAAAAAAAAAAACAACTCACCCCACTGCAAGTTTAAAATTAAGACGGTCCCTAGCACTGGCTTGAACGGAATTCTATATGTATACCGTCGAAGAAGCGGAACTTTGTATGTATAAAATGTAATTTCTTGTTCATTTTAATGCACATTACATCTGTTATTCTAGATGAATATATACAAAAGAAAGAGTTTGTTGGAATTGTTTATTAGTTTTCTTTGAAAACATAAAAAAGGGTTTTTCATAGAGCATTGGTAATTAATTGATACATAATTATTATTTCATTAATAAGATATTTGTGCTGAAAACATTGTTTTTTCATTAAATCAACGCTTATTTAAATGGTATACATTCGAATAGGTTTTTTTTGTACAGAATATAAACACAGATTCGGTGTTCAAACTTTTTGACCGTAGGTTGTGGTAAAAAAAGTTTTTATCAAACCTAGTCCCTGTCAGAGAACGATCTAAAAAACAATTTTTAAAAATCTTATTGAGTGTTTGGTTATAAGTTAGGGAAGGTATAAATCCCGTTAAAAGTTAAGCTATAATACTTACAATTTGGTTCAGATCAAATGAAGGTTTGAAAGTGACCTCGTCTATGAAATAGATACGGACATGGGTGAATAGCCTTAACTCTTTGTTCGAATTAATTTAGAAAATTGTATATTTAACCTTATTGGAGCATAAAGAGCAATTAAAAACCTATTTACTATTTCTAGATTTTCTGTTTTGTAGCAAAGTTCTAGGCAAGGTCACGACTTTAGTATAATTATATTTGTTTCTTTTTTCTAGCTTTCAGAATTCTGCATTCAAAATTTTATTTAACTGACAGTAAATTGCGTATTTTTTTCAGAGCAATAACAATTCACAATTCTATCAGGTGGCTTTAGAAATTTATTTCGTACAAAATGGTGTGTTCCAGTATAAAGATGCTTACATCGTCACGTGTTCATATGGAGAGTATGGAACCAATCAAACTCGAGCAAATGAAGTTGATGTTCCGTATGTATCAAGTCGTAAAAGTATACCTGTTTTAAGTCTTTTAACATCTTCCTCAACGGTTTACACATAAAAATACATTCACTTAAGTGGTGCATGTTTGGCTAGTGTGCTATCAACGACTAGAGTAAACCATAAAATAGCTAGCACCCTGACGGTCTAATATGAACCAGGATACATATTCATATTAACCTTTTATCGTCATTAACATTTATGGTAAATCTTGGCTCGTCAAAACTCCCACCAATCTGTTTATTACCACATATATCTGTCTCGTGGGAAGCATGCTGTCCTCGAATGGCTTCGATACCGGACCAAGTCAAACCAAAGACTTTGTATTTGCTGATTAATTCACCGCTATGTACGCGGCAGTTAATAATAGCAAAGACTGGTTGGCTTGGATTCCGAATAATGTGTCCGGGTAGGGTCTACCTTTGGAATATTACATTGTAATCAAATACATTGAAAACCCAGCTCAGTGTGTCCATCTAATATAACGCAGACTTCATATTCCTATTTGAGGGGCCTGATGGGTTATTTTCGTTCTTCGTGATCGGTGCATTTTCGCTATCGTGATCCGTTTTTCTACAGATTTTTTTTTTTTATATTTTCGTGATCCGTGATCATGGAAATTTATTTTCTGTGAATCGTGATTGACAAAAAAAATCAACTCGTGAATCGTGATGAGACCCCCCCCCCCATCAGGCCCCTCCTATATCAATATGTTTGTGTCCTAATATACATGTAATATTTGGCACTAGACGTTAAACACCAATCCGTCATCATCAGCATTCGTGATCCTTCCACATCTGATCATTTTTATATCAAACTTAGGGAACGACCATTTAGCTTCAAAGGGAAAAGGGGGGGGGGGGTCCAATTTGATGAAAACAAATATTGTGGTCAAGCAGATGACAAAAAAAATATTCTGAATCCAGATTTACCCCATAATAGTGTTAAATTTTGAAAAAAAAATAATTTGATAGCGTCGAAAAACAAAAAAAAAATGTTCTGACTCAGACAAAATACCATAACCCCCCCCCCCCCCCCTTTGAAGTTAAATGGTTGCTCCCTTACTCTCACTGTTCAGCTGTACATACATAAACTTTTTTGTAGCATTGTTGCTCCATATGAGACGTATAAACATATTCATCGTGTCCTCAACCATACACATGGCAATGAATCATCGACATTTAATGTAGATATTCTAGATAATAGAGAACAAATCATTACTGGTAAAATACCACTCGGAAAGAAAATCAAAATCCGTGTTACAATGACAGGTAAGTCAATAGTGCGGTACATTTTCTGATTGAATCTCACTTCTTAGGATTATAATGTTAGAGTGGATACACACGGGTCTAAATGGGGTTAATAGAAAAATGAATATCGAACCAAAAATTAAAATGTGAATAGAGAAAAACGGGCCAAAAGATAAAGAAGAGAGAACAATGGAATAAAAAATGTGTTTAGAGAAAAATGGCCTAACCATAAAAAAATATAGAAATGAAAGCCATTAAACATCTGTAAACTATGATAAAGGAAATGCACACATAGACATACTACAGAACTAACATTTCCTACAGGTGCTCTTTCTCGGCATGCTTGAAAATTTTCATGAACTTGTCTTTTTTAAATGATGTATCCTTTATACTATTGACCAATCTTGATATAAGAAGAAAAAGGGGTCATAAATTAAACGCTTTTGAAAAGTTGAGGGGGTATATTAATTTTAATGAAAAAATATAACTTTGGGTATTTATAAAAAATAATTTTTGTTCACAGCTGGTTCAGCTGCCGAGGTAGGATTTCATGTGTTCATGTGTGAAGCCAAGGGTTCTGAAGGAACGAAACCATTTGCCTTTATTAGAGAAGGGTAGGTATACACCATTGGCAATATATTCCTTAAATGATGACTGTCGTATAGAACTTGTCCAATTGCTTCACAATGAATGTCCTAGACAAATATAAACGCAAAATTTGAACTGGTTGCAATTGTAGGTTCGCAGTGTTTGCCTTCCAGGTACATATAATGAAATACTTTTTTTCTTCTCTGTTACATGTCTCACTCTGTAGTTCAAGGTTGCCTTTGGTTTTGTTTCTTTGCATGCATCATTTAAACATAATTAAGAGCTTTTTGAAAACTATTTTTTTTGGGTTAAAATTAGGTTCGAACACTAGTTTATTTCGTGGGAGGAGAAACTTCAACACATACACTTTTAATTCCATGCCGGGTAGTTTGTATTTTTTGGAGTTGACCGGAGTTTCCGGAGTAAAACACTGAACTCGGTCGAATAACTATCTCTAATACGTATTAGTAGAGTGCACCTTAAAAACTTTTGTCAAATGACTAAAATGATCGAAGGCAGTAGTGATCTGCACACGTTTATGTTGCTTCACTCACGGAGGACAAACATTCCATTTAATAGTTCAGAGATTTTGTATTACCCTTATGTGAGAACTTTATGGGGTTCACAGAATAGATAATAATGTGGAAAAAAAATAGAGAAAAGAAATAGGCCAAAAAAATAATTAAAAGAGAATAATTGGGTGCTAAAATGCAAAGAACAGAGAATAATGGGTAGAAATAAGGAATAGAGAAACATGGCCTTAAGATTAAAGAATAAAAAAATGAAGATCCAGCAAAAATCTCTTTTGTCAAAAACATATATTTTACAGGTGTGGAGAGGGGTTCATTATTGAGAAAAATGAAGGATTTACCTCTAATGGTCTTACAGCGGAAAGTCCCTATTTTAAAGCATTTGAATTATATGGGAGCCCAACAGTGACACACGAGTGCCATTTTTATGTGTGCCATGAAAATTGTGATGGGGTATGTTTATTTATATCTATTGCTTTAAAAATAGTGTTTGTAACATTGTTTTGGTTTGGCCTAACCAGAGATGTATATTTATTGTTCTTCTTGGTATGGCCCAATACGCTCTTTGTCTGTCTGGTTGTTTTCTTTGTTTGTTGTAGAGTATTTGCAGATAACTTTTTATTGTATTGTGTCGGTGGAATGCTTTCTCATTGAATAAACACCACACCACTTATTAATACCATTTATTGCGTTTGAAATCAATTTCAAAATCATTATTGCTATGTACCAATAAAACAATATGTAGGAATCGGAAGTTTTCTGGTAGTTGGGCAAACAATACATGATCAAACCATACGCCCTGGAATGTTCATCAATGCAATGCATAAAATAAGTACCATGTAGCACTAAAATCATTGAGTGTTTTAGTATGTCTAAAGTTCTTAGATCCCAAACATATTTGAAAAGGCTAAGAAAGATACTTAACCAATAAAAGTCGAAGTAGAAGATACACTTCTTTCTAGTGTTTCGTCCGTACATGCATGAAAAATTTCCCACTGGACATTAAGCAAATCATTATCAATCAATCTTCTTTCTTGTGTTATCTGGAGTCAAACTGAATGAAATGAATATTTCCTGAAAATTTGAACGTTAATACAATATTTTTAAATACATTAAGGTTTTGCTAATCGACTTGTAAAATTTGTGTCAATAGTAAAATGAATAATGGATGGGCGGAATGTACATAAATGAGAGAGCAACCCAACAATACAGAAAACCTAACAGACATCCGAAGGTCAACGAACGACCTCTAACAAATAGACAGGACTACTGTTCATACAATATGACAATCGAGTTTTAAAAAGTTTGATCTAGTTAAACCAGATCTTTCATTTCGCTCCGTTAGAACTGTTTGTCGGTTACACAAGCTAATTTAATCAGACTGGAAAAATGGGGGGTACAAATGTAACAACTGTCAGACGAGGAAACTGTCCATCCATCCATTCATAGAAAATAAAATTCAGAATGTTTTATTTCAGAGTTCCTGTATTTATAGTCATTTTCCGACCGGTAGTGGTCGTCGCCGTCGTCGAGATACTTCTTTTGTATCTCATGACAAGGGGATGCAACATTCGGAAACAGGAAAACCACGTGTTAGATATTCTGTTACACGGATAAAAGCAGGTATTAACTGTTGAAAAAAGGTGTTTTGACGGTTGTGATTCTTAATGGTCAAAATTAAATCAAATTAAAGGAAACGGCTTTTAAAATACGAATGTTTGTTTTAAATATCTTCAGTGGTTAAAATTTGAAGTTTGAGTTTTATTTTTATACGCCCGTTTACGGGACGTATTATGGTACACCGTTGTCCATCCGTACGTCGTCAACATGTCGGATAATAACTCAAAAATGCTTTAACCAATTTTCATGAAACTTTTGTGAATTGTTTATATATATTGACGTAAGCTCCCTTTTAATTTTTATAAAAATTTTACATTTCCGAGTTATGGGATTTAATTCATAAAGAAAGGGGGGATTTTTCCAGTTTTTTGACAATAACTCAAAAATGCTCATAGCACTGAGCAGTTTTCGTGAAACTTTGGTTACTGGTTTATATCTGTTGAATTAAGCTCCCTTAAGTTTTTTTTTATAAATTTCTGATGTGACATTGAGGAATTATGGAACTTTGTTCGTTGAAAAAGCGACGGGCGTATCGTGCGCTCATGACGCAGCTCTTTATTTATTTATGTCTTTATTCATAAATTTTCAAATAATTGCTATCCGGACCTATCATACATGAAACAATTTAACATTATCTATCTTAATCATCAGGTATGACTTCTATAAATGAAGACACTGATTTCGCCAACCATTTCAACAATTTAAACGACAATACCAACCAGCAAAAGGCAAAGGTCAGCGAATATGATAAAATGCATGACACTTTAGAGAAAGGTATGAAAAACGCTGAAAAAGAATTGGAACAGAAAGATCGATCAGATAAAAATCGGAATTTCAAAGCTGATGTACCATTTGGATTAAATGGTGATTCTTCCAGAGGAAGAAAATCCCTAAAGCTTCGTAGTAGGACAACAGAAGAATCAGGACAATCCACTAATGATGGACTTAAACAAAGAAAACTGATGTCTTCAGAAAATACACAACACTCCTTAAGAATAAAGCTTTTGTCCTCCGAACCGGTGCAGTTTGACCGACCCGAAATGGAGCTGCATGTTAAGATTCTAACAATTATACTTATGTCCGCAGCTTCCATTGCTTTATTGACCATGTTTATAACTGTCACGTGCATCTTGTATAAAAATTCAAGCAGACATACCACACTTCTCATACAGGAATGAGTCTAAAAAATCCTACGAGACAGATATCAGACATGAGACAAAAGATGGTGTTTTCTGTTACTAGTAATAAAGTATATAAAATCATGTCTGTGTCGTTTTTGACCATTCGATTTTTTGCCATCACAAGTCTGCCATTATCAATATTTGAAACACTTGCTCATAAACTGCTTAGTCTGGGCAAAAATAGGTTTTAGGACTGTTATCCATAAATGTAGTACAAAGTCTTCAGTCGGATATCAATAATGCTTTCCTCTACAAACGCTACACTAAGTATAGGACATGTTCTAGGCACTGTATCTAACTTTTTTTACCAATAAGCGTGTGTTTAGTTTAAATTTCTAGTTTTCCTGTGCAGTTCACAAAGAGAATTAAGCACTAAACAAGACAAATTTAGTATCATATTCTAACAGTCTTTAAAGTTGTGTAAAGATATTGTTGAAACGGGTTGAGGCGATTAAAATTTAGAAATTGTGTGATTTTCCGTTTTTCATCAGTTTTAGTAGTCTAAAGCAAGGAGGTCATTTAAATTATTTGTTTAAAGTGAAATTCGACGGAAAAAGCGGTATTACTCAGATCTATATTTAATTTTGTAAAAACTGTATGTGTTTAACTACGCTTTGTAACAGATACCCATTACAAGAGGGTCTGAGTGGTAGGTTCTTCATTTCCGTATTCTTTATTTTTTAGGTCATTGTTTTTTTTCTATTCTTTATACTTTTTGCCCATTATTCTCTATTCTTTATTTTTTTTTGTCCATTTTTCTCTATCCTTTATATTTTTTGCCCATTATTCTCTATTCTGTAAACCCCCATCCACACCCTCATTCAAAAGAATGAAACAAAATGAAAATCTGTGTAAAGGAACAGATTAATAAATTTTGAAAAGTTGTTATGTAGTTTTATACTTTAATTCCTGGTAATTATCTGTTGGCATGCAACTTGAAGTAAATAAACACAATTTGGTAGTAAGAATGTATGTATTATACTACACCCGCATTAAACCGCGGAGGACAGTTTAGCGAATTAATAGGTCATTTTAGCGAAAATAGTCAAACATTTAAGCGCCAAAGTATAGCTCTTTTAGGCGCAACATTTTAGCCCATTTTAGCGAAATATAAAATCATCAATGCCCATTTAAGCAACCATAAATAATTCATATTTCCATTATTGACAACATAAATAGTAGAATAACGAATTTTAATATCAAAATAACACAATTTTAAAAATTATTGAAAATAAATACTGAATAAAGCCTATCTGAGCCTGGAATATATACAACAAACAGTACTATGAAAACGATAATTTAATAAATGATAGAATAAACCTATTTTCTTCATGAAAATACTTTTGTGTAAATTATTATTTTTTACAGAACACCTTCGTGCTTTTTCCTAACCTTTCAATCTAAAAATGGTATACATCCGTCATATATTGGCTTTTCCTCTTGATTTGTTTCAAAAATATTTATCACCATTTTAAACCAAATTGTAAATGCAAATGTATACATACGTTCACGGTGTAAATGCCAATGTATACATACGATTACGGTGTAAATGCAAATGTATACATACGTTCACGGTGTAAATGCCAATGTATACATACGATTACGGTGTAAATGCAAATGTATACATACGTTCGCGGTGTAAATGTAATTCAATTTTTTTATTTACATTCAGACACAAAATATATGTTACATGAGGACAAATTACAAATCAAACACAATAAATGATAGAATAGACCGGAAACTAATAGCAAAAGTACACTATCTAAAGATGGCATAACTTATAAGGTACATGTATCTTTCTAGACGAGTGTAGATAGTTTCTTGATGATTATAGATAAATTATGCAATAACTCACTGTGAAATAATGACAGCTTCTTTTATATTTTCAGTATAGATGGGTATGTTATATAATATTTCGGAATATATTTCTTCCGAAGTTCAGTGACAGTAGTAGATTACATACATATGAATAATGATATTCATCACCAGCACATTCATAACATAAGGTATATGTACCAGTTTCTATAAAAAAAATTGTATAGTGGTTGGTATAGTGAGGTAAACTTTTCGCTAAAATGGGCTTTGGAAAATAAAGGTGAGCGGCGGATTAATCTGGCGCTGAAATGGGCTTTGGAAAATAAAGGTGATCGGATTAATCTGGCGCTGAAATGGGCTTGGGAAAATAAAGGTGATCAGAAAGGTGATCGGATTAATCTGGCGCTGAAATGGGCTTTGGAAAATACAGGTGATCGGATTAATCTGGCGTTGAAATGGGCTTTGGAAAATACAGGTGATCGGATTAATCTGGCGCTGAAATGGGCTTTGGAAAATACAGGTGATCGGATTAATCTGGCGCTGAAATGGGCTTTGGAAAATACAGGTGATCGGATTAATCTTGCGCTGAAATGGGCTTTGGAAAATACAGGTGATCGGATTAATCTGGCGCTGAAATGGGCTTTGGAAAATAAAGGTAATCGGATTAATCTGGCGCTGAAATGGGCTATAATGTCGTCGCTGAACGCCGTATTAAACCTGCCACAATCGGATTTAAAAAAATGTAAATATGTTAAACCCATTGGTATTCCGCTGGTTGGTAAAGCCTCTTGCTTAAATAAGCAAAATAAATGGGTTTGATTTTTTAAAAAATAACCGAAATATTATTTTACTTTTACAAAGAGATGAAATTCGGTTTGTATGAATGATTCATTAAGCAACGTACAAAGTGATAGAAAGGCAAAAAAAAAGCCTTTTGAATAGCAAGGTAAAACGTTTTTTCACCACAGAAGAGTTTTTTTGACAAAACATACAAATCATGCATAGATCTAAAACATTCTTATACAGTAAATTCAGAAATTAAATGCGTGTATTTATTATTGCGAATCACTAATTACTGGTAATAAACTGTTGACACAGAGATATGTCTCGCCTGTCGGCATAAAATTCAGAAAAAGACAATCTGATGGACAGCAACATGGTTTATTAATTCAGATGCTGGACCCATTATCTAGTGGGCAGGGACTGGAAATAATCGCAAAACTGATATGTACTGATAGTAATGCAACTTTTATATTAAATATCAATGATCTATCACAAGTAGTTCCTATCAAACTAATTTAATCAGAAAACGTAACAATTTTTGACGCCGGAAAAGCAATCCCTATGTCTCTATATCCGCGACTTTCGTCGCAGGTGAGACAAGAATGGGAGATTTAATTGATGCGATTGCATAATACTTCATGCATGTTCAGGGCGATGAAAATTTTACACACTTACAAATTATAGAACATCTGTACTTTAAACAAAATGAAATAAGTTTTATCGAGATCACAATACAAACAGCTTTGTTTCCGATAGCATTTAGTTTATAAAGAATATTTTTTCTTATTTTTTTCAAAAAACACGTACACAAATAAGAAAAAAACTACAGATTGAGTATTGTTAGACAATCTTTTACATGTCCAGATTGAAATACGCCAAAGTGTTGTTAGAAACTGAAGGTAAACATGTAATAGGAGATACAGTTTATCAAATCCCCGAACGACAGGTCAAATCAAAGACTTTAAAATTGGTATTTGCTGCTTTTCCGCTAAGCACTCAGCATTAAGGAGTTGGAGCAAAGACTGGTCAACTCGGAGTCAGAATAATGTGTCCTGGTAAGGTGACATGTTTCAGTACCTGCGGACTGTTACCTTGTGCATTAGCAAGTCAAAGGACCGGTTCAGTGTGTCGGTTTAGTACAAAGCAGAGTTCATTTTCATATCGCATTAACTGATTAACATGTTCTCGTCCTGAATATGCATTTAATTTGCCGCTTGATGGTAAACAGCCTTCCATCCATCCAAGTCATCAAAAGGCAACCATTCTCAATTTTAACCATCGAAAATGTAGAAAATTGGCAAGTTCAACCATCTGGATAATTCTATTAAACCTCTCCAAATGTGTCTACCTAGACTTAGTGATGTTCAAATCTTGAATTTTGTAATGAAAATATAATTATACATTCAAGAACATTTGAAGTAAAAAGTATTTCAAAATGTTGCGCCAGATGCTATCTAGACTACTGTCCAAGTTTCGTAAAATTACAAAAATGTTTGACAAAGTTCTTGAAAACAAGACTACACACGCTGAAATGTCTCGCCTGCTTTACTTATGGCATGATTAAATTTATGTTGAAAGTCTGTTATATTTCAAAGTATTTGCTACAATTATGACATAAACTTAACATTATCAATGATCCATGAAAATGAGTTCATGGTCAGACGAACCATGCCAAACAGACATGTATACCTTACTATCATTCCGTACACCAAATATAGAACTCAGATCACTAATATAACCTGAGAAACACACCAAACCACTAAATCTTAACATTGACCAAACCACTAAATCTTAACTTTGACCAATGAACTATAAATAAGGTCAAGGTCATACGAACCCTGCAAGCCAGACAGACATGTTCACAGTTACAATCATTTCATACATCAATTATAGTTAACCTATTACTTATATTATCTGCTAAACTGACAAAACCACAAAACTATACACTGTCCTAATTATGATTAAATTTATGTTGAAAGTTTGTAATATAAACTTAACATAAATGATCCATGAAAATGAGATCAAGGTCAGTTGAACCATGCCAAACAGGCATATACACCTAACAATCATTCTGTACACTAAATATAGAGGTCCTATCACTTATATTACCTGAGAAACAGATCGAACAACAAAATCTTAACATTGACAAATGAACTATGAAATTGAGGTCAAGGTAAGATGAAACCTGCCAGACAGACATGTACACCTTACAATGATTTCATCCACAAAATAAAGTTGACCTATTACTTATAGTATCTGATAAACTGACAAAATCAAGAATAAACTGCTTCGCTGAGCGCAGCTGGATACGCCAGCAGATGTCCAGCCCTGAACAGTTGGGGCAAAAATGGACACAATATTCAAGCTTGATACAGGTCTGAATTTGGATTGTATTAAATATTTGACATATTATAGGTTTCTGAATAAATGTAGTCAAAGAACTTGAAATTGGTTATATGAATTGAATTTATATTCAATCAAAGATTTCTTGCTGTTGTGCAATACACTGTGCTGTTGCGCAATACTTTGTAAATCTGGTGTCAGACTAAACAAATAAAGTTCAATTAATTCTCAATGTCATATTAGAAATTTATGAAAATGTAAAGGGAGCTTACATCAATAGATATAAACAATCACCAAAGTTTCATGGGAATTGCTGACAGCATTTTTGAGTTATTGTCCGAAAACTGGAAAATCCCCCATTTTGTAATGAATAAAACCTCATAACTCAGAAATGTAAAATGTAAAATTTATAAAATTCTAAACGGAGCTTACATCAGTAGATATAAACAATTCACCAAAGTTTCATAAGAACTGCTGAAAGCATTTTTGATTTTTTGTCCGAAAACTGGAAAATCCCCCTTTTTCTATGAATAAAACCCTGTAACTAGGAAACATAAAATCTAAAATATAGTAAAATCGAAAGGGAGCTCATGTCAATAGATATAAACAATTCACCACAATTTCTTGCAAGTTGGTGAAAGCATTCTTGAGTTATTGTCCGAAAACTGGAAAATCCCCCTTTTTTTAATGAATAAAACCCCAAAACTCGGAAACGTAAAATCTAAAATTTATAAAAAACGAAAGGGAGCTCACATCAATAGATATAAACAATTCACTAAAATTTTATGCAAATTTGTTAGTGTTTTTGAGTTAATGTCCGACATGTTGACGACGGACGGACAGACGGACAACGGTATACCATAATACGTTCTGTAAACAGGCGTATAAAAACTATCCATGGCATAGTCCTATGTACAATGATGATATTGATGTCTAGGCCAGATGAAACCTACCAGTCAGACATGTGCACCTTATAATCATTTCATCCATCAAACACAGTTGAACTATTGCTTATAGTATCTGAGATACGGACTTCACGAAAACTTAATTTTGATCACTGATCTATGAAATGAGGTCAGGTTAGCCCTGTTTTACAAAAAAAAAATAGACCTTGAAAGGAACCCATAAATCAAATATAGCTATCTGAATACTCATGCATCATCTGATAATTTTGGTTCGAATAAGAAGGTAGAGCTTGACATGTGTATGATATTTTAAGGGTATAAAATGGTTGAAAAAAAATATTCCCTTGAATAATAATGATGATTGGCTGCTTAACGTCCAGTGGCATATCAATATGCATATTCAGGACAAGAACATGTTAATGTAAAATGAATATTTACCCTCCTTTGTACTAGACCGACATGCTGAGCGGGATTTTAAGTGCTGGGTAACAGTCCACAGGAAAACATGTCACCTTATTCTAACTCCGAGCTGACCAGTCTTTGCTCATACTCCTTAATGCCACATGCTTGGCGGAGAAGCAGCAAATACCAACCAATTTTAAGTCTATGGTTTGACCCCGTCCGGTTCGAACCCACAACCTCCTGCACGCGAGGCGAACACGCTACCAAGAGACCACCTTGAATATCTGAGTACAAATTAATAAATTTCATGACATGTGCATGATGTTCACTTCACTGCAGTATGTTGTTCGAACTTTTAAAAGATAGAAAATGGACTTAGAAGACAAGCCAGTGACAAGGTTTTAATTGCATTCCATGTACTCTTCACACCAAAAATACTGTTGTCAAGGTTGAAAGATATTTTCTGAAGTGAACAATCATTGAAAAATTCGTAAAGGGTTCATGGAACCCTGTGTCTCACCTGTGATTGCTGCTGTCAGTGTAAAAGTGTAATGTTGACTTAAAAAGCGAGTCCATTAATCAGTAAAATACGGAAAAATGAAAATAATTTTTTTCTAAATTTTGCTCTGGTTACTGTTTTTTGGTCATAAACTAGCTTTTGTCTTAATTTAATAAATTTCCATAACTGTAAAAAAAACTAAGTCCATTACCAGTAAAATATGGAATAAACTGTTAACACAGAGATATGTCTCGCCTATTTGTTATTTTGATAATGCAAATGTTGAAATTAAAATAGCAATACTTTAACATGTAAGTCATGCAAATATTCAAAGTCAATGAACCATGACTGAAGGTACAGGGCTAAACAATCTCCATGGAAATGAGATGTGCCAATGCTAATACAACTGCAAACCAAATACCATTGACTTTTCATAAGTCGTTCCCTTTAAACAAACCTAAACACAAACATTAACTTGTAAACTATGTAAAAGTTTCAAAGTCAATGAACCATAGACAGGGGGGTTATATAATCTCTATGGAAATGAAACTTGCAAATGCAAATACATTTGCATACCGAATATCATTGACTTAACATTAGTGGTTCATCTTGAACTGACCTATCACAAACTAATACATGTAAACTAAGTAAAAGTTTCAAAGTCAATAGACCATGACTGAGGGGTAAGGACCAAATATTCTCCATGGAAATGAGATGTGCTAATGCTTATACAACTGCATACCAATTATCATTGACCTACCACTAACAGTTCCCCTTAAACTGACCTAATAACAAACTAATACATGAAAACTAAGCAAAAGTTTCAAAGTCAATAGACCATGAATGAGGGGATGGGGCCAAATAATCTCCATGAAAATGAGATATGCCAATGCTTATACAACTGCATACCAAATATCATTGACCTACAACTAGTGGTTCCCCATAAACTGACCTAATCACAAACTAATCCATGAAACTAAGCAAAGTTTCAAAGTCAATAGACCTTGACTGAGGGGGCGGGACCAAACAATCTCCATGGTAATGAGATGTGCCAATGTTAATACAACTGCATACCAAATATCATTGACCTACCACTAGTGGTTCACCATGAACTAGACCTAATCACAAACTAATACATTGTTGACGCCACCGTTGCCGGAAACAGCATACCTATGTCTAGCTTTTTGACTCCGTCAAGGCGAGACAATGAAAATAAATATTTTCAAAATTTTGCTCTTGATACTGCTTTTTGGTCATAAACAAGCTTCTGTCCAATCACAGGCTCCACAAAAATAAACTGATCAGGAGCACTTGAAAAATGAATATTCTGCTCATATTGGTGACTTGAGCAAACAAATAACATAAAATATTTCTTTATTTTCAATTCAATTTATTGAAAATAATTCGTTATACAAGTTTAATATATATGTCTTAAAATATCTTTTTTTTCATTATGAAAATGAGTTTCTATATAGTCAAAGAACAATACATGAATACTACCATTATTTGAATAACATAAGAACTTGAATTCAAACTTCTGTTCTGTTTGTGAGCAAAGGACATTCCATAGAAACAAGGAAATTTGATACAATAATCAATTTGATAATTCTTCAGGCATGTTTTATTTCAACAGACATGATACCCACAGATGACATGACAAGAAAATTATTTGCATTCAAATGTTGATCAAATATCCATTCTTTATTAAAATGGGCCACAACTGAGCGATTGAAAATGCTGGTCATATAAACTAGAGCCTTTTGTTGTATAAAGGTGTGATTTTGGTTTGAAACAAAATCATCTAAACTAATAAAAACATGTCAATTCCTCTTCATTAAAATCATTCCAACATATAAAATGTTCTTTTTTTCTGCCTGGTGTCAGTATTCAGTCAGCACCTGTGACTACCTTGGCAAGTGTCCTGTAGAAAGCAGGTCCATTTGTACATACACAAAAACTAGTTTAACCCAACATTTTGTGCATGTACCAAAACCAAGTCAGACTATCTTGTATGTTTTGTTTGTACATGTTTTCTTCAAGGAGCCAGGGGTTTGTGTGGTCTGTTCCAGGATTTTAAAAAAGGGGAAAAGGGGGGGTTTGATATTCATCATTATTAAGTCTATGCATTTATCATATATGAAGCTGCATAAGGGGCCCCCTTAATCCGCCTCTGTTTTTGGAAATTCTTTTTATTCTTTTCATATTATGTCATAAGTATAAGAATATATATATGAATCATGATATCAAATAGATTCATGGATTTGTTTAGAATTCAATCTTTTGGCCCTTCAACAATCCCAATATGAGACTATTTTTTTTTACAAGTTGACCCATCTTTACCTGTAATGAATCTGTGGGAAGCATGAATGTTTAAATAGTTCTGGTAAATGAAATATAACCAACTCTAACAGGTCTAAAATAACAAGGTCAAAGAAATACTTTTAAAAGATACATCTTTTTACAATAATTAAAACATAATATGTACATCTATAAAACATTGGTAAAGTAAGAATACAGAGTGGCAAACAGAAGATAATATAAGTCTGTTCAGAGTTAAATATTTAAAATGATATGAGAACAATTTTTTTAATATACAATTAAAACCAGAAATACAAATTTTCATCTCTGTCTACAGCCATGACGTAACCACAAGAGGCTCACATGGTGAAAAAAATCATTTCTGAAAAAACACTTGAAAATTTAATAAAAATTGTCTTTCTAGGGTAATAACTCCCTACAAAGCATCAATTTACAATTTCGATCAGTTTCACCTATTTGTACATCTTAACTTGCTGAACAATTTTGCCTAATAGTTTTCAAGATAATAACCAAACACAGAATAGTTTCATAAAACTTATTAATTCAGGGGCAATAACTCCAAAAAGAGTTGTCGGATTGGTCTGAAAATTTCATGGCAGATAAATCCCAATATTCTTATCATTTTACCCAACACAGCTTTGCTTTATCTGTTCTAGTTTTTGAGAGATACGCCAAAAACTGCACTTTACACTTGCGTTCTATTTTATAGTCATTGCAGTAATGTTTCTTGAGGGACAAGAGTAAATAACACAAACATTATACTATATAACCTAAGAATCATTCAGCCCATGTTTGTTTGAAATTGGTCCAGTGGTTTCACTGGTTTATACTGGACGATGGACATAAAAGAATGGCAAAAGCTCAATTAAAAGCAATTATTTTCAATCATGGAACATTTATCAAAAAGGTAACTTACACTTATTCATGGTGTCTCAGAAATCTGTAAATGCTGCCCCAATCACAATACTTTTTGTTGCATAGGAATTACAAAGAGTTTTAGTATAAAGCAAAAAATTAGATAAACTCTTTTCAACTGTACAAAACATTAAATCAGGAAAATATACCCAGAGACAAATAGTGTTCTTAAGCTTAAACATGTACATGCCCACAGACAAATAGTATTCTTAAACCCAAACTTGTACAGGCCCACAGACAAAAAGTATTCTTAAATCCAAACTTGTACAGGCCCACAGACAAATAGTATTCTTAAATCCAAACTTGTACATGCCCACAGACAAAAAGTATTCTTAAACCCAAACTTGTACAGGCCAACAGACAAATAGTATTCTTAAATCCAAACTTGTACATGCCCACAGACAAAAAGTATTCTTAAACCCAAACTTGTACAGGCCAACAGACAAATAGTATTCTTAAACCCAAACTTGTACTGGCCCGCACAGACAAATAGTATTCTTAAACTCAAACTTGTACAGGCCAACAGACAAAAAGTATTCTTAAACCCAAACTTGTACAGGCCAACAGACAAAAAGTATTCTTTACCCAAACAAGTACATGCCCGCAGACAAATAGTATTCTTAAACCAAAACTTGTACTTGCCCACAGACAAATAGTATTCTTAAACCAAAACTTGTACTTGCCCACAGACAAATAGTATTCTTAAACCCAAACTTGTACAGGCCCGCAGACAAATAGTATTCTTAAACCCAAACTTGTACAGGCCCGCAGACAAATAGTATTCTTAAACCAAAACTTGTACAGGCCAACAGACAAATAGTATTCTTAAACCCAAACTTGTACAGGCCCACAGACAAATAGTATTCTTAAACCCCAACTTTTACAGGCTCACAGACAAATAGTATTCTTAAACCAAAGCCAGTACAGGCGTTAGTTAATGCATTTTCCAACTGGTGAGTTCTATTTCCTAAATTTCTAATTGCTTATTTTTACTTCCATTTTCAGTTCTATAAATTCTGAAATCTCATGAACTTCATTTGAACAGAAATAACTCAACAATTAACTTCAGAAGGATGTTATTCTGCAATAATGTATAAAGTTCTGAAATGTAACAAGACTATAACTTCTCTTAAATTCACACATATCAAATATAGCTATTTCTATATTTTGAATCACACTTTCAAAACCTGTATTTTTTTTACTTCCTTTTAAAAATCAAACAATATTTTTTTTTTATAAACCGGTATTAAGACTATGTTTGAACAGAAATTAATCAACAATCTACTTCTGCAAGGATATAATGCATAAAATTCTAAACTTTAACATGACCATTACTTAATTTATTTCACCTGAATGATCAAGACTTAAATAGCCAAAAATATAAATATAAAAAAGAGATTACCAAGACTATATACTCATTACTGTTCAGTAATGTTTCTTCTAGATTTGCCTTCTACATTTGTCTTTTATACACGTCATTTTCTCAATGTTTTGTTCTCCTTTAACATTCTACATGCCAAACATAGCTCACAAAAATTGCTGTGAAAATCTAATAATAACTTGTACATTATCACCTTATCACAAAAGCTTTTAAACTTTTAGACTATCAACAACAGTTATTCCACTATAACGTATAAACAAACAATTATCTTTCTATTTAAAACGATCAGCCCCAAAAATATTCAGTACATTTAGACTCTAAAAAAATGATTTAAGGCAACAATACATATATACTATTTAAAGAAATAAACATTAAACACAAACTAGCTGTCATTTCCACATCAAATAATTTTAAAATCACCAAATTTAATATCCTTACTCAAATAACAACTTCCTATTTCAAACTGATTATAAAAATCTTAATTTCTATTTAGATTTGCGACAGAAAGTTTGGTAGCACTAAAACTAAAATATACACAAAAATAAATGTATTACCATAGCAACCATTCATCACATTTGTTCATGATATAGATGTTATATAATTTTTCAAACAGTGCTGTACAAAAATAATTTACATTTATACACAGTGAACACATTTGGGTTCCCAGAGACTGATAGCCAGATCGAAAACATGCCAGGTGAAACTTATATCATGTACAAAAATCAAGAATCATCAAAAATTTATCACCACAGTGCTTACTCGGTTGTAATCCCAACCCTCTATAAGGTTATATCAACTAAAACATAGCATTCATAGTGATACATTTCAAATTTTGGATTTACATCATTCTCGTTAAGTGCAATTTTCTTTCATAATGAGACAAGTATGTGAAATTGGTTTTATTTTTTGTGCTCTCGCAAGAAAAAATACATTAAAAAACTTATTGTAGTGCCTTTGGTAGTATTGTTCATACTAAGCTTTACCTAAATATAACAGTGGAAAACATTATAGAGACTTGGTGTTTCGTTTTCCCTCTACTTTTTGGAAATAGCTTTTACTTCAAATGTTATGTATTCCAACAAATTGTAAAATTTCAGATATCTGTAAAAGTGACACAAATGTTTCAATTTCGGTATATTTTTTTTTTACCTCCATGGTTTTTAAGTTTTTAAATGCTAAACATATTTGCATAAATATTAAGTCAAGTATTAAAATAAATCAATTACATATTCAAATCTATGAATGTACACAAGTAAGTATCTGGCATATTTTTGATCAGGGAGGATTTTTCAGTAAAACAAACAAACTGTACATATGAACAATAATTTACATATTTTATATTACATTAACACTCTCAAATTTTATTCAGGATATAAAATCATCCTGTTCCCTGGATTGACCCACATAATATGATATAGTATCAAGACAGTAGAGAATGTGTAAAAAAAATTGGCTGCCTTTTCCAAGTTGCTGACATTTAAAATAAAGAACAAATTTGCATGAATAAGGGAGACAATTATGTTTCCTATTTTTTAAAACATTTAGTCTGACATATTTCATATTTTTAAATAGTTGGCTCAAAGGGTTTTCATACAAAGGTCTGGATATTTTCCACACTAATTTGGTTATTTGTTTGGGATCTAATGTCAGAATCATTATTAATTGGAAGATAATTCGTACCTGTTTTTGTTAAAGAAAAATTTGTGGAATAAAACAGTTTAAAACTGCAATAATTTTAATGCCTTAAAACTGATAATTCCTCAGGAATTGATCATGGTAATTTCATTTTTCATAAAGTTTTCAATTTCACTATAAATTTCGTGTGAAATGGGAATTACAATACAGGTTTTCCTTTCAAACTTTCAAATGGCAGTAAATCATCCTTTTTGAAGAATGATACTTGTAAAAGTTTTTAAATATGAATGATCATGAAAATATATAAATATAATGGAAAATAACGGCTAATAATGGCAAAACGGTGTTACGTCTTGGATGTTGACAATGTTAACTAAGTATTATCAAAAACATGTAATAAAAGTGACCTTCTGAATAATAATTAAACAAAACATAATGTGAAATAGACAATATTAAATTATAAATGGCTTCACTGATGCAGTTTTCAAAAGGCATTTCTTAATACACAATATTTTTAATAAAAATTACACATGTACTTTGAAATCATTGAAAATTATTTTGAAGAATTCAAAAATAATTTATTTATTTTGTCTTTCTTCTCATCCTATCTATAACAAATAAGTTGTGTTCGTATTAAAAAAATTCAAAATAGCATTACAAAAAGTGCAGTCGAGATATATATATCCTTAAAGTATTTGCAATTCATTTAAGAATTTATAATCTGCTTTAATCAGTTTGTGCAGTTCACAAATCTAAATAATGATATTTTATATATATTTTGAAACAGTCACCCTTAAGTTTAAACCATGTTACTTCAAGCTACTTAAATCCTTTTTTCCCCTACCAAATCTGCAAATTTCATGCAACTATTATTTGCCAAAAAGTAATGACAAATATATATCCATTCAATGTACATTTTAGCATAAGTTTCATCATTTGGTCTGTAAACCCTCCCACTGAATTAAATACTTTGTTTTCCCATCATTAGTGACATGTTTACCAAACACATTGTATTTCTCCCCTTTTCTGAGACGATCAGCTGCCCCAAAGTACTGACACATATTATTTCTAATCTGAGCCATATTTACAGGCTTAGATTTTACACTTTCTATTGTTTGTACATCTAGAACATTAAAGTATGATGTAGTAACTCGTTTCCGCTTACTCTGCCGCATTGGCTCTGTGGGTGTGTCTGCAGCTTTACGTTTACGTCCACGAGACTTTATAATATTCTTTATCTCTACTTTAGAATTCCCTGAGGTGATCGATGGTGGCGGAGTAGGTATAGCCTTGGTTGGATCATCTTTAACAGATGAAACAGCTGACTCAACTGAACTCTGAGACACAATATCACTCTCATATTCCATAAACAAATAATTAATAATTTCATTTTTTCGTTTATGATGTGCAAGCTCTTCTTCTTGTTCAAAGAAATGTTTAAATGGATGATTAAAACCTTCAAAGTTTTTGGGCGGAGGTATAAGTGCCTCTAAAGAATGCTGATTGACTACCATGTCTGTAGGAACAGAGTTTTCACTGTCATAACCTTTATACTCTTGATTTCCAGACTGAAAGAAGAAGAAAAAACATTAATGAAAAACAATTTGGGTATTTATAGTATGCATGAAAGATTTATTATTATTCGTTAGATACCAGTTTTCGTGAATATAGATTAACCACTAATATAAATGTTACAAAAAATGCAAAATTTCTATAGGCTTGCATGTAGACTTTGCCTAAACCATGAAATTAAATGTCCACAAAAATAAATGAATCCACAGTAAAAGTATGTTGCCAAAAATAATGGATAATATATTATTTAACTACATTTCCTCTCATTATGTAAAGAAAGGTATACAAAACAATTGTTTTTTAACCTGATCAGTCAAGAATACAACTTATACAAGTAGTTTTTGTACATGCTTGAAGATGTACGAAATATTTACTTGTGCTTTAAGTAAATATGTCACTTTTTCAATTTTCTTTTCAATGTTTTTTATAATTTCCCCTTCTGAGCCTCTAAAAGTCACTTTGAATAAAAGGTGAAAAACAAACTTTTTCCGTATGAGGCCAAACCAGTCAAAATAAGAAAGATTAACATCAGCACTATGGATATTTTCAGCTAAAATTTAGGGACCTTTGATACTGGGCCCTGGTGATTTTTTCTCCTGAAAAATCGAAACGGAGCTTACCTCAATAGATATAAACAATTCACCAAAGTTTCATGAAAATTAGTTGAAGTGTTATTGAGTTATTGTCCGACATACTGACGGCGGACGGAGAGACAGACAACATTATACCAAAACTAAGTCCCGTAAACGGGAGTATAAAAAGTAGTATAAAGTTTTACGTAAATTGATCCAAGCAAATTTGAGTTTAATACATGAAACAGAAGAAATCTTAAAATGTCACTGCAGCTGGACGCCGTCAGAAAACACTTTCTTGAGTTTTATATTATGTCACATTTGTGTTGTAATATATATTTTCATATTTTATTGAGTATTTTTCTATTATACAGTTGACTCTGGTAAATCTGATACTCGGCAAAAAATATCCCAATTCCCAATATTTTCCAGTAGACAATAAATGTATATTCATTGAAGCTTCGAATTCTGCAATAAATGAGCTTAACCTAATTCCGAGATGTTACTAGCCCTGATTACTGCTATATGAAATGGTTAGGTGATTTCTTCAATTATTTTTCAGGTACATCATGACGATGTAATCATGTTAGCGTAAAAAATATTATAACACAAATAGGAAATGGATTGGTGTTTTGAAATAATATTACTATAGCTGACATCAGATCTGGTGGACACTGAATAAGTGTAACAACTTCATGTAGAATTTCAAAATACAAGCACTTACTGCATTCTGAAGAAGATTCCTGCGTACTTTGTCAGACTTGAATGCTATGGAAACATCTATTTCTAATCCTTTCTGTTTGCTCTGCCATGGCAAGCATACTGGTGATGTACTGAAAATTTGGGAAATATTTAATAAAGGCTATTTCATTTACATGGATGTGGAAAAGTATGAATGGATTTCAAACATTTCCCAAAACCACGACTTTTGTTGAGTGCACACATCAAATGTGTATACAATCTTAATTATTAGGAGATCATTTATTATAAACATAGATAATCCAGAGGAACGTAGGGAATGGACCCCCCTCCTCTTACTTAATATTTTTTGTGTGTGTAATTATTCTTTAACAATTAAACATTTTCACTTAATTAATGTGTTTTTGCTCTTATCCATTCAATATAACAATATCAGTTGATTATTTTTGATTCCTCTCTACTCTTACAAGGGGCCTCGGTGGCCGAGTGGTCTAAGAAGTCGAACTACTGCATCACTAGCCAAGCAACACTGAGGTTGTGAGTTCGAATTCCGCACGTGGCAGGTGCACTCGACTCCAATCTTATTTGACTAGGATTGTCAGTTTTCCTACTTAAGGTCGTGGTTCTATCCGGCTTCCTTCACCAATAAAAACTGACCACTACGAAATAGCACAATAGTGTTGAAAGTGGCGTTAAACACCAATCAATCAATCTACTCTTACAGAATGAAAGTTTACGCTAAAAACATATTGTTCAATCATCTATTTTCCTTTTATAAATCTTACCACTGTGACGGCATAAAACATTTAAAGTTTTTGCCTTTTTCTTTGTAGGACATCATTACTTCGTGATTGACCTGACCTGTGTGGGGCAACATGACCATAGGTGCAGGTGGTGGTATCCTCACTCGTAGACCAAAGCAGGGTTTACCCATAGGCTTCTTTCTGTTCTCCTTCTGATTTGTGAATCTGTAAAATAAATCATAATGTGGAGAATTGAACAACATAGTTGACTTAGAAATCTTCATCATCCAAGGCATCAAAACTCAATTCAGATGGTCCCAAACTAGAGGCTCTCAAGAGCCTGTGTCGCTCACCTGTATTTACTGATGCTTTGGAAATCATGTAAAATAAGGTTAAAATCATAATTAATAGTATTAGATATTAGATATTATAATGATATCTAAGATAATAACAAAAAACTGCAAAATTTTTGTAAAATTACTAACTCAGGGGCAGCAACCAAACAACGGATTGTCGGATTCGTCTGAAAATTTCAGGGCAGATACATCTAAATCTGATGAACATTTTTGCCACCTGTCAGATTTGCTCTAAATGCTTAAGTTTCAGAGATATAAACCAAAAACTGCATTTTACCCCTATGTTCTATTTTTAACCAAGTCGGCCATGATGGTTGGAAGGCAGGGTCATCGGACAATTTTTTTTAAACTAGATACCCTTATAATGATTATGGCCAAGTATGGTTCAATTAATTTGTCTCAGTAGTTTCAGAGAAGAAGATTTTTGTAAAAGATTACAAAAATTTACAAAAAATTGTTAAAAATTGACTATTAAGGGCAATAACTCCTAAAGGGGTCGACTGACAATTTTGGTCATGACAACTTATTTGTAGATCTTACTTTGCTGAACATTATTGCTGTTTACAGTTTATCTCTATCTATAATAATATTCATGATAATAACCAAAAACTGCAAAATTTCCTTAAAATTACAAATTCAGGGGCAGCAACCCAACAACACAATGTCAGATTTGTCTGAAAATTTCAGGGCAGATAGATCTTGACCTGATAATCAGTTTTACCCTATGTCAGATTTACTCTTAATGCTTTGGTTTCAGAGATACAAGCCAAAATTTACATTTTACCCCTATGTTCTATTTTTAGCCATGGCGGCCATCTTGGTTGGTTGGCAGGGTCATCAGACACATTTTTTTAAACTAGATACCCTAATGATGATTGTGGCCAAGTTTGGTTAAATTTGGCCCAGTGGTTTCAGAGGAGAAGATTTTTGTAAAAAGCTAACGACGACGGACAACGACGGACGCCAAGTGATGAGAAAAGCTCACTTGGCCCTTCGGGCCAGGTGAGCTAAAAACATATTGAAAGTCAGAGAACTGATCTGAATTTTAAAATTGCTTAAATGACAAAACAGTACCAGTTCATAACCAGTAACTCTTAAGTCATTCATTATTTTAGAAACAAGTGAATATGTGAGCTACTGCTCACTAATGATACCCCCACTCGCTAAAAGTATAAGGTAAACAGGAAGTTGTTGAGTGATTAATCTGAAAACGCATCACACGGTATAGCCGACTCATATAAACCCTGAAACCAAATTCAGAAATCCTTGTAATGTAGTTCCTTTGAAAGATGCAACGAAAAATATTCATGGGACGGACTGACAGATGGATGGATGGACTGACAGATGGACAGACAGAGGTATAACAGTATACCCCCACTTTTTTAAAGCGGGGATATAATAATTCTTTCATGTCATACTTTATGTTTATTTAAATAAGGGTAGGCATTTAATTTGTATATATCTGTATACAGAGTTTAAGCTAGGTGTAAAATATTGACAAATATAAAATGACTTCCAGTGTTAAAAGAGCATGACATCTTATACTTCACATTACATTTCCATTTGCTTACTTTCCAGCACTAACACAGCATGTTTGTTTCAAAAAGAGAAATTTCAGATATTTTAGGTCCACAAAAAGATGGATAGCGGGGTTTCTTTGGGGGTAACCTGGTACTTGTATTTATTCACTTACCTAGATTTATATCCATTCAATGAGTTAACAACTTTTTCTCGTATACTGTCTTTGTCAGCTGACAACTGAAAGTGAGTGAAGAATTTATAAAAGGGCATCATAGTAAATCATTAGTTTCCACAAACAATAACAGGCATTTTCAGAAGAAATGGCGAGCATAATAATTAATTTGTAGTTTCATATTATTTCCTTATAGTCACAGAAAAGAACACACTGAGTTAATATGCAAGTCATCATAGAATTCTAAAGTTTGGTATACATAATATTCCAACTGGTGCTTTTTCCCTGAAAATTTGACTTTACAAAGTCCCATGATCAGTTTTCTGCTGAATGACCCCAGAGCAGTTCATTCATAAAATTAAAATTGGAATCACAGATATAAGAATGAAACTTCCTCTAATTATAACATTTGTTCCTTATTAGAATGGGTCCTAGCTGCCACATATAGTACATATGTAATTGTTTCACTTTTTCATTATTCATGAATTTAATTTAAAGGTTTACTGGAATCAATTGTTTTTTTTAAATGTTCTTGAAATAATCATGTATTGAAAAGAAAGTTGAACATTTTTTTTTAAATTTTGAAAAAATCAAGGAGCAACCATTGCCATCATCATATCAATAAAAGAACAGAGTTCAAATGTCCCCCGCGTTGCACATATTTTATATTTCCAAGGGGCATAACTCTTTTTAAAAAAGTCAATCGGCCACCATTATAGAACTTGTGCAGGACATTGCTGATATCAACCTAAAGTATAAGTTTTATAAAAATCTGGCAAATTGTACCAGTGAGAGCGCTAACGAGGCCATTTTCCATAAATTAAATATTTCCAAGGGGCATACTCTTTTAAAAAAAGTCGATCGGCCACCATTATAGAACTTGTCCGAGATATTACCCGATATTAACCTATAGTATAAGTTTTATAAAAATCTGGCAAGAATTGTACCTGTGAGAGCGCTAACGAGGACATTTTCCATAAAATTAATATTTCCCAGGGGCATTACTCTTTTAAAATAAATGGGGAATGTGTCCATGGGACACAGATGATGCCCCCGCTTGCCTATCATATAAAGTTATAAAGGGACATAACTGAAGAACAGTAAAAGTGACGATACCCAAATTTGTTATTGATCTGAGTTTTGTAGTAATAAGTATTGTGTATATAAGTTTCATAACATTTGGTTGAGGCAAACTTAAGTTAGAGAACGAAAACCAACTTTGGGACGTACGGGCGGACTGAACTTATTGCCCCCACCGCTACAGCGGGGGCATAAAAAGTCGATCGGCCACCATTATAGAACTTGTCTGAGATATTGCTGATATTAATCTATAGTATAAGTTTTATAAAAATCTGGAAAAAATTGTACCTGTGAGAGTGCTTACAAGATCGGACGGACAGACACACGGACGACCAGTATTTCCATGTCCCCCACAACGCGTTGCGCGGGGGACAAAAATTTACAAATGTACAATTTGAATGCAACTATGAAAAGTGAAATATTCTTGCTACAAGAACATAAAAGAAGCAGATACTTTTGTATCATGGGGATTCCTGAATTTTGTTGCGAGTAAAAAGGATGAAAAATTCATGCTGAAACTCCATAAAAAGAAAATCAACATTTTTTTGTATGTGACAGTTTTTGGTGGGGTTCGTGTTGTTCAGTCTTTAGTTTTCTGTGTTGTGCTTTGAATACCATTGTTTGTCTTTTGATTGTTTTTCTTTTATGCCATGGCATAGTCAGTTTGGTTTTGACTTATAGTTTTAATATCCATTTAGTAGCTTTCGCCTCTAATGTATATTTCAACATAAATATTTAGTATGCACTTACAGAATTTACTTGTAGATTTTCTAAATTACTGGTGATGAAATCTACAATGGTATCAACATCAAAGAATTTGTTCCATCGGCCTTCTATTGTCAGGTTGTACAGAGTTAAATGTACTACATCCACCCTATAAATAGTCAAAAACAAGCATGAAGCATAATATTCGATATCAGGAACATCAAAGGCAAGTTTACTACAAACTTCAATTACTATGTACTTCATTTTAAGTAGTGACATTTCTTAAATCAAAACACATTTTGTGAAGATTTGTTTGATATTGTAAGAGAGCTTAAAATGTTGATTTTAAATATTATTTACAATACCAAAGGGCATAAGTTCCCAAAAATAATGAAATGACCCTGGTTTTTAAATTCATCCATGATATTGCTGATGTAATATATCATTTATATTTCAAAAGACATAATCCCTCCAAAAAAGAATGGATTGGTCCTGATGTCTGAGATAATGCTAATCTTTGACATCAATTAATTATAAAATTCTGATGAGAATTGTAGATGGGATAGCCATAACAGTGTTGGAGGGACATAATTCTTGTCATTTGACATGTTAGAGGCCATTTCAGTTTTTGTGCCTACCAGTTAGTTCCAAAGTTTCCAGGCGGAGGTGTAAGACACTTATTATTTCATTTAGTAAACTTCTGCCACAAGTGTAAGCTATTTTTTTTATCTATGGAATTCTGTGTACTTTCATGACTGAAGAAACAAAAATTTAGACCTAGAAATTGCAAAAATAAGTCTTTTTTATGGTGAAGTGGGATTAACTTTTGGCACTGACTCACACAAGTTAACAAAGTCCAAAGTCCAGCAAGGTTAAAAAAAAAAAAACATTAATAAAAGAATAATTCTGACGTCAAACATTTTTGAAACTCCGATTTTTTTCCCCATTTTTTTGCCATAGACTACTTTAGCAAGGAATGTTTCTTTCTGCTAGGACCCCAATTTTGTCATTTGTTTTCAAGTTATTATGATGGATTAACACATTTTTTAAAATATTTCACTTTCGGTATTTTGCAAGGGTGAAAGTGCTTACAAGGCAATCATTTTTAATCGGCACTGGCTTTTGAACACGACGGAGACATTTTTGATATAAATTAAAACCTCACCAATGAATTTTTTTTTAAATCCATCAAGAGTGTGATAATGCTTTATACAAGGCACATGGATGGATCAATTGCATTATCATATGGAACAAAATACCGGGGTAATCATTACACTAAATGAGGGTTAAATACAGTATCCTGATTTATTCACCCCACTTACCATTTTAAATCTAGTCTTTTGATGTATTCTGGTCCCATGTTACAGTGGGAACAAACAAATAAATAAAATCTGTCACCATTCATCAGAGGATATTCTAAACATTGTATACAGGCTACAAAAATAAGTAAATAAATAAAATTAACACCATCAATACAATATATATTTAAAAAAAAAAAAAACATATTAAAAAGGCTACAAATAATTAGAAGGCTAACATTACATTGTATTCAGACTTACAAAATAAGATCATACAACTTTACAAAAAGAAAACATGAACATCCTGTGAATTTCATTACACACCTTAAAACTAACATTTATGTAGCCCACTACAGTCTACATGTATATTTCTCAATATCTTTTTATCTTAATTTACAGGTTACACATTTCTTAAACACTATCTTTAGGAATTTGAATCCATCCTCAAACTTTATTTTTTTTAATAGAAAATGAAACAAATCTTATTCCTGGAAGGCTGCAACTTTCTAAAACTTAAGTGAAAACTTAATATCATCAATGGCAGGGTCATACAACTTTTTCCTAATAAAATTTTTGTCCTGCCATGCACAACTTTGTATAAAATACATTTCAAAAACAGTCATCATCAAATACATTTCATTTAACATATCATAGTGTCACTCCCTCCAAAAATTTCATGAAAAGCTGTTTGAAAAGACTTATTTTCTTATGAAGTTTTTTTTAAACATTTCCAAGATTTTCTGCAAATTTCAATAATCCATGACTTTTTAAGACATACTTTTGCAAATGTTAAATTCAATGACTTTTTATGATACCCATGACCTTTCCAAACCATGCATCAAGAAACAAAATGTATATTCTGTATTAAACACCAATAAAATGCTCCGCAGGGCACAGCTTGATACGACCGCAGAGGTCTAACCCTGAACAGTTGGGGCAAGTATGGACACAACATTCAAGCTTGATACAGCTTTGCATTTGGATTGTGATTAAATATTTGACACAGCATAGGTTTCCAACACAGAATGAATGTGGTCTAAGAACTTAAAAATTTTAAATTGGACATTCACCTATTATGGTCCAATATGCAAAATCTAAATACATGGTTAGATTCAGCATATCAAAGAACCCCAAGAATTCAATTTTTGATGAAATCAAACAAAGTTTAATTTTGGACCCTTTTGATCTCAATGTGGACAAAGTTTATAACGGGGCCCAAAAATCAAAAATCTAAATACATGGTTAGATTCAGCATATCAAAGAACCCCATATATTCAATTTTTGTTGAAATCAAACAAAGCTTAATTTTGGACCCCGATTTGGACCAACTTGAAAACTGGGCCCATAATCAAATATCTAAAACATGTTTAGATTCAGCATATCAAAGAACCCTAAGATTTCAATTTTTGTTAAAATCAAACTAAGTTTAATTTTGGACCCTTTGGACCTTAATGTAGACCAATTTGAAAACCGAACCACAAATTAAGAATCTAAATACACGGTTAGATTCGGCATATAAAAAAAACCCAATAATTCAATTTTTGATGAAATCAAACAAAGTATAATTTTGGACCATTTAGACCTCAATGTGGACCAATTTAAAAACGGGGCCCAAAATCCAAAAACTAAATACATGGTTAGATTCAGCATATTAAAAAACCCCAAGAATTCAAGAATAAAACCCCATTGAAATTGGTCAAGAAATAAGCAATTTATACGAAGTATCTTCTTTTGCACAATACTGTGCAATTAAATATTTCTTGCTATTGCGCAATACTGTACAATTGACAATTTCTTGCTATTGCACAATATTGTGCTATTGGATGTTTCTTGCTATTGCGCAATACTGTGCAATTGAAGATTTCTTGCTATTGCACAATACTGTGCAATTGAAGATTTCTTGCTATTGTGCAATACTGTGCAATTGAAAATTTCTTGCTATTGCACAATACTTATTATATAATAATTTACACATCCTGTTTGGTGTGTATCTCCTACCATATCATTATTATTTGATTTTAAATATAAATCAGAAATAACCAACTTAAAATGGAAAATTTTAAAAGAAAAAAAAAAAAAAAATCCCCCCCCCAAATTTTTTGAACCCCCTTATGATTCATCACCCCCAAACTTAATCCTCACCTTCCCTTTGTGGTATGGTACCTTGCAGTACAATTTCAGAGAGATCCATACACTTGAACACAAGTTATTGTCTGGAAACTAGAAAAATGTGTTTTTTGGCCCCAAATTCCTAAACGTTTAGGGCAATTACCCCCAAACTCAAACCCAGCTTTCCCTTTGTGATATGGAACCTTGTAGTACAATTTCAGAAAGATCCATACACTTACACACAAGTTATTGTCATGAAACTAAAAAAATGCTTGTTTTTTGCCCCTTTTTTGGCCCCTAATTCCTAAAATTTTGAGGCAATTACCCCCAAAATCAATCCCAGCATTCCTTTTGTGATATGGAACCTTGTGGTACAATGTCAGAGAGATCCATACACTAACACGTAAGTTATGTCTGGAAGTTACAAAAATGCTTATTTTTGGCCCCTTTTTCCTTTACTGTTGGTACCATAACCCCCCAAATCAATCCCAACCTTCCTTTTGTGGTATTGAACCTTATGGTAAAATTTCATAGAGATCCATTCACTTAAACTAAAGTTAGAGTGCGAAAACCAATGTGTCTTCGGACGACGACGCCGACGCCAACGTCATACCAATATACGACCACAAAATATTTTTTTGCGGTCGTATAAAAATGATTCATTGGCACAAACTGTATTTGATGAGGCTATGGAATAACTCTGTTCACCTTGCCAGATGCCTGTTAATATTGGAATTGTATGTCTCTTACAGTATATTGTCACATACCTTCATGAAACCATTGTCTACACCTACAGCATTGTAACATCTTCAAGAACCAGCTGTAAAGAAATTTAAATAAATCAGGGAATCAAACAGTGTGATATACTTTTAAAGTAACAAGACGCTGTCAAAAAGCACTTAAGGATCAAAACTCTTAAACAACAAAAGTGATTTTTTTTAATATCAAACTTGACCTACATATAACAAATTGAAAAGCATTCGTTGAAAGGTTCTCACTTATTGCATAGGAAATACTTAAAAAATACCATTTCCAATCAATGAAGGACCAGGGCTTCCAAAACGGTCATATATTCCGGACTTGACCGAAACTTTCATAAAAAGACCGGCTGCTCTCAGCCTCAAACGGTCAAATAGAATTGGTGTGCCACATTTTGATGAAAACGGTCATTTCAATTTTTACCAACTATCGATCGATAAAAATGTCCGTTTGGGGCTTTGGGCATGTCCGTTTGGGCATTTTAGTTTATAATTGTGGCAATCTATTTCACAAAGATATTTCGGTCATAATTGGGTTTAATAAAACAGAAGCAGCATATTTCAGATACTTTGAAGTGTCTCAGTTAGTCTAATCCTCTGGGTACATAAATGTACGGCTTGGTCTTTAGCTTGTGTACATCAATAAAAAGTAGAAAAAACACGTTTTCTTTTATTTAAATAACAACAAGCTGTCAAACAATTATCCCTTGAATAAGTTATATTGAAGCCATAAATCATTCACTGATTACAGGTTTGTTACCTTTGATGAGGTGTCCTTAGCTTATCTTTATCAATATAATTAATGATGCATAACAATGTACATAAAGGTAATCCGGTAAACGAGGTCAAACATGTAAGCGTGTATGGAACAACATCCTATTTAATTACGCTTTATAGATATTATTTTAAATGAGCATTCAGTTTTAAAAGTATCCTGATATTTAAAAGTTATTCTTCAAATAAGGATATTTATAAATGAATAAGTATGATATATATTATTTTATTTAACACTGTACATCGTGTTAAATACTGGGGTACTCTCAAGGGGAAAATTTACTAAAATATATAGGAAAAACCAATGGACAAATTTCAGTCAATAAATGATTTAACTAAGTTAATGGTGCCGTGATCACTTCTAAATTATATCAAGAGAACAATGCCTGCTCCGAATTTATTCAGACAATTTCCGATGTTATAGAGAAAGAGGTGATGTCCGACGTAAAGTTAAGTCCCGCCGTGGGAATTATGATCGACTAAGGTGTAGTCTAGGTATTGACGCTTTAGATCAACTTATGAGGATAAGCTTAGTAGGTGTAGATGTTAAAGACTTTGACCCTGTTCCTGCTATCCGCAAATGGCAATCCGTTCGTAACCGCCATGTTTATCAGAACAATGCATTTAGCAAGCTCATGAATGTAAAATCTTTAATTAGACTAAATGAACTCTAATCTTGTGCTGTGATCTGTGCTTCTTTTCAATGTGCTCATTGTAATATTTATTGCGTGTGTTTGTCAGCATTGTGCTCTTCTGACATTTTATTGTTGTTATATGCTTACATAAAATATCATGTTGTTATTCATTAAATTATTTATCAACTGAGTATGTTTTTATTTATTCCTTATTTTCTAAATCAGGTTGGGAAATTGTACAAAGAAAAATGTTATCACTGTTCAGTAGATTTTACACGGTTTAAAACAATATCCTTCATCGGGCCTCCTCAATGTTATCTATAAATACCGCATCAGTTGTAAAAGTCACGTGGTCAGGTAATCAATACACAAAAAGAAAAGTATCACGTGTATTGATGATCAAGTTGTACTGCAATTAAAGCCAACATCAACAGTTTCAAATAAGATGGCCTTAATTTACAAAGTGTTAAGTACTCACAGAGAGAAGATAGATTATATAAACAGAAACAAAAACATGAGAACAGTCAGGTACTGAAGCTGATTGATGCAATGATGGTTACTGTATTACGATACACAGAAAAATGACACAATACCGAGGATAATATTTTATTTATTTTTAGAATGAAGAAAACAAAACAGTTATAAATAATTTTATTGCATATAACACTACTAATTATTTAGACACATATATCAATTTATGCATCCTCTCAGTTACATTTAAGTATCCAGCTGATCATTGACCGTCAAAAATATTTCTTTGAAAAATGTCCGGCTGTCGTCAGGAAATTTTGGAAGCCCTGTGAAGGACCGTTACTCCTGAATGGCAAAAGTAAAAATCATCAATTTTGAACTTGGTCTCAAATTTGTCATCAATACAAACATATTAAAATGTGAAAAGCATTGGTTAATCGGTTCATAAATTATTGCACTCCCACGAAATAAAAGTACAATTTTGCAATTAATCAAGGACCATAACTACTCGACAGCAATATCCAACTTGACCTCCATTTTGTCATCAGTAACACAAATTAATTTCCTGTGTATTGTTACAAGTATTTAACATACAGATGTTTGAATCCTATGACTTTTCTATAAGTCAGTAAATTTATACCTTCCTGGGCCTCCACAATAACAGTAACACTGTTCAACATTCGTCTTGTGCTGAGCATCCCAAGTTAACTTGTTTATCTGGAAAAATAAACAATTTATTATTTACAAATATATACATTTACTTCACCAGTAACAAACAACTGATTATTTATAAAAAAAATAAACATTTATATTAATAAATATGCATATTAATCTATTTTCAAACTTTTAATTTTTTCTGTGAAATTCGTTACCCACTAGACAAATTAGAATCAGTATATTATATATCCTAGCTCCTGTTTGAAAAGATGTAGCATAACTATCAACCTTTAACCGAGATTTCTGCTCAGAGCAGAGCTAGGGTCATCTAAACCTTGCAATGAGGTGTGAGGTTATGTTCCATGTTGATTTCAAGCAATAAAAGTGTTGTCCTTTGCCTTGCATTTTGCTTAGTTTTTATAATTGATTTTATGCCTTACATGAATTAATACACCATATCATTTTTACCAGATTATTTTCAAGGACATTGTCATAGCTAAAAAGATCAGAAGGTTAAAAATCATCAGGGTAATGGTTTTTCTTTCTTTGCATGAGAAAAGGCATATCCTGAATCTGTTAGGGAATGCTTATATGTGATTGAAATACCTTTCAATCATAAATTTACCTACATTGTTGTCTATTTCAGCAATATCAATGAGATTTATGTATGTTTTCTATCTATAATATACCATTTTAATAATAAAAAGTCTAAATTGAAAACAACGTTCAAACCTATGATTGCGCTGGATAAAAACCGCAATTTTTATACATGTGCATGTAAAACAAATTTCTTGGTAGTGGGGGCCAAATACAGCACAAACAACAATTTCCAAAAGACCAAAAAAAGTGAAAAAGTCTATTTTAACAAAACGCATTTGACTAACAGGTCGAACAACTGATGTTCTTAAACCCTGCTGACTGCCATTGGCGATTGCCAAATAAATTGATCACCAGATCTTACAAAATGGATCTTAATATTAATTAAATACCAAACAGAAAACAATAAACTAGTGGAAAAGATGGTATACCACAAACATGAGGTGCAAAAATTTGTACACCATATCCGGATTTCGACAATAAATGTCTCTTCAGTGATGTTAGGGATCGAAACGGTATTTGGAAGGCCATATAATTTACCTCAATTTAGGATAGACTCTTGAATTTTAAAGAGTCGAAATAGGATGAACTGATCATATAAACCCGAAGGAAAATATAATACAAGCCCAAACGAAAAAATATAAAAAGTCTAAATTGAAAACAACGTTCAAACCTATGATTGCGTTGGATAAAAACCGCAATTTTTATACGTGTGCATGTAAAACAAATTTCTTGGTAGAGGGGTCTAAATACAGCACAAACAACAATTTCCAAAAGACCAAAAAAAGTGAAAAAGTCTATTTTAACAAAACGCATTTGACTAACAGGTTGAACAACTGATGTTCAATAACATCAATAACATCAATAACATCAATAATGTTCAATAATGATTTAATAATATATACTCATTTAGTTATTTCAAGCATTCATAAATAAAAATAAGACAAACTGTCTTTATCAATACAAACAAAATTTAAATGCAATTAAATCTAAGAGGATAATTATATTCTTTAAAGAATCAGTCAATTTGTAAACATTTCTAACTTCCTTTTAAGAACAAATTTAAAGCACTACTGACTAAGAAGAAAATGAAGGATGTTTTATTTTGGATTTTTTTTTTTGTCCAATCATTAAAATTCCACACAAAATGATGTTATCTTTTTATATACACATAGTATATTCTGTCCTTTATTACTTACATCATATGGGAATGTTTGCTTCATTTTTTGTAATGCTTTTGCTGGAAAAAAAAAAGAATATTTAACATAAAATTAAAAAGCAATATTTGTACAGATTGTTCTAATAGTCATGACATTATTTTGTACCTTCTCTGTTTTTTCCTTCTTTTCTTAGAATATGCAGTTTTGCACATTCAATGTAAATTTGATTAATTCTAACTTGCTCATTTTGTTTATAATTTTAGGGGGGCCTCATTTCAAACCTTCTGTTTTAAGTTATTGGCTAAAACATATACTACATGGTGCTATTGAAAACTTTCACATTGTATGAAAGCAAGATGGAGGTGGCATTCTGCATACAAACAGTACAACCCCAAATCAATAAGGGCTGTTCCATTTAAACATACATGATTTGATTTTGATTTATTGTGTTTTAACGCCACTTTTAAGCACCGCTTTTGGGCTATTTCGTGGCGGCCAGTTTTTATTGGTGGAGGAAGCCTGAGTGCCCGGAGAAAACCACTGACCTACGATAGGAAAACTGACAATCCTAGTCAATTAAGATTGGAGTCGAGTGCACCCGCATGAGCGGGGTTCGAACTCACAACCTCAGTGTTGACTGGCTAGTGACTACAGTAGTAACTACTTAGACCACTCGGCCACTGAGGCCCCCTAAACATACATGATACCCAGGGAAGACATTTTCAAAATGAAGTAACAACCTAAAGAAGAAAACTTTGAATTTTAATTATATGTTTACTCTTCTTGTCTCCCACCCATAGTGGAGATTCAAAAATGCCTTCCCTGGGTCCCATGTGTTTTTATGGAAACTCCCTAAGGATTGTTCTATAAAAATGTACATTGCACCTAGAGGCATTTTGAAATCACAACTAAGGGTGCGTGTCGAGAACAATGAAAATATCAGTGAGATTCTAGATGTGCCACAATTGGTAGTTAGCCCATCTACTGCCTTCCCTGAGTACTATGTATGTTTGAATGGAACAACCCTAACAGGATTGGAGTGGAAAACCCAGTTAAATGCATGCCGTATCATAATAATTTATTATTTACAGTATTTCTGTGCCTGTCCTTACCGCTGACCTATAATCAGAGAATTCAAAAGGTCTAACATGTCACGCAAATTTTGGTTTGGTCATACAGAATTTAGCAAGGAGTCTGAACAAGCATGAAAGAAATTATCATATTACTACATATAATCATAATATAAGTCAGGCAGATTGTCTTTCAGATCAGGTATTCTAGGAGGCTAACTGACTTACCATCTGGTCCATTCTTCAAGGCACCACCTTTCTGAAAAAGTCAAAATCTATATTTATACAGTCGACTCCACTTAATTGCATACCGCTTAATAGCATAATTCGGTTAATTGCATAGTTTTCTCCTGCACAAAACCATTTCCCATTCATCTAATGTTAAATTGTCCGGTTATATGCATAGCTCTACAAGTGGCCTTTCGGTTTATTGCATAGAAAATTATCGCCATCTAGATATGCTTAGTTAAATCTATCGAATTTTTTGACCGGAAACGGCAAGTTGGTGAGTATATTTTTCTTGAATGCATCATTATTTTCATTATTATTTCATATTTACTGTTGTGTTATTCAAATAAAGTTTTAAAACAGTTTCTTTCGTGTTTATATGATTGAATTTGATTTAAAAATAAACCTCGATATCTACACAGGTAAAGTTTCCCATGTTCTATTTTAAGCCTCGAGGTCATAAAAATGTCAAACAGGTAATTGTTGTAAAAGCACTGACCATTCTATCTAAAAAGGTGTAAATAATTGATTGGATTTCAAACACTGTCAATAGATTACATTTGGGGTGAAATTCAAAAACAATAACGCCTGCTAATTATCGATCATTATCCAATGTGAACTCCCGTAATTGGGCTTGGGGTGATCTGCATTTATGTTAAATATTACAGGGCATTTTTATATGGTTCAAGAATTTTATACATCAATCATTTAATTTGAATATATTTTGAAAAGAGCTTTTATTTCTAATTATTATATTTTCTCACTTTCAACACTCGTGTCCAGCAAATAACCCGTACAGGGCCCCTTTACTGCTTTGCATATACGAAACTATCGAAGTCAAATAAACAGTGTTACTTCACTCTGCAAGCTGTAAATATTGTATATCAAAGGCAGTTTAGTACACATCTATTGTTAAAATGATTATAAACTGTGTAGTTTTGTTAAACAGTTTATTTTAATCAAAGCGTAACAATGTACATTGAACATACGGGTCATAGAAACAAATCTATTTTTAGAACGAATTTATTTTCGTATCCCAGGTAAACTGGTAAAGGAAACGTCGGTACGCAAATAAACTAAAACAAAATGTGTTTATAATCTTTATTGAAATAATACAAAATAAAATAACATGTATGACACTAGACATATAACTTTTATTAGAATAAATCAACATTCAATATGTTGTAATTGGATTATAGACGTTCATCTTTCTTCAGGGATTTCCTTTACTGATCTGTTCTATCGATGTTGTTTGACTCCGTAATTTGGCATTTCGGATATAAGCATACTCCGCTTTATTGCATAATTTTGTCTGACAAATAGGCTATGCAAATAACCGGAATGTACTGTACAACCAATAATAAATAATGAGATTTTTATCTCCTGTACATCCATGTCATATTCCATGTTTTCCTATTACAGAGCAGTTTACACTAATTTTCATTTTCCTCTTCAGATCATAATTTTCCATAAAACTGTTACAAAATCACTGTACAACATCAGAAAATTATGATCTAGAAATTCAAACTGGATCTGTTTTTTTTTTTTTTGTGGTAATAAGCATTGTGTATAAGTTTCATAGCATTTGATTGAGGCAAACATTAGAGAACAGAAACCAATTTTGGGATGAATACTGTTTATTTAGGCCACACCAATTTGATTTCTAGTTCATGTTTAGAAGAAATTGATTTTCAATAAATAAATGTGGATTGTGTCCTTGCATGGACACAGATGATGCACCCGCTTGCATATCATATAAAGATATAATAGGACATAACTGAAGAACGGTAAAAGTTACTCTACCTAAATTTGTACTTGATCTGAGTTTTGTGATAATAAGCATTGTGTATAAGTCTCATAACATTTGGTTGAGGTAAACTAAAGTTAGAGAACGGAAACAAATAATTCAGCAATTTTTATGTTTATAAAGGGGCATAACTCAAGAACAGTAAAAGTGACACCACCCAATTTCTAACTAGATCTGTATTAAGTGGTAATAAGCATTGTGTATATGTTTCATAACATTTGGTTGATTCAAACTAAAGTTAGAGAACGGAAACGGAAAATTCAGCAATTTTTATGTTTATGAAGGGGCATAACTAAAGAACAGTAAAAGTGACAACACCCAATTTCAAACTTGATCTGTACTATGTGGTAATAAGCATTGTGTATAAGTCTCATTAAATTTGGTTGAGGCAAACTAAAGTTAGAGAATGGAAACAAATTAAACTGAGTTTTGTGGTAAAAAGCATTATATATACATTTCATTACATTAATTTAAGACAAACTCAAGTTAGAGAATGGAAATGAAAAATTCAGCATTTTTTTCATTTGTAAATGGGCATAACTCTAGAAAAGTAGAACTTGTTAGCACTGAATGGTAAAGATTGCTTTAATTTATCAGTAGGAAGTAAAATTGAATATTGCATTGTATAAAGCATTGGTTGTAGTTGATTCAACTACCATTAAGCACAAAGAAAGTATCCAATTTTAAAAGAAGACTTTAAAATATTTATAGAAATGAAGGGTAAAAATTGCTTTAATTTATAAGTGGAAGGTAAAATTAAACATTGCATTGTATAAAGCATTGATTGTAGTTGATAACTGAAGAACGGTAAAAGTGACGCTACCCAAATTGAACTTGATCTGAGTTTTGTGGTAATAAGCATTGTGTGTAAGTCTCATAACATTTGGTTGAGGCTAACTTAAGTAGAGAACAGAAACTAAAAATTCAGCAATATTTCTATTTGTAAACACGATTAACTCTAGAAGGGTTTTGTATAAGTTTTATAACATTTGGTTGAGACAAACTAAAGTTAGAGAACGGAAACGAAAAATTCAGCAATTTTTCTGTTTATAAAGGGACATAACTCAAGAATGGTAAAAGTGTCACCACCAAATTTCGTACTTACTCTGTATTATCTAGTAACAAGCATTGTGTATAAGTTTCATAACATTTGGTTGAGGCAAACTAAAGTTAGAAAACGGAAACAAAAAATTTGTACTTGATCTTAGTTTTGTGGTAATGAATATTGTGTATAGGTTTCATAATGTTTGGTTGGGGCAAACTTAAGTTACAGAATGGAAACTAAAAATTTTGCAATCTTTCAATTTATAAAGGGGCATAACTCAATAATGGTTAAAGTGACACTACCCAAATTCAACTTGATATGTGTTTTATCAGTGGAAGTCAAAATTAAACATTGCATTGTATAAAGCATTGATTGTAGTTGATTCAACTATAATCATGGACAAAGGAAGATAACTCAAATTTTTGTAAAAATTACTTGATATTTAGAAGAAAATAAAAATTTTGCAATTTTTCCATTTATAAAGGGGCATAACTCTAGAACAATTAAAGTGAAGCCAACAAAATTCAAACTTGATCTGTGTTTTGTGGTAATAAGCATTGTGTATAAGTTTCATAACATTTGGTTGAGGCAAACTTAAGTTAGAGAACGGAAACTAAAAATTTTGCAATTTTTCCATTTATAAAGGAGCATAACTCTAGAACGGTTAAAGTGACGCCACCAAAATTCAAACTTGATCTGTGTTTTGTGGTAATAAGCATTGTGTATAAGTTTCATAACATTTGGTTGAGGCAAACTCAAGTTAGAGAACGGAAACCAATATCGGGACGTACGTTCGTACGTACAGACGGACAAGGGTCAAACTTAATGCCCCCGCCACTATGGCGGTGGGGGCATAAAAAAATGAAAAATTCAGCAATTTTTCCATTTGTAAAGTGGCATAACTCTAGAACGGTAAAAGTGACGAAAACCAAAATTCAAACTTGATCTGTATTTAGTGGTAATAATATATAAGCATTGTGTATAAGTTTCAAAACATTTGGTTGAGGCAAACTAAAGTTAGAGAACGGAAACCAACTTTGGGACATACGTACAGACAGACATGGGTAAAACTTAATGCACCCACCGTTACGGCGGGGCATAATAAAATATAATTACCACTTCCACAAATTTTTGGTGTGCATGCTGCTCCAAAATTAGTTTCTCCTTGAATTTTTTGTTCAAATAGACGCTTTACTGTTGAATATATTGCTCCAATAGTTTCAAAGGCATGTGTAATAAATAGATTTGTAAATAAAAGGTCAAAAATCGGGAGGCCAACATGCAGTTGTGTCGGCTCATTGCCATGGACAAGTAGTTATTGAACACACAGTTATCCTGAATGCTTCTTGTTTGTTTTACCCTTGATGACCTGTTCTAGGAGGCAAAAATTATAAATCTTTCGTCAGATGACCACAATCACATCAATATTTGTTAGAACCATTGTCATCCCCGATCCTTGTTCAACAGGCATAGACCTATCTATCTTGGATGAAATTAACTGAAAATTCCCATGCACTTTTTAAAAAATCACAGAAGTATTTGATTTTGATGAAACCCGACATCCCCTTGTCAGTCTTAAGCTTTTGGCATGCAAGCAAAAATCTTTTGTTAGGGGGAATTTAAAGAGTTCCAACGAGAACAAGGTGGTGGTATTGTGATTGGCATGCTCATAATAATTAGGGGTGTGTAATTGGTTCAACCACTTCTAATCAAGCTAAAGAGTTTTTAATGCATTGCAGGTTTTATGAGCAAAAGGAAAGAGTATTTTGCTCAGTCAGAATAATGCATGTGAATGTGGTGACTTGTATTTTAAGGGAATATTTTAATACATTGGGATCTACATGTATAGCAATATAACTATCTTACTCAGGATGTTGTTTTAGTACAAAGCAAGAAAATTTCACCTCACTCATTATTTTGATCCTAAATATGGATAAATAGTTCCAACTGGATGTCAAGCAGCCAAAAAACAATCATTACCATATAATGAAAACAACTTATAACAAATATATTTCAGGGGCTTTTTTTTGGATACATACACATATTTTAATTTTATTCAACATGTGTCATTTACCTAACTAAAATAAGTCCTCTTGCAAAACTGCATCTGCTATGCTTCCTAAATATATATATGGATTTAAATGAAAATTCATGCAGACAGGGCTTACTTGAAGAAAATAACCAAAATTAACTAAAACATAGTGAGACAAGAAAGTCTGGAATGGTACAGGAACAAATAAATCGAATTATATGCATTAGAGCATCTGTTTCTTCTCGTTTTTCTATGCAGTAACCCAGTTAAAACATGTACATAAATAATACAACTACTAAATCGCACAATTAAAAAAAAAAAGATACTGCTCGCTTCACTGGTCCGAAAAACTAGACATCAAATTGGTGTGGCATTAAGTCTATGCAAAATATTTTTCAAAAATTATTTTACAAACTAACATACCCTTTTTTTCTGCCTGGTGACAGTAAACAAGATTATATCATTTTTTATAGTTTTTTTGCAAATATGTTATATAATTTATTCCCTTTTTTAAACCAAATTACTAAACACCTGATGTAATTTCACTCTCATAAAGAGTTGGGAGTTAGAATGTGTCAGAAAAGCATTACAAAAGTATCCATCTTACTACATAGATTGATTGATTGTTGGTTGCTAAACGTCCAGTGGCAAATATTTCATGCATGTTCTGGAAGAGAACAAATTAACTATAAATACAATAGGTAGGTCTTGTAATAGAGGCCGTCAGGGATGAAGGTCAGGGAAATTTTGACTGCCACTGAAAAATGAGGGTATATTGAATAGGGACCAAAACTTTGCCTTGCAAGAGATCACCTACGGACCCCTCAATGAGTTGTTGCAAGGGTTCTTAACGTGCAAAGAATGTGGCACTCTCTCTACACGAGGCATCAGATTTAACGTCCCCATTATCACAGGACGTGGCTGCGTACTTTGGCAAGGGTTTTACTGCTGGTCGGCAAAAGACCTGTGATGACCATATTTCTATTCCCAAGTCACCCAACCATACATAGACAAATGTGTACTCTTTTCATAACTATACATAGACAAATGTGTACTCTTTTCATAACTTCAAAACACATGTTTTTGTCCATATCTGCCAACTTACAGCTACATACTTGTAGGAATACCCAAAATTATCAAGAATACAAGTTCTTCTGTCCCCTTATGGCAGATTGGGGATACCATTTACTTTAAGTGGGGCCAGTTGATGCAAGATTACAATACAGAAAGCTTAAGGTGGATCATTGGTATATATTTCCTCAGATAGAATTTTCTTATACTTTGCCAGAATGTAGATTTTTCCATGCTTTTTCAAAAATACAATACAAAGGATGGGTCATCGTGCTATTTTTCAAGCTACAAGTCGTGCAAAATTGCCCAAATTTGCAGATGGTTCATGAAAAAAACTTTTTTGTGACTAAAAAGAAATCTATGAGATAGAATTTTGAAATAAAATATGAGAAGATAGGTTTTGAAATATGCTTTAAGAAATTACAAAGAAAAAATGGTTTCACCGACCTTGTTTTCTTGCTACAAGTAAAAAATGAAAATTTCTCTATCATTCCTTTATAAAAATTGTACTATATGAATTATCTCCCCTTAAATGGCTTAGTTGACAATTTGATTGGAACAAACACAAACATTTGGTATTTAATAAATCAGTCTCAAAAATGCAATAAATCACTTATTTTTCTTTATTCCAATAAACAGTCTAACCCATTAATTGCCTATTTGTCTCAAAATTTGCAGATTGCTATTAAGAGCTACTATTTTATAATCCAAGATCGTGGTATACAGTTAATCTATCTTTTCCAGACAGTGTATGGCTATATAGCCAGTCAAGGTCGTTAAAAACCCCCATAAGATCTACCTTTAGAAAAGAACCCTTTCATTTGAGATAATTTTCAATACTTTTTTTCAATTGTGGAACTTATTCACATCCTGAATATGCATGAAATATTTGCCATTTAACATTATGCAACCAACTCTCAACTTAAAGTAACTCTTATATTCAATTTAGAATCCATCTGAATTTTTAAGGACAAGCAACAAAAAGGTTTCATGAACAAGTTGTCTTCCCAGGTCCTTATACCATCATGTTACCATGGTGCTATATGAATAAATTCTACAATAATATTAATATGTATTATAAATGTGGTGCTTTACTTTGAGGGAAACTGCTATTTATAGTACTGGGGAGCACATTACCTATGTGTGTAAGATACCATACCTTAACAGCTGCAGCAAATACACAGAGGCGACAACACCATTCCACATCGGGCTGCAATACTTCTGTGGAAATATTAGGGTTGTGACATTCCTGATGATAGCCTACAAAAATATAAATAAGAAGATGTGGTATGAGTGCCAATGAGACAACTATCCATCCAAGTCACAATGTGTAAAAAGTAAACAATTATAGGTCAAAGTACGGCCTTCAACATGGAGCCTTGGCTCAGAACGAACAGCAAACTATAAAGGTCTTTTTCAATCAATGATCACTTTCCAAAGAACATGATCTGTTTTAGTATCCATCAAGGTTTAATTTGGGTTAATTGTTCTAAAATTCTTGATACTTTCAATTTTCACATAATTGGTTTTGAGCTCCTCTTATAAGACATAACTTTTCAAAGTACATCAAATAAATGTTGTATCTTGAAATGTTTATGCTATTAAAATTACACGATCTTTTCTTCTTCTAAATATAATTATTTTTTCAAGCATGTACTCAAAATGTTTTTCTGTTCTAAACTGGTTATATTTATTTTCCCCCTAACTATATTACTCTAAATAGGTTAACCAATGTGTCAGTTTATTTTACTGCAGAGCTTAGTGAAATTCACTTTTGTAATAGTGTTTTTCAAATAATATTTGTTTCAAGTTAGAATAAATGGGGAATGTGTCCATGGGACACAGATGATGCCTCTGCTTGCATATTACGTTATAAAGAGACACACCTCAAGAAATGTAAAAGTGACGCTACCCATATTTGTACTTGATCTGTGTTTTGTGGTAATAAGCATTGTATATAAGTTTCATAACATTTAGTTGAGGCAAACTTAAGTGAGAGAACGGAAAGGAAAAATTCAGCAATTTTTCCATTTGTAAAGGGGCATAACTCTAGAATGGTTAATGTAACGCCACCAAAATTCGAACTTGATCTGTGCTTTGTGGTAATTAGCATTTTGCATAAGTTTCATAACATTAAGTTGAGGCAAACTTAAGTGAGAGAACAGAAACGAAAAATTCAGCAATTTTTCCATTTGTAAAGGGGCATAACTCTAGAACGGTAAAAGTGAAAAATCGGGCTGGTGGAAAAGTCAAAATTCAAACTTGATCTGTGTTTTGTGGTAGTAAGCATTGTGTGTATAAGTTTCATAACATTTGATTGAGGCAAACTAAGAGAACGGAAACCAATTTTGGGACGTATGTATGCACAGACAGACAAAGGTAAAACTTAATGCCCCCTCTGCTACGGCAGGGGGCATAAAAATCTGAATGCCTTAGTTCTTTTGTTTTTGAATTGTTGTGTCTTTTTGTATGTTTTTATGGTTTTTTTATATCCCGTTATTCATAATTACCAGAAAGTGGAGAAAAAATGTGATGCAAAATTGTATTTTATATTGATGGCTTTGTTTAAGTTCCAAAAAGTATCATACCTTACAATGTTTTACTTGAATTGTTATGACTAGGACTCATGTGTATCTACCCCCATACTTAACATTATAGTGTGACTAGGACTCACGTGTATCTACCCCATACTTTACATCATAGTGTGACTAGGACTCATGTGTATCTATCCCCATACTTAACATCATAGTGTGACTAGGACTCATGTGTATCTACCCCCATACTTAACATTATAGTGTGACTAGGACTCATGTGTATCTACCCCCATACTTAACATCATAGTGTGACCAGGACTCATGTGTATCTACCTCCATACTTTACATTATAGTGATTAAAATACTACCTAGTCCACAGTTGTCACAGAGAACTATTTCGTTAGGTTTATCCGACACATCTGTTTGACATAGACAACAGCTAACATCACCTTCATTTGCACCTGTAAGTATAAAACCATATAAAATTATCAAGACAATGTCACATGAAAACCAGATGTACTGTGAGGGAAGCTAAAAAAAATGATACCACACCCCCGCATAAAGCAATGACAAAGTCCAGGATTTGCTAAGGAAAACCACCAAAAATGTGAATCAAAAATAAAACAGGTGCACAATGGCATTATATGGTTAAGATTTTAGGAAGTCTCAATATTCTATGAAGATGTTCTGGAGTTGTGTACCCCAACATAAAGCAATGGCAAAGTCCATGATTTGCTATGGACTGTTCCAGAATTAAATGAAAAGGGAAGGCACTTTTTACAGACCCCAAATACCCATAAAGTAAAAAATTTCATTTCACTTATAATTCTTACAAAATTCCAAGGAAAATGCAACCACCTATATTTCAATTAATTTGAGTGCTTCTTATCCCCAACCAATTTACCTTTAAACATTGGAACAGCCCTAAGGGACACCACAAAAACAAAATAATAGGTGGCAAATGGCATTCTACAGTGAAGATATTATACGGGGTTTAGGAGGAAAAGCTGTTACAAATGTGTACAGTATTAAAGGGATATGACTGTGTCATGCCAAAGTATTAAACCCCAAATATATTTTGTATGAAGAAATAAAATAGATGCAAAATTAAATAGTAAAGAGTAAAATTCTGTGAAAGTTTTGCAAAATTCAGTCTAGCGGTTCAGGAGCCAGCGTCTTAAAAATTAAAATTCTTTGCAAAATTTACATATATAATCACTTGTTCATTCCTCCTTAAATCACCAGTTGAAATCATTGCCATTGTAAATCTGTAAAAAATAGTTGTGTCAGAGGATATTCGAAAATGTTAAAAAAGTATTCTTATGTTTCATCTAATAGTGCCACTAAATCACTATAGAATCAGGTATATTTTTTAAAACAACTTTTCTTCTACATGTTCTATCTAGATAATTTAATTTGTATTTAAAACTCTTGAGCTATTGAAATATAGTGTTCTGGCATTGTCTGTTGGATGCAACCTTGTATATGCAGAGGTAGATATAAGATGGTGTGTGTCCAATTGGCAGAGGTGGCAAGTTCTTTTTTTCCAAAGCAATTTGCTCTCTTTTTTTAGTTGACTATGGATGTCATGCTTAAGTTCAAATTTTTAACTCCATTTCCCACTTAATAATTAAACATAAGAACAATTTAGAACTATATGTCAGTGTGTATAGATTTAGTTACTGATTTAGTAGCTAATCTGTCTACTTTCTGTTTGGGAGGCCAGTGCCTTAGGAAATAATTGGAACAATAGTTCCGATCTTTCCAAAAATGACATTTGACTGTTTGTACTTCCTACCTTTCTGTAGATCTTTAAACAATATCCAATACTCAGAATCATCCTCAAATCTTACGTAACATTTTCTTCCACGCTCATCTACCTACAATATTTTAAAGACATTTATAATCCTTATATACATGATATAACAGTATTGTGACGAACAATTGATTTATGCATAAACAAAATCAAACAAATTTGTTTTTTACTTTTAAGCATTAATGGGATACCCTGGGAGCAGCATGACATGACTGAAATATGTCCACATTTATGGACACAACAGACACACATCGACAGAAGGCATGCATAGCATAATGTGACTGTTCATATTCTTTATGACCCCTGCCACGCTACCTATCTTCACACATTTTAGGGACATTTCTTTATCAGGACTGGAAAATACAACTGTTTCCAAATCTATGATGCTGATGTTTTGATACAATTAAGCGCCAAACAGAGCAACAAAAAAGTTAAATTTCAATGATGTCAAATTTAAGATCAAAATCAGTAAACTCATTTCAAAACATGTTGTTTTGGTGACTAAAAAACAGTGAGTTCTTTTTTAAGTTTTAATTGTGCTTTATAAATAAATATGGCGTTATTTTTTAAAGTAGCAATAAACATTGTATAAATTGCTTTCGATTCTTAAATAACATTTTACCTTACAGACAGTTCCTAAGTAGAACAGACCATCATACCATCTAGCAAGCACTTCCTGGTTAATTTGAAATTTACATGGACTTAACATCACTTTCTTCCTCTTTCCAGTGGAAGGTCTGCCTCTATTTCCTCCCGAACTTTTCCTCTGCCTTCCTACAGTTTTCCTTGGTCTAACAATACGCCTATTTGCTTTTTCCTCTTGTAACTTTGCACTATTTGGTTGCAATAATTGTTCATCAAAGTTAAATTTAGAAGTGGACGGATCATTTGTTTCAGAAGATGGTGTTGCTGGTTCTACTTTGACCTTGACTGGACTTTCTGCTTGCAATTTAAATGGACTGTTATTTTTTGCTGAACAAATTTCAGTTGACTTTTGGAGATCCACATTAGGAGCTGTTGGTCCTTTTGAGACAGAATTGGTACTTTTCTTTAAAATCTCACTTTCAGACTTTCCAACCTGAGTTTTCTGTGGACTTGAATTACCTTCTGCTTCACTGCCTTGTTTTTCAATTTTCTTTACCATCTGTGAAGTTTTTACATTTTCATTTTCAGAGACTTCTGTACTTGTTTTCTTCACCCCTGTTTTACACTGAACTACAAAATTTACAAAAGTATCTATAAAACTATTAGGCGATTTTTTTGCTGGAAAGCTATTAGGCAATGTTTTACTTGGAGAACTACATGTAGTAGGTGAATTCTTAGCTGAAGAATTACTGGGTGAATTTTTAGCTGGTGAATTATAGGGTGATTTCTTAGCTGGTGAACTATTAGGTGATTTCTTAGCTGGTGAGCTTATTGGTGATTTTTTACCCTGAGAACTTGTTGGTGATTTTTTAGCTGGTGAATTATTCATCATTTTTTTACCTGGACTCTCGTTGTTTAATTTCCTGCAGACTGGTGAGATTTTTCGCTCAGATTCATTAGCATTTGATTTTAGATGCTGAGGGGATTTCTTTGGAGAACTTTCATGATCAGATTTCAAGTTTTTTGGAGAGTAATCCTTATAATTTTTAGGACTTTCTTTGGCTGCTCGTACAAGGTTACGCCTGGGACTGTTAACTATTCTGGATTCTAAACTTGCTGCACTAATGATTCTAGATCTCTTGGCTTTTGGACCCTCCAAATTTTCCATTTGTCTTCTTTTTCTCTTATTATTACTTACTGCCTGAGACATGGACATTTTTGGACTGTTTTTACCTATTGTTCTAGGACTATTTCTCAATGGAGAAGGTCGACTTCTGATGCTGTCAATTTTACGTCCACTTCTTGGACTTGACCTTTCAGCTTTTGGACTGCAGGTTACAATTCTATTACAGTCCTTGAAAACTTCAACATTTAAAGGTTTCCAAACTGCCTTGGGGCTTGAAGATTTATCTATCAGCTTGCTGGCTTTTGGTGATAAACATTGAGAAGGTTGTGAGCCATCTGATATGCTAGTTTTCATAGCCCTGCTTGGACTAGCCTTATTAATCTGGTTCCCTGCTCTACCTTTTTTGACTGATAATTTTGGACTACAACCTAATGGGCTGTAACCTAGTGGGGTTGATACAGGACATTTCTCACTGCTAGAACAGTCATTTGTGAGATCTATAAGAGATGAAGCTGGAGAGTCATCAATAGCAACATAGCAAATTTTCCTAGGACGTTTTCTGGCATTTTTAGGTGTAGACTCTAATTTTTCATCCCACAGTGGTGGTTGAAATGATTTCATTTGAACCGGACTATTAGATGCAGTTCTTGCTCTCTTCGGGCTACTTTGCTTCCTACTTCTTCGTCCAGAAAGTCCTGAAACTGAGGTTCCAACATAAGATGACGCTACTGAAACAGTTGAAAAGAGACTCATGTTTGAATTAATATCTAAAGAACTGGTCTGGACAGTCCCAGTTTTTGATATAGAATCCATTGTCAAACTGTCAATAAAAATGTTATTTGAGTGAAATGAACTTTGATTTTCCTGCAGGTTATGAGCAGATGTCCCTAAGGAATGTTTTCCAAAACTGCCATTTTCAACATTTATAACTGTAGGATTAGACTGTCCTCCAGCTTCTACATCTGACCTATTAGTTGTTGCAGTTTTCAGCCTAAATGCTCCATTTAATAAACTACTTCCTGGTTGTGATGGGGAGGAATGTGGTGACCTGATACGTTGACTTGCTGCTGCTGGTGATGAAGATGGAGACTGTCTGACACGATTTCTAAGTTCTCTGCCAGGTGAATTTTCCATTTCTGAAAAAAATACAAAAATATAACTTTTTATACACTTATTTTAGTCTAACAATTTCTAACTGCTCAAATTAATATTTATAAACTTTATGAAGAGGTTGAATATACCATGCAGACTTCAGTTTTAGTTGTTATCTTAACAATTCTATGTTTTTTTAGCCTTGCTTGATCCATCACTACGATTTAGTAAGGATCTTTTAAAAGACTTGTTTGCACCGCAGAATTTAAATTGGTTAGTCAAATAGCATACCTGCCAATTTTTCAATTTCTCCATGGGGATTTTAAATGAAAGAGGACCTAACACTCCTCTTGTATTGTCATAAGCTTTTTTTAATCAAATACTATATTGTTTGAATGAGTATATATGTGCTTAAAACCCTTTCAACCCATTTGAATACCTGGTTTGGGGTGTTCAGTTTATATAATAAAGAATTTGAAAATTCAGGTCAACCCTCTCATGGCTGGGAGATATCCCTCATAAATCGGGATAGTTGGCAGGTCTGAAATAGGAAAATCAACCATTTACCCCTCCAAAATGGCAGCCAAAGGAAATAACTCAAACTCAAATTATGTAGTATCGAAATCTATCTATTCCAGTCGTTGTCTCCAATCTTTGCTCTACAGTCATGTTTGTATAAATTGCAAAAGGGGGCTGACGAAATTTACACAAAAAACTTTTTTGACAGCAATATTGAAAGGATTGTGATGTTTAGTCCATTTTTGGTAATATCCTTTTGACGTGGAACGGTACTTATGCATCCCGCCATTGTGTTGTTGTGCTGTGGTCATTTTTTGTAATCTTGTCATTCATTTTTTCTTACAATTGTATGTGCTTTGTCTACAGTCAGGGGTCCTACTTGTACAAGTAATTTTTATTTACTTGAAGAAGTAAATTTTAATATACTTATATAAGTAAATTTGTAGGATACTTATAAAAGTAAATTTTATTTACTTGTATAGGTAAAAAAAAAAATTGGCTAAGTTATGTCCCTTACACATTCAGATTTTTTTACTTATATAAGTGAAAAAGTCATCCTATCTTCTTTTCTTAAATTCTTAGGATTTCTTTGCTCTAATAGAATTTTAAATTGTCTGTCCTTTGCAGATGTCTTTACAAATCATTTAAGTGTAATTTCATGGACAATGAAAATCCCATTTGTCTGTTATCTTCAGAACACTGGTCGTTTACAAGCCCCCAAGGAGCAATTTTTGAAGGCCTTGCGCAAATACTTAAGATTTTTGGGCAATCAGTTTCTTTGTTGAATTAATGAGATGAAACATTGAACTCTAATCAAAAATTAGGAGCCAACTTGGGAAAAATCATTAAAGGCATGTTTTTACATTTCAAAACTTGAGAATTTTTGTGGGATTGTAAAATAAATTTACTTATACAAGTAAATTTTTGAGAAAATTAAGGGGAGATTATTCAAACATTATAATTCACTTATATAAGTATATTTTTTTTTACCTCTTCAAGTAAATAAAAATTACTTGTACAAGTAGTACCCCTGACTGGTCTATATGACAATTTGTTTTTCTTTGTTTGTTTATATATAGTTGACTGCTGTACCCCTATTTTTGACATTTTTACCTCTTAGGTACATTTGTGTTGTTTACACATTGTTGTCAATATAATGGAATTTTAACATGTTTAAGTGACTGTCATACAAGTGAGAGGTTTAATCCACCATTTTCTACATGAGGAAATGTCTGTACCAAATCAGGAATATGACAGTTGTTTTCCATTCGTTTGAAGTGTTTGAGCTTTTAGTTTTGCCATTTGATAAGGGACTTTTCGATTTGAATTTTCCTTGGAGTTCGGTAGTTTTGTTGTTTTACTTTTTACTGCAATAGCTGTGTAAAGCATTATTTAACATTTAAAAATGAATATCACAGATAATCGGTAGGGTGGGATGAAATCTTGTGCAACAATGGCAGAAAAATAAAGCAAACACTAAGACCCTTTTTGTCTCAAATTCACAAAAATATCTGCCATATTGTTACTCTTTCAAGTTTTTGTTGGGTTATCAGTACCGTAAAGCATGGAAATTTTCTGTTATTTTTGTCAGCAAACTGATTTTCCTGAGCCATAAGCTAACACTATCCAGAAAATAGGATTTTCCCATACAATTTTTTTCATTTAGTTTTGTATTCAAATTAGAGAAATGTCACAAGTATGAAAGATCAGAAAGAAAACAGTGTGGCCACCGCTGAAGCAATTACCAGACTACACGAAATTCGTCGGACCGTCTGACAAATCCGGTGAATAATGGATCGGTCTGGTAAAATTTTGTTGAATTCCGGTCCGTATGTCCGGTGTTGTTTTTTTTCATGGATTTTTCTAGCATTCTAGCAAAATTCCCAAACGATCTCAAAATTCATTTTCATCTTATTATTCATGACAGCGATGTTTATTTTGTTCAACCGCTAGCTTTATGTCGAAAATCGCCAACAAGTAATGTGTAAATCTGGGAAAAAACGACCTGACTGACAAAAACAATGGCTGCCATCAATCGGAAATGTTAACAATACCGGGTCAGATTCCGGGAACGGATAAGGCTAATTCCGGGTTTGCCGATCAAATACAATAAATAAATAAAAAAAATCCAAGCAGGTCACAAAACACAGCTATGAAATATAAACACTAGAATTGAAAACCAAAAGATATATGAAAAAGAAAGAAGAAACAGGAAATATTTTATACAGAAACTCTAAATTATTTTTAGTTCACAAATAATTTTCATGTCAAAATCCAATAAAATGTGACATTACTTTTCTCTATCACTGAAATGCATTCAAGCAATTGTGCACAACTTTCATCAAAATATACACTCTTGTCACATGATTTTGATTTTGTGCATTTTGGAGAGGAGTAGGGCACAACAAGTCATAAGTTTGTTGTATTTTGTCGGATAATATACAATTAGATGTAAAAAAAAATTGGTCTGGTAAAATTTCATTCGGTCTGGTAAAGCTAGGTTGTTTACCAGACCGAATGTCCTGTAAAAATAAAATTCATTCGTGTAGTCTGAATTACATAATATATTTGGTAAAATGAATCTATTTAAGACAAAAAAAAATATGTCTGTTTAAGGTTACATCAGTAAAAAAATAGGGAGGGTAGGTAGGTCAGTGTTTTATTTAATTTTTTGCGACATAATAAGTTGTGTGCTCCGTCTTGCAGTGGTCTGAGTTGTCCATGGGGTGAGTTGACCCGTATTTTTAATGATTGGATTATTTCCCTTTGTAATTGATTGGAAATAAATGGCGGCAAAGTGTTTATTTCATCACACGAGTTGTGTATTTCCTTAAAACAGCTGTCATATTTACGATTGTGAACATTAGGATGTATCAGGCAATTGATTTCTTTCTAACTTCGCTTTTGACACGAGTGCAATTAATTTTTCAATTTACGACGGAAATAAAATAACTTTGGGTCAGCGCTCAAAAGCAGGGTCGGTCGTGTAACCGTCAACAGACATATATTTTTTGTTGGCCTATTGTAACACATATAGTATTTACAGGACTTTGATAATGCATGTGTAATAACTCATGCGCACTGGCATTTCCGCCCAACTGTGTAACACACGTTATTCTTGTAAACAATGTAGATTAACCATGCTGTATATGAAACATAGTTCATGGTATTTAAACTTGGTTCTCTCTAAATGATACACTATGGGATATAAACTGTTCAAGGTAAGGTTTTTTTGCTATTTTTACGTATTCTGATGGGCAAATGTGAAATTTTCAATACTAAATTTACCTGTGAAAGGTGTATGGAATGGTGATGTAAGCATAAACAGCAACAGTTGGAGGTGAGGTAGTTTGTAAGATTTTTCCCAAATACAGTTAATAAGACTTGATAAGGGAAATTTCTGAGGGCAACCAAACCAGAAAATTGCCCCATAAACACTTAACAGAATCCCAAAAAGATATTAACCAGACATCGACGTATTAACAATTTTGACACCGAATAACCCAAAATCTGTCTTCAGATAACCTTCTGATGTCAAACAACAATCACTTTTTCATTAAGACGTCAAATTTTTTTTATTGTGATCATGGTGTTGACACGTTATGACGTCAAATTTTTTAAATTGTGATGCAACGTTTTGCAGGAACCTTTGTGATTCTAATTAACGGTGGACAAATTTGCATACAAGTTTAAATATGTCTATTACATGGAGCATGTACTTTTCAAAGCATAAGCCACTATGAGCTGGGGATACACGAGAGTGGATTCACCTCCTGAGGAATAAGAAAATAACCTGTGGCTATGTTTAATTTGCCTATATCTAAAGTTAAGCAGTATCTATGCATCTAGATCTATGGACTAAAGGTATCCGACAAACGAAAATTCCAATAGAAAGGGAAACTGAAAGTAGCCAGGTCTAATGCTTCAGACCATTGCAACAATACAATCAATAATCTACGTGGCAATTTTCGAGTTTTGACTGACTCTTTATCAAGGATTGTTGTTTTGCTGACAAAGCAGTTGTTTCTCCTAAAAACGGATTTGTTTATGTGGTCAAGTTCCTTATTATTTAGTTGACTGTCTGTTTCTATTGCTGTTTCTAATTGCTGTGTTTATTTGTGTGTGTAATGGGAACAGAACTTGAGATTATAAAATTACTAGTACTTTATGTTGAGGTTAAATATTCAGGAGTTTGCTTCTTTCACAGTGATAACTTGCTCTCTAATATACAATCATGTTTCTCCCGCCATCTTTGAGGCGTATGAATTTTCCAAATTTCCGGTTTTTATGAAACTACACTTTGGTAATTCCATTCATTACTGATAGATGTGTTTTTGTTATACGAAAATCATTTCTTTATTTATAACACTTTTCAGATTTCTTACTGAATTAACATTGACGGTAAGTTATTAATTGGGATTCTTTCTTATGTCGTGAAGTTTAAATGGCGGGATTTTTGAATTTATAACACTTGAAATTATCTCCCCTTTCGCGGATTTTACACAAATACGAATACGAGTACGACAGTTTGTACACGTTTCCTAACACAAAAATTATTGGATAATATAAAAATAAGAAGATGTAGTATGATTGCCAATGAGACAATTCTCCACAAGAGACCAAATGACACAGAAATTAACAACTAATATCATTGGCGTAGCTTACGTTGAGTCAACCGAAGCAGTTGCCTCGGTAAAAAAACAAATAAAAAAAAACTTTTCTTTTAAACAATTTTCACAGCAGCAGACTCGCTACTAAACGTTAAAGTACCGACTTGTTACCGTTATTGATTCATACCCTTTGCGAGTTCAAGACTTATGGAAACAGTTTCCTCTCTTATTGGAAATCCCGATCCCTTTGCGATAGTTTTCAGTAATCTCAATATGTCGAAGTCAAAGAAATCGACACAATTGTAGCTGGCACATCTATATAATCCTACCCCAAGCAAAATCAGTAGAATAGATGATTACCTAACTCACAAGCCTTCTCCGATCGAATCACTTGACCATTCAGGTAAGTTATTTAATTTTTTGCAAGAATAATTTCTAGTACATGAGGGTCTGGGTGAGGTTTACAGAATACAGAAAAATATCCTGAAATTGATTTAAACTTAAAAGAATAGAGATTTGAATGGTGATAAACATAAAAGAAAGGAAAATCACATTATGGACAAAAAGAATTAAGAATAAATATTTGAGGACGCCCATACCAATTAACCCTCATATATAATTGGTAACGTCTAAAATTGAAATTTCGTTGTGTGTTGACATTTCCCCCGACGTGTAATACTTCAGCTAGTACATTGAGTTTCATTAAACTTTGATACCAATTGAAAAAAAAAAATTACTAATATTAATCAACATGCACAGAAAATAATTTGCTATGTTGTTCTAAAGTTTTATTCTCACCAAGGATTTGTATAGTATAGTGTCTTACTATACAAATCCTTGTTATCACTATTTAAAATTTATAGTTTTTTCACTAGCAGGGAATTTTAAATAATTGAAGGAGTCATTAATTCCAGCGACATAAATTATATATATCAGTTTCTATATAAAATTTTCAACCAAATACTGTTTTCATTTATTATGAAGACTTCAGAAAAAACGTAATTTTTTCCGTTAGTACTTCACCGGTTGTGATTTTCACAAAGGGAAAAAGTTCAAAACCGTATAAGAATTTGAAGACCATCCAAAAAATATCAGGACAAAACACAACCAATAAAAGTGCCGTGGTGCATTTCATATGTAGCATGTGTTTTTTTTCTATTTAATCAAGAAATGCTGCAAGCGTGATGTCTGGTAATGTTTCTGGCATTAAAACCCGCTTACAGCAAATCCAATTAAGAACATATATCTGCATTGCAAAGCGCACATTTTGAATCTTGTTGTTAAGTCCACTATTCTGTAAGTCAGTTGGTATGGTTTCTTTGAGGATTCTCAGCTGTATTGTTGACTTGCTGTGTCATTAAAATAAACCCCATAGGCATTGTCCAAGGTTAGGGGATCGAGGGTTGAGCGCTCACAAACATGTTTAACTTAACCCCGCCACATTCTTAACGTGCCTGTCCCAAGTCGTTGTCGTTGGTTCATGTATGTCATATTTGATTTTTGTAAATTGTTTTGTTAGGTTTCTGGTTTGAATTCTTTGACATTTTTTTCATGTCGGGCCTTTCAAAACCGGCTATATGCGGTATGGGTTTTTCTCATTGTTGAATGTCGTACGGTGGCCTATAATTGCTTACTTCCACTGCATTTGGACACTGATGGATAGTTGTCTCATTGGCGATCATACCACATCTCCTCGTTTTTGTATCAGCATGCTTTCTTAATTGATTGTTAACGTGGCTAAAATACCATGTCACTCTTCTATGGATAGCACAACTTCTAATTCCCTCTCGACCATTCCCTAAAAAAAAGACTGGTTATTATAAAAAAAAAAAAGATGCAAAAAAAAAAAAAAAACAGTTGACAGTTTTTACTTTTCCATTCTTTATACTACACTTCCATACAATCTCATCAAACAAAAGTTTTCCTATCTAATTAAATGTTCGTTTGATAAATCTGGTTGCGAATTTATTTGCTGCAACTCATATAAAGCCTTTTCCTCTAATGAAAAAGGTAAATATGCTAGATATACTTACTGGAGGTGTGATCAGATGATCCAAACACTAAATTTTCTCCTTGACAACATTTATGTACGTTTCGGCAATAGAGTTTATCGACAGATTGTAGGTATTCCTATGAGCACCAATCATTGTGCCCCTAGCTTTAATAGCAGACTTGTTCCTTTACTGTTATGAATCACAGTTTATGGCCAAAAACAGTAAAGAACCGTCTAAATTCCATTTAATTGATAAATTCAACAACACTTACCGTTATCTTGATGATATTTTTTCGTTAAATAATCAAGAATTCTCTTAATATACTGCTAAAATTTACCCAAAGGAACTTACTTTAAATAAATCTAATATCAACAGCAATAACTGTCCTTTCCTAGATTTAGATATTTCAGTATTACACCAGAAACTCTACACAAAAATTTACGACAAAAGGGATTATTTTTCTTCCCTATTGTTAATTTTCCCTTTTTGGACGGTGATGTTCCTTTGGCACCGTCTTACGGTGTTTATATATCCCAACTCGTTCGCTATGCTCGTGTCTGTAGTGACGTTTTGGATTTTAATGAGCGTAATCTATGTATTACTAGTAAATTATTAAGTCAGGGATTTCGTTACCACAAATTACTTAAAACCGTTACTAAATTCTTTCATAGATACAAATATTTTGGTCTGCAAGTTTGGCTGTACCTGTAGAAAAATTATTTTAAACGGAATAGCACATCCTAAATTTTACGGTGATGTTGTAAACCGAGCCCGGAAATATAGATTCGATCCGGGTAAACTTATCAATTCTTTAAATAAACTTATTCTAAAAGGTTACCTATTCAACACTGTAATTAAATCTTTGAATATTGTTTTTATTGGCATAAATATTGATTTTGTTATCAGTAAATTAAAACCATACTAAATATTAAACATATGTACCGTTTCACGTTACTACAACCTGTCGATACTTATAGTTTGGCATTGCACAAGGTCATATTTTTCTCTGACTGTTAATGACGTCTTTACACTAAATCAATTGGATGTTGGGTGTGCACATGGTGTACTGATTGATATTTTAGTCTTAGATACATGATTTTTTTTATTAGTTGTTATTGGCTTTGAACTAGTTGTCAGGAACTGCGAGTACTCTCAGATCTGTACTTAGTGTCTTTTCGTTTTTGGGATGTACAAGTACCCGTCCACGTCCAATCTGTGTTTTTGTTAGATGTATTTCTATTTGTATTCATCTGATGAGTTAAGCCTTTTTCAGATGATTTTTATAGTTTGTTCTTATGTTGTACTGTTACACCACTGTCCTAGCTTTGGGGGAGGGTAGAGCGCTCACAAACATGTTTAACCCCGCCACATTTTTTATGTACCTGTCCCAAGTCAGGAGCCTGTAATTCAGTGGTTGTCGTTGGTTCATGTCTGTCATATTTGTTATTCGTAAATTGATTTGTTATAAAATAAAATGAACTTTGGTTGATGGTTGTCTCATAGGGAAATCATACCACATCTCCTTATTTTTTTATAGTGCACCGTATAAAATAAAACGGTATTGAAGAATTTGCCCAGGAAATATTAGAAATGCTGTAATTTAGACACCAGAATAACAACTTTGAAATGAGATTGTGGAAACAAAAAATACCCTGTGTCACCCTACAACCGTTAATCTTCAACATCATATACTTTTTTTTTCAAAATCAGTCAAGCAAATCTAAGAGACTTAGAAAAATAGTAGTCCCATGTTTTAACCCGAATTTGTTTTCTGTCAATCAATTTATGACTTTTGAACAGCGGTATACTACTGTTGCCTTTATTTAACAGAGAAAGCACCCCCCCCCACAAATTAAAAAAAAATCCTGGCTACTGGTAAATTTATGGAGACAATGATATTGAAATTAATCTTAGTTTCACGTCCCTTTATCTATATGAATCCTATATTGTTCCAAAAATTATTGTCACAGTCAACAGACGTTAAAATTATTTTCAATAAAACCAATGTAACAATCAAGCCAATCATTGCTTGAAAAACAATTCATTACAAAATATTTTCATGTTCTTTTCATAAATATGAGTTATATAATATTTAAAAAATATATATATAAAAAATAGGGCGAACGTACATAGGGCGAATTTGTAATTAGGACGAACGGACCCGATACCATATGCGGGATTTGTTATACAGGTTTTACGTGATTCATTTGGAGCATTTCTGGTCTTATCCATCTCATTAGAACTTAAAATAAATTGCCGGGAACTTGTCCAAACTTGGGTCTAAGCTTAAACCTCATAAACAATCGCCACCCTTTCGATCAATGGGGAATTTATGCCGCAAACCAAAAGACAATAGACAAAGGTATCACTAGAAAGTATTTAGTATCGTTGTTTGCAGACGGACACCTTTTAAATTTACTTTCCTAAGCACAGGCACTTGTTTCTGTCAATCGGAATACAAAATATAATATTTTTATTTCCAAAATTACAGCCTAATACAGGTCCCATAAAAGGCATAACAATGTATGTAGGGTTAGTGTTAAAAAAGGATTTGTTTGAGGTTAGGGCTAAGGGTAGGTTAAAATTAGTTTCGTCTAACTCTATATGGCCAAAGTAAAAGAAATATGGCACATAATCAACTTAAGAAATAATTCCTTCATGTCATGCTCTATACTCATTTAAACATTGGTAGGCATTATATTTGTCAATATTTTACACTGAGTGCTAGCGAGGTGTAAAATATGGTAAAATATAATGCCTACCCATGTTAAAATGAGAATAGGGCACGAGTCCCAGTGTTCTCCCCAGGCCCTCAAAGGACCTCGGGCCCGCGATGTATAATTTTTACCGTGGTGGTATCGTTCTTACCACGATGTATAATTTTCCTCCGTGGTGCTAAAATTTTCAATTAAAAAATCGTAAATCGGTAAAGTTTTAAACGACTTGTTAAATCTTTTCCGTGCGGTATAAAATTCCAGGTGAAATTTGATCAGTTCAAACCAGTTCAACACAGATTGTTTACACCACGTGATGGATTTACCTTATGAGGTTAACCTTGTTGATTGGATTTAATCGATGTAATTAACACTTGTAACATGATTCTTTTGTGTTTTAATTAAGAGTTCATAACTTTATGATCACAGATAACTATTTTATGGCTTCACTCTCTACCCAAGCACTGACCTGTGACAAGTCGGCAAATACTTTGTACACAAACAGTGTCTTGACCCGATAGGTACATTTTTTGTACATCATAATGGTGGCTCATTACGTATAATGGACAACTATACATTTCCCAATTCTTATATTATAGTATTATATGTCTCTGATTAAACCATGGCCATCATTATCTTTAATTATGACATAGTTATTGCATGATAGTCGGGTTTCAATCTGTACATATCACATGACCCAGTTAGTTCACATAGAATATTCAAGTTTATTTACAATTAATTGCAATCTATTATATTTTATAAATAAAATGCATGACTGTACCTTCAAACTGGATATCTATATCCATAATTAATGAAAATATAATAGAAGTAATCTTGCAAATTTTATCCATAAGCACATGTTAAATCTATTTATATCTACTTCCTGTCATTTAGGCGGGAAAATCGGGAGACTTAGTTGTTGACATTGAATATGGTTACTTATAGATCTATAGACCAAAGATAAATTTATAGATTTAGGAATTCTTTTTAAATGGTTCATAACAAATAAAGATTTAGATTTTAGGGCAGTATTAAGTCTGTATCTATGTTTGATTATCACGAAAGACAAGAAAGGTTAATATTTACATGAAATCTATGGCAAAATGTTCTAAAAAAAGAAAATCTAAGATAGAAACTGGTTCAAATAATAAAACAATATTTGCAATTGTTCTTGTTAATTTTATATCTTCTTATGACAGGAATCCTTTCACATACAACAACTTTTTTTCTAGAAACTAGAAAGTTTTTTAAATTGAACATTTTTGTTCTCTTTTGAATGATATTTTATTTTTATTGATTTTGGATTTTATAAAAGATTTAATTACTTTAAATTCAGATGAATATTTTATTATGAATCATAATCTATTTATTTTAAAAAAATATTAAAGTATACAAACTGTTTTTTTATTTACTTCTTTTTTACCACTAATTTTCTGAATCAATGTCTACATAACACAGTACCACAATGTTAAAACAAAACAAGAGACATAAAAACTACAGTAACTAGAGCTAAGCGACACGACGCGACACAACTGATTGCATGGAATATTTCACCAAGAAGTCCGCACGCGTTACCCTGGTGCTATCCAAAAATCCTGGGGAGAACACTGATGACACGAAAGAATTATTTGGATTCCAATAGGACAAATTCAGTATTTTTATAGGTCGAAGCATACGAAAGTACCTTAAAAATATTAGGCTCTTCCTGTTTCCTCCCGTGGAGTATGTCCATTACATTTTCATATTTGATAAGTGTTAAAACTTATAGCAGGGTAAATATATGTTGTTTGATAAACAATTTATGATAACAGTTCATGTAAGCTGCTAAAATGTATATAATTTATTAGGATAAAAATGCAAATAACGAGAATAGTAAGTTTGTGCGCATGTGTCAAACAAAAGCATAATAAGAACGTCATATTAGAATTGGTGTTTTCACCTTTAATTGTTTAAAAAAACAGCTGGTTACTGATGACCTTTGTTTTAGCGACACTTGACCCAAACAAGAAGTTGTCTAAGTGGCGTTTTTTTCTGGATTGGACTAAATAGGGATTAGGTGTATTATAAAAGATCAAAAACTACTTGAAAATTGTTAAAACAACAATCGGGTTATTGTTTGTAATTGATATAAGTTCATAAGTTTTAAGGTGTAATACCACCATTGATTTTCCCCTATTAGTCTTTGTTAAATTTGCACTTTTCAAAAAATTGTGCAGAATTTATCTTTGTTTCAAATAAAGAAATACTTGGCATGAGTAAAGTTTTATCCTGTCCAGTACTATAGAAAAAAAATCACATAACATTTCATTGCATATAAGAAAATTACCATCACTGGAAGTTAACCAATCAAATTTTCCCCCTTTTTTAACCTGTGTACAAGCTTTAGTAACCATGTAACCTCAAGTTTCCAAAATATTCTATAGAAACCCCAAATAAAAATATAATGGTGCTTTGAAATACCCAAGATATATGCTTATGACCCAGAAATGTTTTACTGCAATGAAATGTAGGATTAATTACATGTACCTACATCTGTCAAATTCAAGGGAATATTTTTTTTTAACCTATTTTCGTATGCAACCGGATGTGACGTACTATGATTTGGTGGTATTACACTTTAAATGTTAACCAATCAAAACATTATTGATAGAAAATATAGAAAACTTCAAACAGAAAGCCAACTGACTATTGTTTATTGTGTATTCTTCCTGCTTTTAAAGTTTCATGTGCTGAGTTTAACGATGTACAAAATGAACCTTTGAAATTGTAAGTTTTGTCACAAAATATATAAATATATAAAAAGATACAAAACTATTCTCAAATAAAAAGCAAAGAAAACGTTAAAAATAATATTTGGTGACTGTTAAATTATCAAATGCTGAAATGACTTTAAATAGGTGCCAATTTGATCAGGTGCCAATTTAACTTTTTCTGTAGATGCCAAATTCACCAGGTGCCGATTTGACTTGTACCCCTTCTGACAGGGTTGCGATCATGTCCCATACTCTCAATCAAATAAAAGTGAATTTGTTATTCAAGTAGAATAATGTTGGTCTTTTCTCCTGAAACACTTTCAGAACAAAACAAATTCGTCTGAATGAACATTCAACAGTGCTGAATTTACAGCATTGAATAAGTCTGAAAGATGACTGAAAGACTGGGAATGACTAAAAAAATTTATTGTTTTGTCTTTAAAGAGCTGTTCTGATCAAAATTGGTGTACTAGTGATAGTAATCATGGTAATAGGTAATGGGCATAGATGTCCTTTTCATCTTGGTTTGGACTGATAGTATTGATCATTTATAGGATTTATATTTCATTTCCATTTCTATTTTTCTCTCACAGTATTGGGTTTGACAACCTGGAAAATCACACAGGTAACGCAGGTGATCATTGGAGTAGTCAGATGGATAAATATGCTGGTAGACAGACCGTAGAAACATCTCACCCAGCCATCCATAGTGAAGCAGTCAATTGTCTTGCTAGAATTCAACCAGGCTTTTGTTTGTCTGGCAGTAAAGATCAGGTACATTCTAGGGTTACTTTGTTTATCCAGCAGTAAAAACTAACCAAAGATTTGAACAAGGAATTATATGAATCTGGAATAATTTAAGAACTCTGGAAAATTGGTAAGAAATGTATGATGAAAACTAACCCAATGAAAGAGGGTTAGCTATGCAGGCATGGCTTACAGGGGTTAGTGAGGTCATACTGGAATATCAGTGAAAGTAACCCAAACCTTAGTTGGGTTAGTTTTCATCATACATTTCTTATTCAATTTTCCAGAATTCAAAATTATTCTAGATTCAAATAATTCCTTGTTTTAGGCTTATAAATTGGTAGGCCGTACACACAGTCAGGGGAACTACTTATACAATTGATTTCAGAATCACATCTAAGTGATTTTGGCTTTGAAAAATTGAAATTTTTCACAAAAATAGACTTTTTAAAATCACTGAAACAAGTAATTTGAGAAGTAAAAATTTAATCACTTCAATAAGTGTTTAAAGCGTTTTCTTGATATTTTTCCCACAAGCTTGAATTTTTTATTTGGTAAAAACACAAGGATTCCATTGAAAAAACAGTTAACAACTATATTCATGCAGAAATGATCTTTTGCTTGATGAGCCTGTCAGTTTTTACAGTTTATTTAAAATATGCATAAACTGGAATAATTTGTAGATCAGGACATAATCTTGAAGTAGATCATTCTAACTCTAAAGAAAACCAATCAGGTTACTTAAAATTGTTGACCTTTGTCTGATTGTTAGAGTAGTTAATGAATATTTGATTACAGAAATATTCCCAAGGGTACTTTTAAAAGCTTTAGCGCACTAACTTACTGCCCAAGCGCACTGGTGAAATTAATATACAAGAGAAAGGGATAATTGATCTATGTAGGAAAATTTCAGAAAAATTTGTCAAAATATGGAAAATTAATGAAATTAGCTTGATGATCAAAGGAAACATCGAAATCACTTAAATAGGTGATAGCTGAATTTATCAAATCACTGAAATAGGTGATAATGAAATCACTTGTATAAGTTGTACCCCTGACTGACACATGTTTCGTCTACATATGACTCATCAGTGACATTGGAATCAAAACAGTGGGGGACCAAATCAAAATAATTACATTACATGTATGTTTCACGAGAATCCGTTAGTTTGATTGGCTAAGAACAATCGTGCGTCATTCAAAAATTAACCTTTATATCAAAATGAAATGTTATATTCGTGATGACACATGCTTCCACAAAAAAAGTGCCCAGGTAAATAAAAGAAAAACTTGATAAAACAATTTTTAATGGTCTTATTAGCATAAAAATGTAATTATAAGAAATAAATGCTTCTTTTTGTAATTTTATTGGGGTGTAAAAGTGTTGATCATGCACACATTTTTAGAATGAAGCGCAGAAGTGCGCGCTTCATACAAAATGTGCTTTGATCAACAATTTTACACCCCGTTAAAATTTAAAAAAGAAGCATTCAATTCTTAATACAAATATGAATTTAATTAGCATTAAAGCAGAAAATTCCAAAAAAAGTTGTGCCAAATAAAGATCAGATTGTTTGGTTTTGCCAGATTTTGCATACATTCCTATAGAAAATTTGTAATTCTTTGAACATTTAAATTCTTGGTAACCCTGTACAGTGTACCCACAAAATTGATGAAAAATTGGAATCCAACAAATAATGAAAAATCAGGTGGTCATATTATATTAAAAATTGTGTATTGTGGCTAGAATGGACATTTATGTTGCAGTAAGAATAGGTACAAATGTATATGCTAGTGTTATTTTGTGTTAATCTTACTATTTATATGAGGTAAATGTTAGTATTGTTAAAGGCCTGAAAGGAGAATTGGAAAATATACATTGTAAATAAATTGGTTGTGCTTGCTCTGTTTTTCAGACTTTGTGTTTATATAACTATTGTACCAACAAACTAGAAGATAAATGGACTGGACACGAAAAAGAAGTGACAAAGGTTGGTGTTAGATGTTTTTCCTATGTTTGTTTTAAAAGTAAAAAGATTCAAAGGGGCAATGAAAAAAATGAGTTACAGAATGACTGACTACACCAACATGTGACCAAGACCTAAAGGAAAACAATGAACAGACAGATGGTCTTCTAAATACAATACAGAAAACCTCACTAAAAAGATGACCCCAGGGCCCAGGTGCTTCATAAGGGTAAGCATTTTTTGCTCCGCTAGTGACATCAATATTGCTGCTTATGTCATGTAAACAACAGGTGATAAGTCATATTTGATGATGGCCATAAAAGATAAAGGCGGCCTGGAATAAAGCTACACTGGATTCTGGTTATTTGCCTAGCCTTTTTGTCAGAAAAAAATTACGCAATTAAGGGGAGTATGCTTAGCTTATATCCCAAATGCAAAATTATGGGGTCAAACATGATCACTGGTAAACAGGTAAAGGAAATCCCAGAAGAATGACGTCGAACTGTGATCCACATGTACAGTAATGAATTCTAATAAAATATACAACATAAAAATAAGAAGATGTTGTATGATTTGCCAATATCACAAGTATCCACCAGAGACCAAATGATGTAGAAGTTAACAACTATAGGTCACTGTATGGCCTTCAACAATGAGCAAAACCCAAACACTGAATTACAAGCTCCTGAATTCTTGTGTAATAGTTTAATAATTGTTTTTTTATCCTTTCAATAAAGATTATAAACAAATATTGTTCTGCTGGGTGACAATTCATTTAGGGCTATTCCATTAAAATGTATGTGGGAGGGTAGGAAGGGACTTTCAAAATATCCCTACAACCAAGAACCATTTTTTAGATAATTTTGCATAATGGTATTAGATGCATACTGAAAAAAGACCCATGACCCACATCCAATAATTAAACTTCCCTTCCTACCCTCCCACATACATTTTAATGGAATAGCCCTTACCTATGAAATAAAAATATAACCAGTTTTTATTGATCTATAAATAAGTTTGTTTTTAGAGACCAGTAAATTCTAGAAAAAGACAGTGAGCTTTGATCTCAATATAATAATATTATAGAGTTAATAATTTTTTAGCTCACCTGGCCCAAAGGGCCAAGTGAGCTTTAACTCATCACTTGGCGTCCGTCGTCTGTCGCCTGTTAACTTTTACAAAAATCTTCTCCTGGGCCAAATTTAACCAAACTTGGCCACAATCATCATTTGGGTATTTAGTTTCTTAATGTGTTTGATAACCCCCTTGCCAACCAAGATGGCAGACATGGCTAAAAATAGAACATAGAGGTAAAATGCAAGTTTTGTCTACTATTTTGAAAACTCTTATAAATAAGAAAATCTGACTGAGGCAGAAATGTTCAGAATGTTGAGCTCTACCAATTGTCCATATACATCAAAACTGTCGGACAACTTCTTATATGAGTTATTGCCCTTAAATGACAAATTTTACCATTTTTTTCAATTCTGCCTATTATCTTGAAAACTATAATAGATTCAAAAATGATCAGCAAGACAAGTTCTACAAATAAGTTAATATGGTCAAAATCATTTGTCGACTCCTTATTAGAGTTATTGATTGCCCTTTGATGACGATTTTTACCAATTGTTTGAGTTATTGACTTGTACATTTGTATCTTAAAAATTATGATAGATAGATAGAAACTTAAATACGCAAAAATTATCAGCAAGACAAGATCTACAATTAAGACTATATGGAGGAAATTGTCCGACAACTCCTTATTGCCCTTTAATGACGATGTTTACCCTATTTTTGCGTTTTGCCTTATATGATAAAAATTATAATAGATAAATAGACACTTTAAATCACAAAAATTATCAGCAAGGCAAGATCTACTAACAAGTCAAATTTTGCCGATATAGTTTGTAGACTGTCACTCTTCATAGGAGTGATTGCCCTTAAATGAGGATTTTTTTTGCCCTCTTTTGTGTTTTGAGATAGAGAGAAACTAAACAGACCAAAATGATCAGCAATACAAGATCAACAAAACAGACACTTTTGTCATGAACTATTTTTGTCTACAATGTTGGAGAGTGTCCTTTGTTGAATATGCACATAGACCAAGGTGAGTGACACAGGCTCTTTAGAGCCTCTAGTTATGATTATCAACTGAGACATAATATTATGTTCTTTTGTTTTAGATATGTTATGGAACATTTTGCCAAAGCATATTCAGTGCCTCAAGAGACAAGTCCATAAACATGTGGAAACGTAACACTCCAAATCCAGTTCAACAATTCAAGGGTCATGACCTTGTTGTTACAGCATTAGATATTAACAAAGGTTAGTAATTTATCATGGCCTTTTAACCCTTTGGGCCAGGTGAGCTTTTCTCATCACTTGGCGTCTGTCGTCTGTTGTCGTTTACTTTTACAAAAGTCTTCTCTGAAACTACTGGGCCAAATTTAACCAAACTTGGCCACAATCATCATTGGGGTATCTAGATTAAAAAATATGTCCAATGACCCGGCCTGCCAACCAAGATGGCCGACATGGCTAAAAATAGAACATAGGGGTAAAATGCAAGTTTTGTCTATTATTTTTAAAACCGTTATGAATAGAGAAAATCTGACTGGAGCAAAAATGTTCAGAATGTTGAGCTCTACCAATTGTCCATATATGTCAAAACTGTCGGACAAGTTCTTGTAGGAGTTATTTCTCTTAAAGGACAAATTTTACCATTTTTTTTTCGTTTTTGCCTATTACCTTGAAAACTATGATAGATAGAGAGAAACTTTAAAATGCAAAAATGATCAGCAAGACAAGTTCTACAAATAAGTCAACCATGGTCGAAATTGTTTGTTGACTCCTTATTAGAGTTATTGCCCTTTGATGATGATTTTTACCAATATTTTGCTTTTTATGCCTAGTCGTAGTGGTGGGGGCATTAAGTTTTACACTTGTCTGTCTGTATGTACGTACGTATGTACGAACGTACGTCCCAAAATTGGTTTCCATTCTCTAACTTGAGTTTGCCTCAACCAAATGTTATGAAACTTATACACAATGCTTATTACCACAAAACACAGATCAAGTTTGAATTTTGGTGGCGTCACTTAAACCGTTCTAGAGTTATGCCCCTTTATAAATGGAAAAATTGCAAAATTTTTAGTTTCTATTCTCCAACTTAAGTTTGCCTCAACCAAATGTTATGAAACTTATACACAATGCTTATTACCACAACACACAGATCAAGTTTGAATTTTGGTGGCGTCACTTTAAACGTTCTAGAGTTATGTCTCTTAATAAATGGAAAAATTGCAAAATTTTTTTTTCTTCTAAATATCAAGTAATTTTTAAAATTGGAGTTATCTTCCTTTGTCCATGATTATAGTTGAATCAACTACAATCAATGCTTTATACAATGCAATGTTTAATTTTGACTTCCACTGATAAAACACAGATCAAGTTGAATTTGGGTAGTGTCACTTTAACCATTATTGAGTTATGCCCCTTTATAAATCGAAAGATTGCAAAATTTTTAGTTTCCATTCTGTAACTTAAGTTTGCCCCAACCAAACATTATGAAACCTATACACAATATTCATTACCACAAAACTAAGATCAAGTACAAATTTTTTGTTTCCGTTTTTTAACTTTAGTTTGCCTCAACCAAATGTTATGAAACTTATACACAATGCTTATTACTACATAATACAGATTAAGTAAGAAATTTGGTGGCGACACTTTTACCATTCTTGAGTTATGTCCCTTTATAAACATAAAAATTGCTGAATTTTTCATTTCCGTTCTTTAACTTTAGTTTGTCTCAACCAAATGTTATAAAACTTATACACAACCGTTCTAAAGTTATGCGTGTTTACAAATAGAAAAATTGCTGAATTTTTAGTTTCTGTTCTCTACTTAAGTTAGCCTCAACCAAATGTTTTGAGACTTACACACAATGCTTATTACCACAAAACTCAGATTAAGTTCAAATTTGGGTATAATCACTTTTACCGTTTTTAAGTTATGTCCCTTGATAACTATATGATATGCAAGCAGGGGCATCATCTGGACACTATACACATTTATTTGCCTTATATCTTAAAAATTATAATAGATAGATAGAAACTTAAATAAGCAAAAATGATCTATAATTAGGACAATTTAGAGGAAATCGTCTAACAAGTCCTTGTTGGAGTTATTGCCCTTTAATGACAATTTTACCATTTTTTTTGCGTTTTGCCTTATATGATAAAATTATAATAGATAAATAGACACTTTAAATCAAAAAAAGATCAGCATGGCAAGATCTACTTATAAGTCAAATTTTGCTGATATAGTTAATAAACAGTAACTCTTTATAGGAGTGATTGCCCTTAAATGAGGATTTTTGTTACCCTCTTTTGTGTTTTGAGCAAAAACTAAAGAAGATAGAGAGGAACTAAACAGACTAAATGATCAGTAATTCAAGATCAACAAAACAGAGATTTTTGTCATGAATTCTATTCTCGTCTACAATGTTGGAGAGTGTTCTTTTTGTTTAATATGCACATGGGCCAAAGTGAGCAACACAGGCTCTTTAGAGTGTCTAGTTTTATATTTCTAGTTCTCTTGGTAATTGATTTATTAGATTATAACAGCTTTTGATTACATAACATTTTGGTATTTTCAATATAGGGCTTAAACTTTCAGCATTGACCCCCATAACAAGCCTCAAAGCAGAGTTAGTATAATGTAAAAGTATATGCTAGTTATTGTTGGAATTTGATGACGACATGAATTTTCTTTGCTTTATTGCTAAAAATCTAGTAATTAAAAATAACAGATATGATTTTGGAATGAAGGACAGAAAGTCACAGGACAAAAAGTCATGAACAAAATGCCATAGGAAAATTCCACAATTCAGTTATAAAATATTTTTTTCACGTCAGTAAATATTTATTTTAAAAAAAATTGTATTTCTCTTTAATACATAATATATATATTAATCAACTTTGTAAACAAAATTGATTGTCAAAAATGCAATAATGATCAAATAATTGTTTAGAAAACAAGATGTCAAATGACTTTTTACATGACTGGCTTCATGGTACCAAGCAATAAAGCCTTTGTATGATAAATTTTCAGATTGGAAATAAGAAATAAAAAGGGGGACTGCATCAGTAATTTAACAACAACAAAAATGCCTGTTAAATATATGTTTATTTATTATATTGAATTTGCTTTCAGATAACACAATGTTATGTTCTGGATCCCGTGATAATACAGTTAAGTTATGGGATGTAGAGTCAGGAACCAGTCTCACTGAAAATAACATTCACAGGAATCTGGTAATTAAAAGCAGTTTGTGAAAGAGAGGGTGTTTTTCAGTTGTTTTTTTTTTGGAGGGGGGGGGGGGGGGGGGGGGGGGAAGTAGACTAACATAGCATTTTCATTCTTAGAAAATAAAAATAAAAATATTTGGGATTTTTGCAAAAAACAGGACTTTTGGTAAATATAACATCTAGTATTAACCTTTAACCTAAAGTGAAAAACTGAAAGCATGATAAGGTAAACCAATATTGAAAATAGTGTTTGTTTTTGTCTACATATATGTTGTCAATGTATGCAGACTGCTCATAGTGATTATGAAGTTTGATGACAATTTTATTGGCAGAAAATTCATTGATGGTTTCTGTTTTATATACCCATCACAACAGTATATTGTGGTATAGCTGTGGAATCGTAGCTCTTAGGTTTTTGTGATATTTTTTAACAATTTGCGGACCTATGGTCTAAACAAATCAGAAATATAATAAGGACCATTAGAGTTATGGTTCCATAGCTAATTGTGGTATATAAATTAATTAATATTAAAAAAAAAATTGCACTTTCTTCAAATTAATTTCATATACAGTGAAAAGGCATAAGTATTCATCACTTACATTTTTTGCCATATAGTTCATACAAATCCGTTTTTTCCTAAAAAAATATTGTGGGGCCAATAATAGAAGCAGAATTGTCACAGGTTTGTTTGTTTATTTGGTCATATTTTTGGCAAAGTGTTTTCTTTTTTTGATAATGTATGCACACAAAAAAATCTTTTGTCACAACAAAATTGAATTGTATAAAAAAAAATCACATCAGGAAAAAACTAAAACAACTTCTGACAAAATTATGACCAAATAAACAAAAAAATCTAACAATTCTCTGTCATTCAACACCAGGTTTGTTAAAATCCAAATTTTTTTGTGTGAAAAAAATGTGTTTTAATAAAAAATTGTATGTGACCTGTACTTACAGTCCTAAACTGTACATTTTTAAGAATTTAATGTAATCCTCGAATCAATAACAGTAAAATTGCTGCAGACTATATAAATTTTTACATTTGCTTTTCATAATTAAGGAAATTTCCTTAAATAATGTGTGTATTTTATGCCCTGCTTGTGTTCATTGGCAGGACATATAGATTTTTTTTGTCTCAATTGGTTTAAAATTTGTACTTAAGTTCATTTATTCCGAAAAATGGGGATATTTCAGATTTTTTGGGACAGGCACATCTTTTTATTTTGCAATCTCTCTCTGTATAATCAATATTCAAAGCATATATCCTTAAAAGAATGGTTGATTACTTATTTGTAGGTAACAGATGTAAAGTTTATTCCTGAATCTAACCTTATAGTTCAGACTGGAGAAGATAAAGAAGTTAGGTAAAGTTAAGATTAAGTAGAATGTATATTCTTGTCAACTTGTCTTGTTGGTTTGCTGTCTGATAGATTTATATTTCACATCTCCTTTTATTCATAATGTACTAATGTTATTGAAGGATTACCGCCATCAGTGATTTATTTAACTGGCACAGAATTTTAAATTTATATTGTCCAAAAAACATAGATGTTGCAAAAGACAGTGTATTACAATTGCTTTTCTACTTCAGTTTTTGTTCATCTTTACAATGTCAAATATTAAATCTTTTCACACATAATTAATTTAGAAGTCAAAGCAATTGCAGGTTTTCTCAGAGTCAAGTGCAAAATAATATGTTCAGGTCGGATGATCTGACTTCTTGTAGACTGTTACATTATGATCTACACGTAGCATGTTAAAATTTCATCTAGGTGTGTTTGTATAATAGAGAGAAAGATCTTTATATCACATCAGTCTGTTGTCTTTCTGAATTTACATGTAATATTGGCAAAGTAGGCATGATCTGAATTTTCACAGTTGTTTTTTTCATTATTTATACAACCTTGCAATTTAAGACATTTTATGAAGTTTAACATGTTTAAATGGGACAATGTTACAATGTCATTTATTTACATTAAGGAAAGACATTAATGCAGCTTTGGTTATTTATTTCTTAAGCAGTGAATCTTGCAATGCTTCTTCACTTTTACACATATCATCTGTAAGTGTAAGTTCATATTTAGGTAGTAGTGCTTTGGATAAATTTCAAATAAGGGTTGCCATTAAAACATATATACAAACTTATAATGCTACCAAGGGAAGGCAATTTTAAAATTTCTCTAACAATATCAATGTACAAAAACACCTGATCATAGATCAGAATTCAAAGTATCACTCATGCATGTTTTGTTTGAATAGACCTTAAGCTTTTGTGTAACTTTCTAAAGAGTGGAAAAGAACGGTCTGTTAATGCATTATGGTGCCTTTTCAGATTATTTGATACCAGAACATTAAGTGTGGTTCATAGTTTCCAACGTAAACAGTACATACAGACATGTTGTGATGTTAGTCCTGATGGAGTATACTGTCTGACATGTAGTAATGGTTTTGGTGGAAATGGTTGTGAAGCAACAGTTAGTACAGTCATATTTAGTTTGTCTGATCAGATAAATAATGCTCTTTTTTGTGGAATAATTTTAAAAGAGTTGTTTAGATTTTAGTGGAGACCTTATTAAAAAAAATTGTTTCTCATGCCCCATTCCTTTGATTGAAATTGTTGCCCATTGGCAATTTTCGTTTGTTTTAATTATGTTACAAAATTCAAGCAAAAAAAAACATTTCACTGTAAGAGTAGCATAAGTTTCAAAATTCATATTAAAAACATGTTACTATAAGTGTAGCATAAGTTATTTTCTTTGTCAGTGGTTTTATGTAAAATTATGGCTCTAAATAATTTAGGAGGGGTGTCTTTCAGCAATGTAACCTTATTTCATGATAAAGAATGCTATCCAATTATATTTAACATCATATAACTAGCCACTTTACTAACTTACAAAAAGGATAGTGATTTTAAAAATGAGAGTTTTCATAACAAATTCCTTTTTTAGCTCACCTGACCTGAAAGGTCAAGTGAGCTTTTCTCATCACTTTGCGTCCGTCGTCCGTCGCCCTGCGTCCGTCGTCCGTCGTCCGTAAACTTTTACAAAAATCTTCTTCTCTGAAACTACTGGGCCAAATTTGACCAAACTTGGCCACAATCATCATTGGGGTATCTAGTTTAAAAAATGTGTCCGGTGACCCGGCCAACCAACCAAGATGGCCGCCATGGCTAAAAATAGAACATAGGGGTCAAATGTAGATTTTGGCATATATCTCTGAAACCAAAGCATTTAGAGCAAATCTGACTTGGGGTAAAATTGTTCATCAGGTCAAGATCTATCTGCCCTGAAATTTTCAGATGAATCGGACAACCCGTTGTTGGGTTGCTGCCCCTGAATTGGTAATTTTAAGGAAATTTTGCCGTTTTTGGTTATTATCTTGAATATTATTATAGATAGAGATAAACTGTAAACAGCAATAATGTTCAGCAAAGTAAGATCTACAAATAAGTCAACATGACCAAAATGGTCAGTTGACCCCTTAAGGAGTTATTGCCCTTTATAGTCAATTTTTAACCATTTTTCGTAAATTTTTGTAATCTTTTACAAAAATCTTCTCCTCTGAAACTACTAAGACAAATTTAACCAAACTTGTCCACAATCATCATTAGAGTATCTAGTTTAAAAAATGTGTCCGATGACCCTGCCCGCGAACCAAGATGGCCGACATGGCTAAAAAATAGTACATAGGGTAAAATGCAGTTTTTGGCTCATATCTCTGAAACCAAAGCATTTAGAGCAAATCTGATGGGATAAAATTGTTCATTAGGTCAAGATCTATCTGCCCTGAAACTTTCAGACCAATCAGGCAACCCGTTGTTGGGTTGCTGTCCCTGAATTGGTAATTTTAAAGAAATTTTGCCGTTTTTGGTTATTATCTTGAATATTATTATAGATAGAGATAAACTGTAAACAGCAATAATGTTCAGCAAAGTAAGATCTACAAATAAGTCAACATGACCAAAATGGTCAGTTGACCCCTTAAGGAGTTATTGCCCTTTATAGTCAATTTTTAACCATTTTTCGTAAATTTTTGTAATCTTTTACAAAAATCTTCTCCTCTGAAACTACAAAGACAAATTTAACCAATATTGTCCACAATCATCATTAGGGTATCTAGTTTAAAAAATGTGTCCGATGACCCCGCCCGCGAACCAAGATGGCTGACATGGCTAAAAAATAGTACATAGGGTAAAATGCAGTTTTTGGCTCATATCTCTGAAACCAAAGCATTTAGAGCAAATCTGATGAGGATAAAATTGTTCATTAGGTCAAGATCTATCTGCCCTGAAATCTTCAGACCAATCAGGCAACCCATTGTTGGGTTGCTGCCCCTGAATTGGTAATTTTAAGGAAATTTTGCCGTTTTTGGTTATTATCTTGAATATTATTATAGATAGAGATAAACTGTAAACAGCAATAATGTTCAGCAAAGTAAGATCTACAAATAAGTCAACATGACCAAAATGGTCAGTTGACCCCTTAAGGAGTTATTGCCCTTTATAGTAAATTTTTAACCATTTTTCGTAAATTTTTGTAATTTTTTACAAAAATCTTCTCCTCTGAAACTACTAAGACAAATTTAACCAAACTTGTCCACAATCATCATTAGGGTATCTAGTTTAGAAAATGTGTCCGATGACCCCGCTCGCGAACCAAGATGGCCGACATGGCCAAAAAATAGTACATAGGGTAAAATGCAGTTTTTGGCTCATATCTCTGAAACCAAAGCATTTAGAGCAAATCTGATGAGGATAAAATTGTTCATTAGGTCAAGATCTATCTGCCCTGAAATTTTCAGACCAATCAGGCAACCCGTTGTTGGGTTGCTGCCCCTGAATTGGTAATTTTAAGGAAATTTTGCCGTTTTTGGTTATTATCTTGAATATTATTATAGATAGAGATAAACTGTAAACAGCAATAATGTTCAGCAAAGTAAGATCTACAAATAAGTCAACATGACCAAAATGGTCAGTTGACCCCTTAAGGAGTTATTGCCCTTTATAGTAAATTTTTAACCATTTTTCGTAAATTTTTGTAATTTTTTACAAAAATCTTCTCCTCTGAAACAACTAAGACAAATTTAACCAAACTTGTCCACAATCATCATTAGGGTATCTAGTTTAAAAAGTGTGTCCGATGACCCTGCTCGCGAACCAAGATGGCCGACATGGCTAAAAAATAGTACATAGGGTAAAATGCAGTTTTTGGCTCATATCTCTGAAACCAAAGCATTTAGAGCAAATCTGATGAGGATAAAATTGTTCGTTAGGTCAAGATCTATCTGCCCTGAAATTTCAGACCAATCAGGCAACACGTTGTTGGGTTGCTGCCCCTGAATTGGTAATTTTAAGAAAATTTTGCAGCTTTTGGTTATTATCTTGAATATTATTATAGATAGAGATAAACTGTAAACAGCAATAATGTACAGCAAAGTTAGATCTACAAATAAGGCAACATGACCAAAATTGTCAATTGACCCCTTAAGGAGTTATTGCCCTTTATAGTCAATTTTTTACAATTTTCATAAATTTTGTAAATTTTTGTAAATTTTTACAAAGTATTTTCCACTGTAATTACCGGGCCAAGTTCATTATAGATAGAGATAGTAGTAAGGAGCAAGAATGTTCAGTAAAGTAAGATCTACAAACACATCACCATCACCAAAACACAATTTTGTCATGAATCCAGCTGTGTCCTTTGTTTAATATGCACATAGACCAAGGTGAGCGACACAGGCTCTTTAGAGCCTCTAGTTTTGAATTGAAATCGCTGCCTCATTTTTTTTGTGACTGTTACTTCAGATTGTGATGATCACAGTCAGCCATAAGCTATAAAAAAAATACATGTAAGTGAATAAACATAAGTCATTACTCTTGTAAAACAGAATATTTAGGGGTCACTGCTAACTAGTTCATTTGATTTTTCAGAGTACTGTCCTGCCCTAAAACTGCAAGTAGTTCAGAGTTTTATCTTTATTTTGTAGTTATGGGATTTAAGAAGTAGAAGTATAGTTCATGAATATAAAGGTCACACAGAGGCCATAGATAGTTGTGTATTTTTACCTTACCATGGTACAAACTTAATAGCTACATCATCAAGAGATTTCAGTGTCAAAATATGGGACAGAGATTCAAAAGGTATATTGTTAACTTTATATTTCAAGTTACAGATGACTAAATGTGTAAATTCTTGATTTGGTGTATGTAAAAACTATTAAACTAATTTATATGTTAAAAAATTGTGTGTATGCAAGTTGAAAACATCAAAAGCATAGAGATTTTCTCAAACAGAAAAAACAACATAAAGTTGCAATAATGTGAAAAATGAACGTGGATTATACATCAATGAATGTTAAAAATTTGTGTGTATGCAAGTTGAAAAAATCAAAAGCATAGAGATTTTCTCAAACAGAAAAAACAACATAAAGTTGCAATAATGTGAAAAATGAACGTGGATTATACATCAATGAATTAGCAACCCAACAAAAAGAATTTCATTAGAATTAACACCTAGAGATCACAAGTTAGTCTTACATGATTGACAAGCCCCACATTATATGACAAGCTTAATATCACAATGAAGGAATGAATTAAACATAGTTGACAGAAGATCTGATGTCAATACCAATGTATGTATATGCAAATACTATCTAGAGCAGGCAATGGTGAAAATGTTTAAAATTGAATTATAGTCACTTCCTGTTTAACAAAATTTTGAATTTTTATCATGCCTACTGAACATAGAATTTTTTTTCGTAAATGTCTTATAACAAGTGGGAGTTTACTTTGCAAGATATTGCATACAAATTTTTGCAATTGTAAATGAAAAGAAATCATTTTCAATAGTTAATAGTTAATTTCAGTATTAGAATTAAAAATGAAATAGAATATTTGCCTGTCGACGTTTAAGAGAAGAAAAAAAGAATTTAGATTTGATTCTAGGAATATTTAAAATTTAAGGATTTCAAAGCATTAAAAAATGTATTAGATGTCATTTTGGTTCTGATATTTACTTTATTTTCAGCATGTGTATGTGAATGTGTGATAAGTGGTTCAGGACCTTTAACCTCAATATTATGTTATGGTGAACCATGGTATGTATTTTTATCAAGTCAACAAATGAAAACTGATGACAAAGTTTGTTTGAGTAAACCCAAGATAGGTGTCATTTAGGCCATAATAAACAAAAATTCTAGGTTATCCCCGTCCCTTTTCAGAGACCTCAACAACTGATTTTGGATGATTTCTTTCATGTTGCTGAAAGTTTTTACAAAATTTGTTGAAAGGATAAGATAAATGTATTGTCCAATTCATAACAGAGGTACCTTTCTAGAATGTATGATTTTATTCTTCTAAAAGGAAGTTAAGGATGACCGAAATCAGAATGATGCCCATTTCACAGTAATAGGAACAAAGAGAAGACAATTTTCTTCTGAGATAAATGAAAAAAAAAGATTGCAAGAAAAACCTTTACATTTATAAGTTATTTTGTTTGCCAATCTGTAGGTTATCTCTATAGCTGAAATTTGTGGATTTATATATAGCTCCTGACATTTTTGTGGGTATATTATTCTTGGTTTTCAAATTATAGGTTTCAACATTCCTGGTGTAGGTAAGACTTGAAAAGCGCTTCAGACACACAAAACTTATTGAGTGTAATTTTTATTTTCCATCATAAGAAATTCTACAAACCATAGTGCATTGGAATATATTTTAACAAAAGATAAAGGGAAATTAAAAAAAAATCCCAGTTTTAAGTTACATGACACTAATTTTTAATCCAATAAAAAATGCAGAAAAATATTTTCAGAGTGAACTCTCAAGATAAATATTGGGAGAAGTAAGAGTGCACATAGAGAAAAATCCCACAAAATACATTGAAAATATCTAAAAGATGAATGAACCTTTTATATAGATAAAAAGTATAGGTAATGCAGAAATAACATAATTTATTAACAGCATTTTGTGATAATTCACAGCCTGACTGGTTTCGGTTCTTCATGGACCTTCTTCAGAGGCAGACTGATAGTTAAATATCAGTTGGGAATTTTCATCACCTACAGTAAACTTCTTTCAACTGATTTTGAATGTTACGGTAAACATTAAACCTAATTATATAGGTTAAATAAACATCTAACCAACATTTGGGCTCCTATGGTGACTTCATTTAAATAATACATGGTAGTTATATAACCTGATAGTTGGCTTATTATTTGCTGAAATATGAAGTCTTTTAAATGAAAGAATTATTTAAGCCTTCAACTTCATTCAACTGATTTTGAATGTTGCGGTAAAATTTAAACCTTATGATGAATGATAATATAAATTAGGTAAATTTCAACCAACATTTTGAAAAAAAAAATACAAAACAAGAATTGCACATAAGTTTAAAAAGAAAATACAAAACAAAAATTGAATATAAGTTTAAAAAAAAAATACCAAGCAAGAATTGCATATAAGTTTAAAAAAAAAATACAAAACAAGAATTGCATATAAGTTTAAAAAAAAATTACAAAACAAGAATTGAACTTTTGCAAGTAAAAATGTCTGCAGGTGAATGGTTTTATGTTTTAAAGACAAATTATTATTTTTCAGTATACTTGTATCCAGTTTTAACCTTGGTATTCAGCATTTAAGATTTTCATTACAAAACCAGACATTGACAAAAGAAGGGAGTTTTTGATTGGAGCTAATGACAATGTGTAATGAACTGTTTGTATGTTATAAAGCATTTGCAATCTGCATGTCAGCGCTAGAAATGAAACAAAAGGAATGGTTCTATGGGTATTTGTGTCAGAGTATCATATATTCTGTTAAATATCTCTGTATCTATGTTTTTTGAAAAGAATGAATATTAAAGCAATATGTTTAGATCATTCAAATGCTTGTGGTTGATTGGTTTGAATGTTTCAGATAAGGCTTCCATTTTTATACGACCGCAAAAATTTTTTGCTGTCGTATATTGGTATGACGTTGGCATCTTCGTCGTAGTCCGAAGACACATTGGTTTTCGCACTATAACTTTAGTTTAAGTGAATGGATCTCTATGAAATTTTACCATAAGGTTCAATACCACAAAAGGAAGGTTGGGATTGATTTTGGGGGTTATGGTACCAACAGTAAAGGAATTAGGGGCCAAAAAGGGGCCAAAAATAAGCATTTTTGTAACTTCCAGACATAACTTGTGTGTTAGTGTATGGATCTCTCTGACATTGTACCACAAGGTTCCATATCACAAAAGGAATGCTGGGATTGATTTTGGGGGTGATTGCTTCAAAATTTTAGGAATTGGGGGCCAAAAAAGGGGCAAAAAACAAGCATTTTCCTAGTTTCAGGACAATAACTTGTGTGTAAGTGTATGGATCTTTCTGAAATTGTACTACAAGGTTCCATATCGCAAAGGGAAAGCTGGGTTTGAGTTTGGGGGTAATTGCCCCAAATGTTCAGGAATTAGGGGCAAAATAGGGGCCAAAAAACAAGCATTTTTCTAGTTTCCAGACAATAACTTGTGTTTAAGTGTATGGATCTCTCTGAAATTGTACTGCAAGGTACCATACCACAAAGGGAAGGCTGGGATTGAGTTTGGGGGTGATGAATCATAAGGGGGTTCCAAAAATTTTGGGGGGGATTTTTTTTTTTCCTTTTTTTTCTTTTTTTCCTTTTTTTTTTCTTTTAAAATTTTCCATTTTAAGTTGGTTATTTCTGATTTATATTTAAAAGCAAATAATAATGATATGGTAGGAGATACACACCAAACAGGATGTTTAAATTATTATATAATAAGTATTGTGCAATAGCAAGAAATTTTCAATTGCACAGTATTGCACAATAGCAAGAAATCTTCAATTGCACAGTATTGCGCAATAGCAAGAAATCTTCAATTGCACAGTATTGCACAATAGCAAGAAATATCCAATAGCACAATATTGTGCAATAGCAAGAAATTGTCAATTGTACAGTATTGCGCAATAGCAAGAAATATTTAATTGCACAGTATTGTGCAAAAGAAGATACTTCATATAAATTGCTTATTTCTTGACCAATTTCAATGGGGTTTTATTCTTGAATTCTTGGGGTTCTTTAATATGCTGAATCTAACCGTGTATTTAGTTTTTGGATTTTGGGCCCCGTTTTTTAAATTGGTCCACATTGAGGTCCAAAGGGTCCAAAATTAAACTTTGTTTGATTTCATCAAAAATTGAATTATTGGGGTTCTTTGATATGCCGAATCTAACCGTGTATTTAGATTCTTAATTTTTGGTTCCGTTTTCAAATTGGTCCACATTAAGGTCCAAAGGGTCCAAAATTAAACTTAGTTTGATTTTAACAAAAATTGAATTCTTAGGGTTCTTTGATATGCTGAAACTGAACATGTATTTAGATTTTTGATTATGGGCCCAGTTTTCAAGTTGGTCAAAATCGGGGTCCAAAATTAAACTTTGTTTGATTTCAACAAAAATTGAATATATGGGGTTCTTTGATATGCTGAATCTAACCATGTATTTAGATTTTTGATTTTTTGCCCCGTTATCAACTTTGTCCACATTGAGGTCAAAAGGGTCCAAAATTAAACTTTGTTTGATTTCATCAAAAATTGAATTCTTGGGGTTCTTTGATATGCTGAATCTAACCATGTATTTAGATTTTGGATATTGGACCAAAATAGGTGAATGTCCAATTTAAAATTTTTAAGTTCTTAGACCACATTCATTCTGTGTCAGAAACCTATGCTGTGTCAAATATTTAATCACAATCCAAATGCAAAGCTGTATCAAGCTTGAATGTTGTGTTCATACTTGCCCCAACTGTTCAGGGTTCGACCTCTGCGGTCGTATCAAGCTGCGCCCTGCGGAGCATTTTATTAATTTTGGGTCCAGTTTTCAAATTGGTCTACATTAAGGTCCAAAGGGTCCAATATTAAACTTAGTTTGATTTTAACAAAAAATGAATATATGGGGTTCTTTGATATGCTGAATCTAAACATGTATTTAGATTTTTGATTTTGGGCCCAGTTTTCAAGTTGGTCCAAATTGGGGTCCAAAATTAAACTTTGTTTGATTTCAACAAAAATTGAATATATGGGATTCTTTGATATGCTGAATCTAACCATGTACTTTGATTTTTTATTTGTGGGCCCCGCTATCAAATTGGTTCATATTGAGGTCAAAAGGGTCCAAAATTAAACTTTGTTTGATTTCATCAAAAATTGAATTATTGGGGTTCTTTGATATGCCAAATCTAACCGTGTATTTAGATTTTTAATTTTGGGTCCCGTTATTTAAATTGGTCCACATTAAGGTCCAAAGTGTCCAAAATTAAACTTAGTTTGATTTTAACAAAAATTGAATTCTTGGGGTTCTTTGATATGCTGAATCTAAACATGTGTTTAGATTTTTTATTATGGGCCCAGTTTTCAAGTTGGTCCAAGTTGGGGTCCAAAATTAAACTTTGTTTGATTTCAACAATAATTGAATATATGGGGTTCTTTGATATGCTGAATCTAACCATGTATTTTGATTTTTGGGCCCCGTTATCAAATTGGTCCACATTGAGGTCAAAAGGGTCCAAAAATTAAACTTTGTTTGATTTCATCAAAAATTGAATTCTTTGGATTCTTTGATATGCTGAATCTAACCATGTATTTAGATTTTGGATATTGGACCATAATAAGTAAATTAAAAATTTTAAGTTCTTAGACCACATTCATTCTGTGTCAGAAACCTATGCTGTGTCAAATATTTAATCACAATCCAAATTCAGAGCTGTATCAAGCTTGAATGTTGTGTCCATACTTGCCCCAACTGTTCAGGGTTCGACCTCTGCGGTCGTATCAAGCTGTGCCCAGCAGAGCATTTTATTGTTTTTGCTACAGTGTATTTTATGAAGAAATGTTGCCCTTTCACCCCCACCACATCACTCCAATGAACTCAATATGTAAATTTTTCAATTATTAGGGAAGTTTTCATAAAATTGATCCATCCAATTGTCTTGTTCTATATTGTTTTATTGGGCTTTCCTCTGTTCAAAATAATTCTTTTTAAAATAATTCTATTTGCATGAACTAAATAACAAGTGTTGACATTAATGTGCAATTAAAGCTAATTTAGTGGTTGTAAAGGGTTGTTTTTGTTGAGTGTGATTTCCCTGTTTTTATTTCCCAGTGTTTTTTTTTTGCTTAAAGATTTATCATCTGTGTTTAGCATAAACACTTGGTTTTACCTAAGTATTGATTTCTTTTTCTAGAGAAATCACCTTATTATTTTCTTTTCTTTCATTCACTTTTGCCAACTCTCCCTTTTACTATCTTTACAAATCTCTATAAACATATTATCTTTAAAACAAGTATAATGTTTATCATAGCATTATCATAATCATTTGATATGAATTATTTTGATTTAGATGAAGAACTTTGTTTTTAATACTAATTATATATTTTTATTTTATTTCTTGAAATAAATATGTAAAACACATTAATGACAACATTATACCATTTCATGTTTTATCAAATATTTTTCATAAAAGTTGTATCAGGAACCTTTCAAATGTTTCAAGAATTTTAGTTAATGTGATATTCCAATATTTAAAGGCTATTGTTTCAATTCCAGTATTTGTTTTTATCATGTTTATGATGCTATTATGTATACCATTTCATGTATCTTTAAATATTTGATTAGCACTGCATATAGCAACATTCTTTTTTTTTCAAACACTTAACTTAAGGTGGTACCCAACACCTTGACTAATATTAATTTGGCTCGTTTAATTTTCATAAAATGTTTACTTTGACCCTTTGACAAAAATATAAAAATTTCAAAAAATTTGAACCAACCACTTTATCAGAAAAATTTCATTGGTTATATAGCAGTTTGACAAACACTAATTTTGATCATTGAGAAGCTTAATATTTCCTTAACAATACAATGTAATTAAAACGTTAAGCTGATTTTTACAGAGTTATCTCCCTGTAGTGTTAGGTACCACCTTAATATGATACTATATTTATTTTCAAAAGTTCAAGTTTTGAAATCATATCAGTTTTATATTCTTCAACATGCATTTACTTTGTTATTGTATCGTTTTAATTATTGTGTAAAGATTGCACTAAGTACAATTAAATCCCTATTGTCACTAGCTTGACAGCTACATTTCAGACCTCATACATACCTTCGTGAGTACTCACAACATAGTGAAGTAAGGTGATCATATTTATGGTCATGTCAAGCAATTTATTGATAATACATACTTAGATATTCAAGTTACAAAATAATGTACATGTATAAACATACTTGTTCAGAAAATATTACATAAGTTGCAGAAATTACATGGAGTATGAATCCATTTGTTTTACCCACAGTTATGGACAAAGGAAGATAGTTTAAATCAAAATATTGTCTAAATATCTTGCTTTTCATAATACAATGCAATGTTTAATTTTAGGTTTATAATTCAAAATGAATCCAGTCTTTACCCCTAAGTGCTCACAAGCGCTTTGATTGTTATAACTGATGACCATGAAAGACCGTAAAAGTAATGACATTCAGTTAATGATATAGGTTGTGCATTTATTTAGATTGTTACGTTTTTAAAGATTTTTTTATTAATGATTGAGCTGTGTGCGTATGGCTTTTTAACTCTGTGCCTTTTAAAAATTAGCAAAAAAATATTAGCATTTATATAAGTATATAATTCCCCTTCTCATAATATTGTACTTAAAGGGACCAATAATTCAATTTAATTTGCACTTGCAGTTTTGAGAGACTGACCATGTGACATAAAATGACATCAAAGGCAACAACATCTATGACATAGATATGAAGGTCACATGACCTAAACAGTTAATGTAAAAAGTGACCTACAGCTTGGTGTTTTAAAGGATGCACTAAAAAAGTAAAATATCAAAGAAGTCATTATGACTAACACTAATGTCTCCTTACTTAAGTGACACTTTTCTAATGTTTAAGTCAGAGTTCAGTTCCAAAGTAACATATAAACATAAAACTTAGTGCTGGTATGGATTTTTAGCAACATATATACATCCCGACTGAAGAAAGAAACCCTGACATATTTTTTCTTGCTTTACTGATACCTGCCAAACCTTTTTAAAATCTCCATTGGGGTTACTATGCACTAGAGTATCTAAGGTTACTCTTATACATGTATTAAGTATATTCGTATATACATTTAATGTACAATGGTTCTAATACTTTAACACTTCAATATTTTTAAATGTAGATTCATTCATTGGTTGATGTTATCCCAATTCTTTCTTATCTAATCAATTGACCTTCATTATTTTAAGCCTCATGGGGTCGGCTTGATCCAATGTGCAATTAGTATTCACCTTGCCAGGAACATCATTTCTCTTTTGTTTTATTAATTAATCATGAACTAGTCAAAATTTAATTTTTACTTCATTTCATCATCATGAAGTTGCCAGTTCTGTTTGGAATTATCCTAGATCATTATCTGATATATTTCAGATTGAGAATGTGTTAAAAATACTGACAGAAAAGATCCACTTTTTCAAAAATACAATATTTCAGTATTTAAGGTGGTACCAAACACCTTGACTAAAATTAAATTGGCTCGTTTAATTTTCATCATATTTTGACAAAATATTTACTTTGGACAAAAAAAATGAAAATTTCAATAAATTTGAACCACACTATCGGAAAAATTTCATTGGATTTAAAGCAGTTTGACAAACACCAATTTTGATCACTGAGAAGCTAAATATTTCCTTAACAATAGAACATGATTAAAACGTTCAGCTGATTTTTAAAGAGTTATCTCCCTGTAGTGTTATGTACCACCTTAAAAGGCTTTACTGAAATCATGCCTTCATATAGAATGATCATATAGATACTATTTTACTGACTTTTTAATGTGATGTTTTGTATTTTATATATTCATCCGTCCATTCTGTGATTTTGAAATCTTTACATTTATATTATTAAACATCGTTTATAATTGTTTTGTACATTTGTGTAATTGTATATTTATTAATGATGTTTGTTGAAAAATAAATGCATTTAGGTGTTCAGAAATGATTTGTGTTCACATAAGTATTAAAATAGATGTAAATAATATATTATTACATTGCTACTCTAGATTTGGTTGCATACTGCATTTCTGGTCTGTCCAACTTTCTATTCATCCAATGTAAAAAATCTCATGACAAATTTATAACTGAAAAATCAGAAATTTTTGTGAGTATTTGTTAATCCAATTTTGAAAGAATAGACAAAAATGCGAGATTAATTAATAAAGTTTCTGTGAATGATGCTTACAAATTTTTATTTTGGCATCACATATTCCTTGGCAATTTTTGATATAATAACGACCTTGCAAAAAATTTCACTTCAATTTACATTACCCAACTTCAGTATGAAGGATGAGTTTTACATTTAGTCTGTAGCTTAATAAAGCTGAATTTAGCTTTTATTTAATTTGTATAGCTGCAGTATGCTTATATTTGGAAAATTTCTAAATCCACTCAGAACATGAAACCTTAATTAGAACCTGCTGATCAATTGGCAGAAGGGCTATAGTAATCACCTTGTCTGTCTGTTCATCAACTCACCACAATGACACCTTGTGAAAACAACTATGAGAACTTTTTACAAAAAGCTCATATTTGGTAGGTTTTGCTGACCACTTTGTACTCTCATTTTTATTTGACCATTTTTTTTTCAGGGGTTATTTGGTGATTTCAGGAACTTTGACCTTTTTTAAGTTTTTATGTACTATAGTATACCATTGTCTTTCCTTCCTTCCATTGGTCAACTTTGTACGATAACTCAAATTTGAGTAAACCAATTCTCATGTTATATTACTACAACATTAGAAATGACAGAAAAAATATCTTTTGATTTTACACATTTTTGGATATATCATTCTAGATTTACTGTACTTTAAAGGGGCATTAGCTACAAGAAGACAAAAAATTCAAAGTATGATTCATTTTGTTTTTCAAGTATTAATTAAACCAGAATTTTGAAGTTATTTTACATTATAAGCAGTCACTTTGGCCCAAATTTGTCAAAATAAGCTCAAAAATATTGCTGAAGTATTATTGACTTGCAAGTCAATAATTCAACACCATGTTCATGTGACCTACAATTCAACCCCTAAGCCTGAGATGGGTTACGCATGTACTAGGCCTGTTCAACTATTAAAAGGAAAAAAATGTCAACATTGAAAGTGAAACAAGAATTAACTATTTCGTTGACTGATTTGATCCACAAAAAAAGCATTTTTATATAGGTAAAAGCAATGATTAACAAATATCTTTAACGTACAATATGAAATCAAATAGACCTAGAAAAATCCAATTGCACGTGCTTGCTATCTATTTATATTATGTTTATGTTTATATCTGGTTATATGATGGTCAGCAGTCTTCAGAGGTCATTTCGATGGTTTATTAGATGGCATCTAGACTAAAATTCATGCAAAATGTTGATACATATTATAGAGTCCATGCATTGTTAATTGTTTATTTTAGACTTTTTGTAATTTGGATGAAGCTCTTTTTTATTAGCTCACCTGGCCCGAACTGACGTGTGGTCGTATATTGGTATGACGTTGGCGTCGTCGTCGTCGTCCGGCGTCGTCTGAAGACACATTAGTTTTCGCACTATAACTTTAGTTTAAGTGAATGGATCTCAATGAAATTTTACCATAAGGTTCAATACCACAAAAGGAGTGTGGGGATTGATTTTGGGGGTTATGGTACCAACAGTTAAGGAATTAGGGACCAAAAAGGGGCCAAAAATAAGCATTTTTGTAACTTCCAGACATAACTTATGTGTAAGTGTATGGATCTCTCTGACATTGTACCACAAGGTTCCATATCACAAAGGGAATGCTGGGATTGATTTTGGGGGTAATTGCCTCCAAATTTTAGGAATAAGGGGCCAAAAAGGGGAAAAAAACAAGCATTTTTCTAGTTTCATGACAATAACTTGTGTGTAAGTGTATGGATCTCTCTGACATTGTATCACAAGGTTCCATATTTAAAAGGGAAAGCTGGAATTGAGTTTGGGGGTAATTGCCCAAAATGTTTAGGAATAAGGGGCCAAAAAGGGGCCAAAAATAAGCATTTTTCTAGTTTCCAGACAATAACTTGTGTTCAAGTGTATGGATCTCTCTGAAATTGTACTGCAAGGTACCATACCACAAAGGGAAGGATTGGATTGATTTTGGGGGTAAGTCCCTCAAAATTTTAGTAATTAGGGGCCATTAAAGGGTATAAAAACAATCATTTTTCTAGTTTCAGGACAATAACTTGTGTGTTA